GTAAAATGAATAAAAATTCCTTTTAAAAAAAAAGGTAGCTGCTGCCCCAAACTGTATATAACTTGCTCTCTGACTGTGATTTAAAGAAAAAGCTAAATGGGTAAGCATTATTTATTCAAGGAAATGAACAGCAACTTGTTAAAAAGCACCAAGATTTTGCACATGTGTACAATGCCCATTGTGACACTTTGCACCCCAAATCAGCAGCTGAAAAAATGCAAGACCAGAATTGCCTCAACGCAAGGAGACACAATGCTAATGTCATGCCTTTACAAAGGAACAAGCAGAAAAGGAAATTGGTCAAATTCACAGTACATATTGTAAAAGACATCAGAATGAATTACAGTTTCTGGTGGATCAGATAAGGCCAAAAATGATACAAGAAAACTGCCAGAATATCAAAAGTCATGGGACAAGAAGATGGGAACATGGACTTACTGATGGGATCCTGGCAACAAACCACCTTCCTCAATCAAAGTAGGACTCTCCCACCCCAGCAGTCAGAGCCCTAGAGACTAGATGGTTCTCCTAGTTGTACTGATATTCTTCTCTCAGCAATCAGATTCATGAATAGTTCTAGTTCTGGCATCATAAGATATCTTCTTGCTGGGTGCATGATGCATGTCTTTAATACCAGCACTCAGAATCAAAGACAGGCAGATCTTTCTGAGTTTGAGGCAGCCTGGTCTATATAGTAAGTTCCAGAACAGCTGGGGCTACACTGAAAAGTCCTGTTTCAAAGAAACAAAAACAAACTAACAAGTCTTCTGAAAGAAGAATAGGCCTGGGAAGCATCTCACCCGAAATGACCAAGACAGAGAAATAAGCCCAGGATGGTTCGCCAGCTTCGCACAGTGCATGTATCACTTAACAAGAACTCTTGCTATTTCAGAATTTCTAAAGTCCTTTTTCATTTTGTTTCCACTGGGGAACCAAGTTCAAAAACAGCCTCTTTTCACCTTCTTTACTGTAACAAGCAGAGGAAATCATTCGTGATTTTGTCCTAATTCACATACTTGTTTTAAGTGCCCATGCCAGGCTATAAGCATCCATCAGTTACTGACAGTTGTTGACCAAGTTAAATGTATTGTTAGACCCACCTGTGTTTTACACACAGAGTATGTTTATAATTTAAAGTAATGAAATTAGTATTATAATTTTTGAAATGTCAGGGGAGTTAGTAGTTGGATTTAAGCTAATGGTCACAATAACTTTGAAACATTTGCAGGTTTTTTTGGAAACGGAGCTCTCAAATGATTACTGTATTTTTTCACTGGGATCAGGCAGGTCTCTAACACTTTGAATACCAGCTGTTAAACCAAAATAAAAGTGAAATAAATGGATTTTAACAAGGGGCAAAAAACTGAACACAATGAAAAAGGTACATGCAATAGTGAATAAGGACGCTTGGTGGCGCTGCAGGCTAAGCGTGTGAATAAAGGACTCTGCAGATGCTCTGGACGCCATTATTGGGCATCAGAACTTAGATTGCTCCCTAAAAGAAGGTGGCATTAAGGCTGGATCTAGGAGGGCAATCTTCAGAGAAGTATAGCTCCACTAGCCAGTCAGTGAGTAAAATTTAGTTCTGTTATTTCATCAAAACACGTGGGTGGATCCTTACAAATTAAAAGACACTGCACCTTCTGGATCGAGTGTGAACAATGGAGACAGCGCTCGCAAAAACGCCACAGCAAAGGCAAGTCGTTTTTCTTACTATATTGCTGCTTTTGTGGGAGGCTGATTCTGAGGCGATTAGATATTCCATGCCAGAAGAAACGGAGAGTGGCTACTTGGTGGCTAACCTGGCAAAAGATCTGGGGCTCAGAGTGGGGGAACTGGCCACCAGAGGGGCGCGAATCCATCACAGAGGAAACAAAGAGCTCTTGCAGCTGGATGCAGAGACCGGGAATTTGCTCCTGAGGGAAAAACTAGATCGCGAGGTGCTGTGTGGGGTGACAGACCCCTGTGTGCTGCATTTCCAGCTCATTCTGGAAAACCCTGTGCAGTTCTTCCAAACTGACTTGCAGATCACAGACATAAATGATCATGCTCCGGAGTTCCCTCACAGGGAAATGCTCCTAAAAATCCCAGAGAATGTCCAGCCAGGGACTGTGTTTCCTCTGAAGGCAGCTCAGGACTCTGACATAGGGAACAATGCTGTTCAGAACTACACAGTCAGCCCCAACCTCCATTTCCATGTGGTTACTCAGAGTCGCGCTGATGGCAGGAAATACCCTGAGCTGGTGCTGGACAGAGCCCTGGACAGGGAGGAGCAGCCTGAGCTCACTTTAACCCTCACTGCTGTGGATGGTGGGTCTCCACCCAAGTCTGGGACCACCACAGTTCACGTTGAAGTTGTGGACATCAATGATAACGCCCCCGAGTTTGTACAGTCGCTCTATGAGGTTCAGATTCCTGAGAACAGCCCCCTTGATGCCATAGTTTTGACGGTCTCTGCCAGGGATTTAGATACTGGGATACATGGGAATGTAGCCTATGCTCTGTTTCAAGGCGATGGAGCTTCTCAACCATTTGTAGTAGATGAAGTCACAGGAGAAATTCGTCTGAGTAAAGAATTGGATTTTGAGGTAGCTAGCCATTATAACATAGAAATCGCAGCCACGGATGGAGGAGGCCTTTCAAGCAAGTGCACTGTGGCTGTACAGGTGTTGGATGTGAATGACAACGCCCCAGAGTTGACCATCTCCACGCTCACAAGCCCTATCCCTGAAAACTCCCAGGAGATTGTAGTTGCTGTTTTCGGTGTTTTTGATCTAGATTCTGGGGACAGTGGAAGAATGGTGTGTTCTATTGAAAATGATCCTCCATTTCTATTGAAGCCCACATTTGAGAACTATTACACTTTAGTGACAGAGGGGCCACTGGACAGAGAGAGCAGAGCTGAGTACAACATTACCATCACAGTTACTGACCTGGGCACACCCAGACTCACAACCCAGCACACCATAACAGTGCAGGTGTCTGATGTCAACGACAATGCCCCCACCTTTACCCAAACCTCCTACACCCTATTTGTCCAGGAGAACAACAGCCCTGCCCTGCACATAGGCACCATCAGTGCCACAGACTCAGACTCAGGCTCCAATGCCCACATCACCTACTCTCTGCTGCCCACCCACGACCCACAGCTGGCCCTAGACTCGCTCATCTCCATCAACGCCGACAATGGGCAGCTGTTCGCGCTCAGGGCGCTGGACTACGAGGCCCTGAAGACCTTCGAGTTCCACGTGGGCGCCACAGACCAAGGCTCTCCTGCGCTCAGCAGCCAGGCGCTGGTGCGAGTGCTGGTGCTGGACGCCAACGACAATGCGCCCTTCGTGCTCTACCCGCTGCAGAACGCCTCTGCACCCTGCACAGAGCTGCTGCCCAGGGCGGCAGAGCCAGGATACCTGGTCACCAAGGTGGTGGCAGTGGACCGCGACTCTGGACAGAATGCCTGGCTGTCCTTCCAGCTGCTCAAGGCCACAGAGCCCGGGCTGTTCAGCGTGTGGGCTCACAATGGCGAGGTGCGCACCTCCAGACTGCTGAGTGAGCGCGATGCTCCCAAGCACAGGCTGCTGCTGCTGGTCAAGGACAATGGAGATCCTCCAAGGTCTGCCAGTGTCACTCTGCATGTGCTGCTGGTGGATGGCTTCTCTCAGCCCTACCTGCCTCTGCCAGAGGTGGCGCGCGACCCGGAGCAAGATAATGAGGACTTGCTCACTCTGTACCTGGTCATTGCCTTGGCTTCTGTGTCTTCTCTCTTCCTCTTGTTTGTGCTGCTGTTTGTGGGGGTGAGGCTGTGCAGGAGGGCCAGGGCGGCCTCTCTGGGTGGCTGCTCTGTGCCTGAGGGACACTTTCCTGGTCACCTGGTGGATGTCAGCGGAGCAGGAACTCTGTCTCAGAGCTACCAGTATGAGGTGTGTCTCACTGGAGACTCTGGGACCACAGATTTCAAGTTCCTCAAGCCCATTGTTCCCAATAGTCTGATTCCAGACACTTATATGTTGAATAGTTAAAATTATAGGTGTCATTAAGAGAAGGATAAAATAGTAGTTGTTGAAATGTCAGTGGTTTTTCTGGTAATTGGCAATATTTCCCTGAGGTTTGCGTTTTATTTCTATGTGGTTTTACTTTTTGTATCATCAATTAATGCTTCACCTGTCTCCTGTTTTAGTAACGCAATCTTAATGTATCTTTTCTCTTACTCAGAGAGAAGTAAAATCTTCACTCTGTTAGTGATGACTGGAATAGTTTTAAATCTCAATTAATGTAGTGAATTTGGTGAGCAATGTAGAATCCCAAATATTTTTGAGATTTATCTATACCAGTTTCTTTGACTTTTAGGAGGTATATTAACTATGCAATGTGATAGGTTTATTGTGGTGTTTGCATATATGCAGATAATGTACCTTGTCCTTACTCATCCCTAATCTTCAGCCTCCCCCTTTGATTTTATATTGCCCCTAAATACCACCAAGAAGTGAAAATGTTCTACTCTGGTCCTTGTGTGTGTGGCTGTTGTTCCATCCATTTTCCTGAAAATGATGTACTTTCATTATTCTTTATGGATGAGTAAAATTACAGTGTGTGGTTTGGAGGTGTAGGTCAGTTGGTAGGGTGCTTGCTCAGCATGCACAAGCCCTGGCTTTGAGCACCAGCATCACATGGTTAGTTTAATATACATCTGGGTTATGTGGAACTCTGTCTCTCAAAAACAAAAACAAAACAAAACTTCATTTTGCATAAACTACATTTTCTTTATCCATCTGTTACAATAATCTTAAAGCGTTTTCTCTATAGTTAAATAAGGTGTTAAGTACAAATGAAATATCATTTCTTTAGGAAATAAAGTAATTTGCAATCCTTTAAGGAGCAACAGCTTTAACTCGTTTCTTTATTGACACCAACTATCACTGTGTTTTTGAGACAGGGTCTCTCTACATGCCCCTGGGTGTCCTGGAACTCACTCTGCAGACCTAGTTGGCCTCAAACTCACAGAGATCCATCTGCCTCTCTCACCCGAGTATGGGGATTGAAGGCATGCACCACCATTTCCAGCAGCAATTAATATTCAAGATTTTATTTTTATTCTGGCCCAAAAGTAAAAAACATAGATAAATCCACTGGATTACTTTTATGCTTTTACTCTTTATGGTTGTTAAAAGTATAGTCATAGGAATAAATTAAACACAAGTCATTTTCAACTACTAAGAATTCTTTCCTTTTCATATTATTTTGTGAGGTGTATAGTTAGATGCCACTTTGGTTTGTAAATTCTGAGCTGTTGTAGTAAAAATCCATAGGATAATTTTTAAAACAACTACAGTAAGGATTTGAGTTCTGTTAAGCCCTCTTGGTTACTCATACCCATTTCTCACACATATGGTGACTTAAGAGGAAAATATTTTCTTTGCTTACTGTCAAGGTTCCTTCAGTTTGTAACCTGACATGATTTAGGATTGCTCAGAATCTTGCTCAGATAATAACTTTTGATCCATATTTTGCCTCCACCATTGTAATTCAAAGATATATGAAAATGGGAATTAGAGAACAATATCATCAAGAAAGATCGACTACAGCTTATAATTAAATCTAGAAGGAACCAAAACTTCAAATATTATGGCCATTTTGAATGAAATATGTCTTAGTTTTCTACTGCTGTGATAAAATACCGTGACCAAGGCAAGAATAAAGAGTTCCATCAAGAAGGACCCTATCAAGAAGAAAGAGTTCCTTGGGGGCTTACAGTTTCAGAGGGTGAAAGTCCATGACCATCATGGCAGAGAGTATGGCAGAAGCCAGGAATCGTGCTGGAGAAGTACCTGAAAGCTTATACCTTGATCCAGGGGCAAGAGGCTAATTAGGAATGGAGGGGACTTTTGAAACCTCTAAGCATACTCCCAAGTGACACCTTCTCCAACAAGGCCACACCTAATCCTTCCCAAACAGTCCCCCAACTGGGGACCAAGTATTCCAATATATGAGCCTATGGGACCATTCTCGTTCTAACCACCATAGACTGTGACTTCATTGTGGAGTACATTTTAGCATGCTCATGGCCTTAGGTTCTATCTCCATTACCACAAAAGAAGGGCTTTTCTTTGGGTGGTTATTTACCGAGTATTTACTCTAGTTATTGAGATTAACCATTAATCTTTGTTAACTTTGTATAGTGCAGGTTATCTACAGTACTTTCTTCTTATTTGTGCCATATAATAACACAATTTTTTACAAATTATATATGCATGAACATGTATTTATAATTATTCAAAGACATATTGTTGAAATTGAAGGATGAAAAATACCATATAGACAGTAAACAAAAGAGACTTTGGAGAATAGCAAAGTCAACCACAAAGTTAATTTTAAAGATCATTAAAACACCATTAAAGAGAGCTATCCTAGATGATAAAAATGAGAATCTATTTGGGAAAATATCAACTTAAACATATATGTAGCTAAATATAGTAAGTACCTCAAAGTAAAAGTCTTAGTTACTTTTTCTGTTGCTGTGATAAAACACCCTGACCAAAGCGACTTAAGGGATAAAGGATTTATTCTGGCTCACAGTTCAAGGGTGTCATCAATCCTCAGGGGTGTCCTGGAGCTTGCAGTAGCTAGTCACATTGCATTTACAGCAAGGAAGCAGAGAACAGTGAATGTTTGCATTCATTCCACTTTTTCATTTTTATATAGTCCAGGATCCTAGTCAAAGGACTAATGCTACCTACAGAGGTCAGGTCTTCCCACCTCAGTGACTCAAGATCATTCCCTAAAGACATGCCCTTGGATGCACATGTCCCGGGTGATTCCAGATCTTATCAAGGTAACAACTGAGATCACCCATCACAACAAATGAAACAAAATTCAACGCAAACAGTATTTAATTTTGATTAATTTGATTGGGGGTAAAACAACAACAATATCTACATCATTACATCATTAATGAGGCACACATTTGGGTGTGTCTGTGAGGGTGTGTCCAGAGATTTTTAACTGAGGAGATAAGGCACACCCTAAATATGTTAGGAACATTCCATGGGGTGAGGTCCAAGACTGAATAGGAAAAGAAGAAAGTGAGCTGAGCACCAGCAGACATATTCCTCTGCTCCTTGACTTTAGATGCAATGTGACCAGCCATTCCATGCTCTCACTGTCTTGTCTTCCCCATCACATTGAATTGTATTCCCTCAAATGCTGAGTCAAAATAAACTCTTTCTTCAATAACTATTTTCTACAGCAGTGGGAAAAGTAACTAATTCAATCACCAAGACTTAAAAACCAACTCTAGGTTCTGAGATGGCTTGGTGTGTGGAACCAAAATAAGACCAAAATGCTTTCACCCTAAAACTAAGGCCTAAGATTTCTCCTTTTAGGTACAGGCCATGAGTTACTAAAACCAGTCAGTCAAGATTCCAGAAACCAGGAAGTGTAAAAGTACAGAGTCACAAGGTAGTCACAAGGTAATGACTGCCAAACTATGGAATGTCCTCTCCCTGGTTCCCTAGGTAACTGTTTGACCAAAGAATGTTCCAACCCTGGTTTCCAGGGTAACTGACCATAGAAATGTCCCCACCTGAGGGCAGCCAATGAGAAATGGTGGCGAGCAACCACCCCCTTAGAAGTAAGATTAAGCCATGATTTCTAGAAAGTCCCTAGAAGTGAGCCAATCAGAATTGTACCCTACTAGCACCCCTAAATGATGTAACCTTGTGGTTTTTGCCTTTAAAAACTGAGCTTGCAGAGAGGCGGGCACTTCCTCCAGCCTCCACTGTGTTGGATCTGTTGGACGACATCCCTGCCTAGGCTTGTATTGCTTTTGGATATCCCAAATTAAACCTTGCTTTTGCATTCCAGCATGCTCATCTTCAGTGGTCTCTTTGGGGGTCTCCATCTGGGCACAACCGGTGGGCAAAGGCACCTTTCACTAAATCTGATGACCAGTGTTCAATCCTCAGGACCCACATGGCAGGAGAGAATTGACTCTCAAAAGTTGACCTCTGACCCCCATACATACACCATGCTGCATTCTCCTTATGAATAAATATAATTTTTAATTAAAAATAAAACTACACTAACAGAGAATTCTACTAAAAAAACAGCAGGAGATTTTTTTCAATTCTTCAGGATGGACCATCATAAAATATGATTCCACAAATTTTAAATATTGAAACCAAGCAATGCTTGATCTACAGTTATAATGGAATTAACCTGGAAGTTCAGAAAATTCACAAACAATATGGAAATCGACATATTTCTAACCAGTAAATGCGGCATAAAAGAAATCATAAGGAACATTGACAAAATCTGAAATGACTGAAAAATGAAAATACAACATAGAAAGTGTCTGACATGCAATTAAACTTAGAGGCAAGTTATAGCAGAAAATAACCCACATTAAAAAAAGATCTCAAATCAATAGCTCAGATTTCTACTTTAGGACAAGACCTGTATTCTTGGTCAGTATAAAACCAGATAGATAGGTTATATTGATGATCTAGTCTCGAAAAAAGGAATGAAAGAAAAACATTGAATAATGAGAGCATTCTAAGCACCAATGAGCAAGAGAAAATTAGAGTAGATGGACTCAATGAATTAGAAAATGAAAAACAGCTTAAGTGCAAATCAGTGGAAAGAAAGGTTTAGTATATTGCAATAATCAAGAAAACTGACAAACTTGTACTCAGATTAATCCAGGAAAAAGAAGATTGAAATTTCCAAATTATGGAATAATAGAGGGGAAATGTAACCTACTTTACATAGAAAAGGAGACATTATAAGAGGACTCTCTTATAATCTTATGATCAATTTCAAGTACACTAGTTCTAAAACCAAGATTAATTTTTTAAAAATTCCTAGAAACACACTGCTAAAACTGACTAAAGAAGAAATAGAAAATCAGCCAGGCGGCAGTGGCACACACCTTTAATCCCAGCACTCAGGAGGCAGAGGCAGGCGGATCTCTATGAGATTGAGGCCAGTCTGGATTACAGAATGAGTTCCAGGAAAGGCACCAAAGCTACAGAGAAACTCTGTCTCGAAAAACGGAAAAAAAAATAAGTCCAGCAAGTTTGTAGGACAAAGATTGTTTTCCAAAAATAAAATTAAAAAAAAATCCAGAAGTATGAAAAGACCATAACACTTAGAAATTGGCTTAACTAAAGATGTAGGAGATTTTATAGCAAACACTGGAGGACATTACTGAAAGAAGTTTCAAAAGATTTAAGTAATTAGAAAATATTTGTGGACTGGAAGACTTGATTCTGCATAAATAGTTGTATGTTCAATGGTCAGCAGTTTTAATCCATCTCTCAGTCAACTTTTTACAGAAATTGCCATGCCAACTCTAAAATTCTTATGAAAATTAAAGGAATTCAGAAATATAAAGACAAAGTCAAAGGAGTTATGATTCCTGATTTAAAGAACTTTCTGAGTTATAAATTAGACATTTGAATATCTGGTGTTAATTGATCACATGTAAGCAATATATTTTAACTACTATATACCAGAAGTGTTTAATAAAATGATTAAAGACTTTTATCTTTTCTTCAGTTATGCTTAAAGTGCTTGCCTACGTAATACTAGGGAGGAGTTCAAGTGCCATTTAATTCCTTGAACACTGTCCATCTCTCTTTGTGTATTCACAGTGAAAAAAATGCTTCAGATATCATCTTTTATTTCAGCACTAGTGATGTAACTGACCACAAAAGTCTTTCTCTGTAGCAGTGCACCTTACCCGACTGAGAAATAGTTTTTAGGTGTTTATTCCTTATTGTCTTAGGGTTTCCATTGCTGTGATGAAACATCACGACCCAAAGCAACTTGGGCATTATTTGGCTTGCACTTCCAGATCACTGTTCATCATTGAAGGAAGTCAGGACAGGACCTAAAACAGGGCAGGAACCTGGAGGCAGTAGCTGATGCAGAGGCCAGAGATGCTGCTGCTAATAAGATGCTAATAATAGGCTTGCTCCCCATGGCTAGCTCAGCCTGCTTTCTTGCTATAGCACTCAGGACTACCAGCCCAGAGATAGCACCACCCCACCATGGGCTGGACCCTCTACCATTAATCACTCATTAAGAACATGCCTAACAGGCTTGTCTACAGCTAGATCTTATGGAAGCATTTTCTTAATTGAGGCCCCTTCTCTCAGATGACTCTAGCTTGTGTCAAAATGATACAAAAGCACACTTACCATATTAAATCTCCTTTTGTTCAGATATATATTTTCCTGATAAATTTGGAGAAAAAATCCACAGCATAACATGATAAGGAACCTTTCTTGATTCTTTATTGTAGCTTGAAACATTCATTGACTCTAACATTATTTAAAAATACCTACACATAGATATTTTATATACTAAGACCAGGAATAATTAATCATGTCTTACCAACAAAACCACTGATTTCTAAGTTTGTAAGCATTCCTCTTGGCTGGTGATTACTTCTGAAGACAGTAAAGAATTTTAAAGGATATAATAATAATCGAAAACTTGGGTACAGATCACACGACACCCCTGATACGTACATACACAAACCAGGGCTGAAATTCAGATCTACTGTAAATTTTGTACAAAATCGTTCACCCTTCTAATTCTACTTGGGCATATAAGACAGCACGTGACACTGGGGGAATTATTTGTGCCAAATCTCATTTTCTTCATCTATAAATCATGACCAATGCAAGGACCAACTTCACAGAGTTGATGGAAGAGGAAATAATTAACATGTAAAATGTTGATAATTCTTCCCATTTGGCAATATATGTTAGTACTACTGAGATTTTATTTGGTTTTGGATTACAAAAGGAACTGGAAATAGGTGATCTCAAAACACTTTGCCAACCTGTGGAACTAGGAAAATAAATTATGGTCAAATTTTGTTCTGAACTCTTTAAGTCTAACTAGAACCTGCTTACTATCCTAGGAAATTTTCTATCTGTTCTTCTCAGATTTGTTTTCCATTTATATTTTTTAAAAGATACATCCTTTTTTATTTTCTTCAGTATTTATTTTATATTTTTACTTTATTTTATGTCAGTGCTTATGCAGGTAGAAATGTGTTTGAGTGCATTTATTTATTCAACTGACATATGATCAATACTTACTATAATTCATGTTTTCCAATTCCAGAATATGATAGTATGGACATATTTTAGCAGCAACTTATTTAATATGAATCATAAATTAATCCAATAAGTAAATGAAATCAGGTGCAAAAGCCTAGGAAATCTTGCATAAGAAAGATAAATGATGCACCATCCGATATACGGCCTGTAACCATGGCCTAGTAAAATGTTTCCCCATGATGCTCCAGTTTTCTTGTATCTTTCAGGGTAATCAAAGCAGCTACACTCACACTGAAAACTGTTGTACACCCTTCACTTTCCTCTGTTAATAAGATTATGAGGAGAGGGGGATCTCACTGTTTCATGCTCAAAATGTTTTAAGTCTATACTTGCTTCCTCTTGGGGGATTATGATATCCACAATTTAAAGGGTGTACACAAAGCTCACTATAAAGTAAACTTCACACGTGATAGATTATATCATATCAAATCAGGAACCAAAATAAAGCTTCCTTTAAGAATTCCTTACACATAGGTAGCTAAGTAAGTAGATGTAAAGCCTGGAAAGAACTGTATGAACTTCACTTGTTTGATTTTGTCCTGCTCTGATCATGATTATATATTAACTCCTGCCATCATTTCAAGACTCAGTTATCTTATTTGTTGAAATCCTTTAATCCCCTCTCCAGGCCATTCTGTAACTCAATCATGGTTTACCTCATTTCTATCTAGATTTATTTTATTCCACACACTAAACATCAAACTTCTTTATTCAACGGTTCTGCTATTTGCACACCAGTGTAGAGAAATAGAAACCATCCTTAGGAAAAAAACAGAAACAAAAACAAAAACAAAAAAAACCCAATCTCTTTCTTAGGATGATGTGGTAATTACTTGAAATTTTTGCATCTCTAAAAAGTGCTTATTTATGAGAACCAAACTGGTGTAAGTGTCATTAAGTGGATTCAAAATTAAGACTTTAGTTTACTTGGTTAGATTATGCAAAATACAAAAGTACCGTCAAATACCACCAATTGACCTTTGGGAAAACTGAGTTAACTTCCTGTTTCGTGCTAAAAATTCTTCTGACAAATGCCCCAAAATGAAATATCTTTATCATTTATGCAACCTAAAATAAGAACAACACTTGTAAACATGAAAAATATTAAGCATTTCTATGTGTTGTTCATTTGGAAATTTTCAAAAGGTTTCCAACTTGAAAACACTGTCAATTTCTCAATATGGACGCAGGGTGGCGCTGCAGGCTAAGGTTATGAATAACCGCTTAAAAAGCTTCCTGGTCCTTTGTGTCGCAAGACGGAATAAAAAAAAAAACACGGACAGGAAACATCATAAAGAATACTCGTCTCTGAATGGGTTTGGGCTGCAGTATACTAAATGAACAAAGGTTCAGAGCAACTGAGTAAAGAATTCTCCAACGGAGAAATCAGAATTCAGCATTCAAGCCATTCAGAGTCAGCTGAACAGTCTGATACAAGCACTCCTGTTTCCACCATGGAGAAGCTGGAGAGAATTCACCCAAACAGGCAAGTGATTCCTTTCCTTTTTATGCTGCTTTGGGATCGGGTTCTAACAGTGCCTACTCGGTACTCTATCCTGGAAGAAACAGATAGTGGGTCCTTTGTAGCCCATCTGGCAAAGGATCTAGGCCTGAGATCTGGGGACCTGACTGCCCGGTCTGCACGGGTGGTGTCTGACTATGACAAACAGCAGTTGATTCTGGATCCCGACACTGGGGATCTGTTTCTGAGGGAGAAACTAGATCGGGAAGAGCTTTGCGCCTCTGTGGATCCCTGTGTGCTGCATTTCCAGGTGTTCCTAGAAAAGCCAGTGCAATTTTTTCAAGGAGAATTATTGATCCAGGACATAAATGACCACTCACCAGAATTCCCAGATAGGGAAATGCTCTTGAAAATACCAGAAAACAGCCAGCCAGGCACTCTGTTACCACTGAATTTAGCCCAGGACTTGGATGTGGGCAGCAATGGGCTACAGCAATATACAGTCAGCCCCAACTCACATTTTCATGTCCTCACTCGAAATAACAGTAAAGGCAAGAAATACCCAGAGTTGGTGCAGGACGGAGCCCTGGACAGAGAGGAACAGGCAGAGCTGAGCTTGACCCTCACAGCTCTGGATGGTGGCTCTCCACCTAGGTCAGGAACAGCCATGGTTCGAATCCTGATCCTGGATATCAATGACAATGCCCCCAAATTTGTGAACACCCCCTATGAGGTGCAGGTTCTGGAAAGCAGTCCCCCAGGCTCTCCAGTCCTGACTGTCCTAGCACAGGATGCAGATGCTGGCAACTTTGGGAGAGTTTCCTATGGCTTGTTCCAAGCATCAGATGAAATTCAACAAACCTTCTCAATAAATGAAGTCACAGGAGAAATACGATTGAGAAAGAAACTGGATTTTGAAAAAATTAAATCTTACTGTGTACAAATCGAGGCCACAGATGGAGGAGGTCTTTCGGGGAAGGGAGAGGTGGTGATAGAGGTGGTAGATGTGAACGACAATGCCCCAGAGCTGACCATATCTTCACTGACCAACTCAGTCCCAGAAAATGCTCCTGAAACTGTGGTTGCTATCTTCCGAATACGAGATAGAGACTCTGGAGAGAACGGGAAAATCATTTGTTCCATTCCAGATACTCTACCATTCATTTTAAAACCCTCTAACAAGAACTTTTACACCTTGGTGACAGAGAGCCCTCTGGACAGAGAGAGCAGAGCTGAGTACAACATCTCCATCACAGTCACTGACCTGGGCACACCCAGGCTCACAACCAAGCACACCATAACAGTGCAGTTGTCCGATGTCAACGACAATGCTCCCACTTTCACCCAAACCTCCTACACCCTGTTTGTCCAGGAGAACAACAGCCCCGCTCTGCACATAGGCACCATCAGTGCCACAGACTCAGACTCAGGCTCCAATGCACAAATCACCTACTCTCTGTTGCCCACCCATGACCCGCAGCTGGCCCTCGACTCGCTCATCTCCATCAATGCCGACAATGGGCAGCTGTTCGCGCTCAGGGCCCTGGACTATGAGGCCCTGCAGGCCTTCGAGTTCCATGTGGGCGCCACAGACCAAGGCTCTCCTGCGCTCAGCAGCCAGGCGCTGGTGCGAGTGCTGGTGCTGGACGCCAACGACAATGCACCCTTCGTGCTCTACCCGCTGCAGAACGCCTCTGCACCCTGCACAGAGCTGCTGCCCAGGGCGGCAGAGCCAGGATACCTGGTCACCAAGGTGGTGGCAGTGGACCGCGACTCTGGACAGAATGCCTGGCTGTCCTTCCAGCTGCTCAAGGCCACGGAGCCCGGGCTGTTCAGCGTGTGGGCTCACAATGGTGAGGTGCGCACTGCCAGGCTGCTGAGTGAGCGAGATGCTCCCAAGCACAGGCTGCTGCTGCTGGTCAAGGACAATGGAGATCCTCCAAGGTCTGCCAGTGTCACTCTGCATGTGCTGCTGGTGGATGGCTTCTCTCAGCCCTACCTGCCTCTGCCAGAGGTGGCGCACGACCCCACCCAGGATGAGGACTTGCTCACACTGTACCTGGTCATTGCCTTGGCTTCTGTGTCTTCCATCTTCCTCTTGTCTGTGCTGCTGTTTGTGGGGGTGAGGCTGTGCAGGAGGGCCAGGGCGGCCTCTCTGGGTGGCTGCTCTGTTCCTGAGGGACACTTTCCTGGTCACCTGGTGGATGTCAGCGGCACTGGGACCCTGTCCCAGAGCTACCAATATGAGGTGTGTCTGACTGGAGACTCTGGGACTGGTGAGTTCAAATTCCTCAAACCCATGATCCCTAACCTGTTGTTTCAGGATGCTGGGAGAGAAGTTAAGGAAAGTCCCCACTGCAGAGATAGCTTTTTATTCAGCTAAGTGATGTAAATTCCTAGACATTGTCCCATTCTTTTAAGAAATGATCTTGTTTCTAAGAAGTTCTTCATTAGTCTAACATGCTTACATCCTTAATTCCGCTGTTTTTTAATTGGTTTGAAGGTACTAGGCTTTTAGTTGTACTAAATATATTTCATATTTTTCTCTGCATAAGAATATCTCTTTGTTACTAATACTCCCATAACCCCAAATAGCCCAAATAGTATAACATTTTCTCTGAATGATACTCTTAGTGATCTTCCAAGACATTTTAGTGCCCTCAAGAAAACTTGCGTTTGTGTATAAATTTGGGATTCTTGCCCTTTCTATGCGATTTTATCTTTTCAAAGGTAGATTGTTTAAAACGACTTATGTTGCCTGGATCTTTCTGCATGAATGGGAAGCCGCATTATGTCATGTTCACTTTCAGGCTGAGTGCCCTGAATAGTCAAGTCATAAAATTTAAACTGTATGTGAATGTACACAAGGATTGTGACACTTTTTGTTTGTGAGCATCATGCATGTTAGTGGGCCTGTTTATTTGGTTGCAAGTGTTCTAGAAATGCTAAAAGTTTAAGTTTTGAATTCTAACTTGATGAAAATTAAAGAGAACATATGTGATTTCTCATTCCACTTATTAAATAAAACTGTTACATCACTGCTTTGCTATAATCTCTTTTAATAATTAATCTCATAATCAGTATTTTGTCCTTTCTTTCTTAAAAGGAAAATGCAGGGTTATTGAGGGCTATCACATTTGTCTTTTTCTTTCCTCATACAAAGAAGTTCAAGCATGGCATAATGTGTGTGTCTTCTCCAGAAGCTTCTCCCACCTTGCAAATTATTGTTTTTGAGCTGTGGGTATTCTGTTTGATTCTGTTTATTAGAAGATTTCACAATGTTCACTTTGTGTTACTTGGAGGCTTTAGGCAGTTTATCAATCAGCAAAAAAAAATTGGGGGGTTAAATCATTTTGTTTTGTTTTTAGTGTACTCTTGAGTTACTTTGAGTTAAACTGGTCATTATGAATATTATTTTGTTTGTTAATAAATTAGAACAGTAGCATACTTATTGATTTGTAATTGCAATATTCTGTTGTGTTCAATAAGCCTGGTGAACTGATTGCTTGGTTTCTAACTCATTACATGTATGTAGATAAGTAAGACTGTATCAAAACTCCTTGAACTTTTGGCAGAAAATGAGCAATTGAAAAGTATTCTTCATATCCCATTATATATTTCAAAATCTTAACTATCAGTCTACGTGAAGTGAAGCAGTTGTACTTTTACCCACACTCGTCTCCTCACCAAAGCTACACAACAATGGAAAAGGCAAATTCCTGGAAGTTTAAGCTCTTCTTGAAGTGCAGAGTTTTAGTCAACATTCAATTTTTAAAAAAAAGATAAATAACCCTGGAAGTCCATGAGCCACACACAGGAGAGCTGAAAATGGGGAGGAGACCTGTTGGGAAGAATGGCTTTGTCAGGAGAGGGAGAGGGTAAGAGAGGTGATTTGGGGTGTAGGAAAGGGCAAGACAATGTCTGAAGAGATAATGACTGACAATTTCTATCAGTGGTGAACCTGTGAATGTTGGGGGAACCCAGAGAAATCTCATCTGGGTCTGTAAGAAGCAAAGCCCACTTGCAAATATCACAGGAAAGTTGTTCAACACAAGGTCCAGGGCAGGAAAAATACTAATGCAACCACATGAATATGATTGTTTCTTTTATTTATTTATCTGTCTACCTATCTATCTATCTGTCTATCTATCTATCTATCTATCTATCTATCTATCTATCTATCTATCTATCATCTATCTATCTATCTATTTATTTTTATTTTACTTGTTTTGGTCTTTCAAGACAGGGTTTTTCTTGTAGCCCTGGCTGTTCTAGAGTTCACTCTGTAGACCAGGCTGTCCTTGAACTCAGAGATCCCCTTGCCTCTGCCTCTGGACTTCTGGGATTAAAGGTGTGTTGTTACTGCCTAGCATGGTGTATTTCTTTCTTTTTTTTAGCTGAGGATCGAACCCAGGGCCTTGTGCTTGCTAGGCAAGCGCTCTACCACTGAGCTAAATCCCCAACCCATGGTGTATTTCTTTTAAAGGCGCATCAGTAAAGCTAAGAACTGTGTCTTAACCATCAATCCTGAAATCAAAGATAATGGCTTTAAATCCCGAAAGAAAAAGTATTCCACGCTATAACTCTTTATCTCACATAGCCTTAAAGGGTGAAACTTTGGGGCAAAAATTGAGAAATACTTTTAGTGAATTAATTAGGCAGAAGAAAAAAATCCCAAAAGGATTGCAGACTTATGTCAAGAAGGAAAAAGTAACAGGAAAGATTATAAGTGGATATTGACCAGGTATTGACCTTATAAAGTGATGAGTAGTGTCTTAACATTCATGCAAAGGCAGAGGAATAGATGTAAAAGAAAAAAAGAAAGAATGAAACCTTTAAAAATGAAAAGGAGCCAGGCTGGTAGCATACTCTTTCATTCTCAGCAATATGGAGGTAGAGGCAGGTGGATCACTGAGTTTGAGGCCAGCCTGGTTTACAGAGAGAATACCAGGCCAGCTAGGGCTATGTAGTGAGACTGTCTCAAAAAATTGGTTTTCTAAAAAAAATGGTTCTACTACTTTTTCATCTGGTCATTAATTCATGAGCATATTTTGTATGATAATTTGGGTTTGGGGAGAGCCTTTTAAGATTTTTCTCTTTCTTTGAAATATATTTCTTTTCACACAGCTGCATTACATATTTCTTTATTTTTGCTGTTCCAGTAGGCTTTCCTTAAGGATATTTTATATGGAAATTAAATCTATTTTTAGAAAAAAAACAGTTTTGTATTTGAATCTTCCATTTTCTCCATTCTCTTTATTATTTCTTCCTGGAAACTGTATTTTTTGAGGTTCTCATTCTATTCTCCATACCCCTTGACTTTAAATTTTTATTTCTCCCTGATATGCCAGCAGATTGTCTTTATGTCATCTCAGCTTACCCCAAGTCTTTCACCCAACAAAGATGTACAAGAATCAAAGTTATGTCTATAAATTTGTTTCAATGATAATTTATTTCTAGCTTCATTATTTTTCACAATTAAAGACCTCATGTAATTTTTATATTCGCCTTGGGATTGAGTTCCCATCTCTCAATTCTCCCTTGGTTCCTTTAAATATAAAGCACTGAGATTACCACATCTTCATGATGGAGAAGTCATATATACACACGCACCTACATAATCTACATGTACAAACATATCAGATAAATTACACCCTCATCTATTCCATCCACTTTCCGGTTATCACAGGTTTAGTGTGAGGAATTACTATCACTGACCTTGGCTGTTCTCTCCTCTAGTTTGCTCGTTAGTCTCAGTGCAACGAGAGCAGATTCATGGGAAAGTCACTTCTTTCCAATGAGTTTTTTCATATACAATCTCTGCTGTGACTACCTTTCTTTTCCTCCCTGCCATCTTTGCTCTCACTCTTGTTCTTTCTTATTTTCTCATCCCTCTATTTCTATCTCACTTGTACTAAAGATTTAGAGTCAAGGAGCACATTACATAAGAACTGTGTGTATGTTGAATGTGTGCAGGATATTTCATAAAAAAGAAAATGTGAATGTATTGAGGTGATAAAATCATCTGAACTAATGGGCCGTGGACTTCTTAGATTACATTATCATGTCTATCACACACAATGTTTTTATTTTTGTTTCTGTTAAACTTTAATAAATCAAACCATCAAAAATTTATAAGGAACAATGTTGTTGCATTTGACAATTTATATAAAAGTCCATTTAAAATTCAAAACTGAAGAAAATATAAAATATGATCTGTCACATCTATTAGATATGATAAAAGTCTATTTCAGATGTTGAATTATTACAAATGTTCTTATGAGAAATAACACAAATGTATAAACTTGTGTAAGTAATCAACGTATCACTAATCAGCTGGGTGTCAGCAGCTCTGAGTGGATTATGACATTCAAACTTCAAAAGAACATGTAAGAAAGAAATCACAAAACAAACTCTTCTGTAGATATACATGGACATGCTCTTTTTTTCCTAACAAAAAAGATAATCAAATTCAATAGGTACAGAAAAATTTACTCAACAAGATACAGCACATATTAATAAGCAAAATGTTAGCAAATGAATATAAAAGGGAATTTTTGAATATATTTAAGTTTACAGTAGCCAGACATGGTGGTATGTCTTTAATTCCAGCACTCAGGAGGCAGAGGCTAATCTCTGTGAGTTCAAGACTATTATCCAAAAGGAATTCCAGAACAGCCCAGGTTACACACAGTGACACCTGGTCTCATAAAATATATATATTTGGTGTGTGTGTGTGTGTGTGTGTGTGTGTGTGTGTGTGTGTGTGTGTGTGTGTAGTAAATATCACTAAAGGCAAATTATTAAAATTATTTAAAATTTTTCTGCTGGAAATCAACAATGACATAAGGATATCCACCCTGGCTACTACCAAGATTTTACTACCAGTCCCAGCCAGAGGAATAAGGCAAAGAAGAAGTAAAAAGCACAGCAGAAGAAATAAAATTATATTTTTAAATAATGAAATTATATACTTAAAATCATGAAAACTCTGCAATCAGAAGTGATAAAGTAAGCCAGGAATGCCAGCAGATGCAAGACCAGCTCTGTTTATATGAAGAAAAATTGAAATAGCATTTAAAATGACTTCCAAATATATAAAGATCAAGAAACAAATCTCCTAGGGAGTTGTAAAGCAGGAAGATCAAACATTACTGAGAAAAATGTAATGATCTAAATAAATTGAGGAATGCATAATAGTCTATTGGAAAGACTCAGTGGTTGAAATGTTTATCTTTCAAACAATAGAAATCACAAAATCTTATGCAAAATTTCAGCAATCTGCCGGGTGGTGGTGGCGCACGCCTTTAATCCCAGCACTCGGGAGGCAGAGCCAGGTGGATCTCTGTGAGTTCGAGGCCAGCCTGGGCTACCAAGTGAGTTCCAGGAAAGGCACAAAGCTACACAGAGAAACCCTGTCTCAAAAAACCAAAAAAAAAAAAAATTTCAGCAATCTTCATTGTAGTGGGTAGCCATTCCAGCTTTGATCTGGAAGTTCCAACCCCCATTGAGACTTCGGCAACTGTCACGCCTACAAGGCGGGGCCAAGGGAGGCGCCGGGGGACCCGAGATCTGGATCGGCGGGCGCTCTCTCTGTTGCGGGACCTGGACTGGAGAGGTGGACCGAGCAGAGCTCCAGAGAACACCGCTGGACTGTGATACACCTTCCCCAGACTCCGCGACCTACCTATTCCTTAATTTGTAAGTTACGCCATTAAATAAATCTCCTTTTAACTACGTGGAGTGGCCTTAATAATTTCACCAATACTTCATTGTGAATTTGATGGGCTGAATATATATTTTGTATGTAAATACAAAGAGAAAAATAAAGCAATCTTGACTCCAAATAATGATTATTCTATAAAGATGATGTGATCTGTGGAAGAAATAATTGATGATGATGCACACTTTATTAAAATTAGATTTTCTGCTCTGTGAAAGATTCTACAAAAAATGGTCATAGACCAGGAGAAAATGCTGCCAACTGATGTGTTTGATAAAAGACAGCTGTCCAAAATACAAAGACTTTGAAGTCTCAATATTAAGAAAACAAGTCTACATAAAATAATGTGCCGAAGATCCTAACACTTACCAAACAAAACGCAGAGAAGGTGTGATGGCTATTCTTGGTTGTCAACTTGACTACATCTGGAATTAAATAAAGTGTGCTAAAATGGGGCACACCTGTGAGGTACTTTTGCTTACTTTGAAGTGGAAAGATCCACTTATTTCTAAATAGATCTTTGAGGTGGAAAGACACACTTTTAATCCAGGTCTTTTGGTATGGGAAGACTCATCTCTAATCTGGGCTGCACCTTCTGCTGGAAGCCTTTAGAACTATGGTTCTCAACCTTTTGGTTGTGACCCATTGGGGGGGATCAAATGACCCCCTCACATGGGTCCCCTAAGACCATTAGAAAACACAGATATTTATATTATGATTCATAGCAGTAGCAAAATTATAGTTATGAAGTAACAATGAAAATGATTTTATGGTTGAGTCACCACAACAAGGGGAACTGTATTAAAAGGTCACAGCATTAGGAAGGTTGAGAACTATTGCTTTATAAGTACAAGGAAGAAAGCAGCTCTTCTCTCTTTTTCTGCTTGCTCTAGCCTTGCTAGCTAGTCCATTCCTTCACTGGCATTAGAGCCTACCTCTTTGGGAATCCAGTGCATACTGAAGACCAGCTGAGACATCCAGCCTCATGGACTGACTGAACAACTACTGGATTCTTGGACCTTCCATTCATCGGCAGCCATTGTTGGATGAGCTAGGAGATAACCCATAAGTCATTCTAATGAATCCCCTTTACACACAAGCACACACACACACATATATACTTTCTATAAGTTCTGTTGCTCTAGAGAACCCTGACTAATATAGATGGCATATAATCACGTGGAAAGAGGCTCCACATCAACAAGTATGAATAATGAAACACCACTACCCAACCATAAGGCAGAATGACCAAACTCCAGGACACTGATGCCATCACTGCTGAGGAGGACATTAAGCACCAAGAATTCTCATTCATGGATTATGGGGATGAAAATGATATTACCATTTTAGAAGATAGTTTGGCAGCAAAACCAAGCACACTCTTACTATGTGAGTCAGCAATCACGCTTCTTAGTATTTATTTAAATTAGCTGAAACTTATGTTCATACAAAAACTGAAACAGGAGTGTTTATTGCAACCTTTTACATCACTTGTCAAACAGTAGCAGTGGCTAAGATCCTTCAGTAAGTGAAACTGAGAAAGCCTGATGCAATCACAAAATGGAATATTATTCAATACCAAGGGCAATGAGCTATCAATACATGAAGAGGCATTGAGAAAACGTGAACACATGTCATCAAAGAAGCAAGTTGAAAAACTCTAACTGTATAACATTTTGAAAAGTCCAAAGTATACAGGCAGTATAAAAGATCAATGATTTTCAGAGATTCAGAAAAGGGAGGTGGAGATAAATAATAGATTTTGAAGACTTGGGGTCAGGAGAACTACCTTGGTGCTACTCAAAAATGGATACATGTCATGATAAATTAACCCAAATATATATAGTGTGCAGTATGTAGAGGAACCCCAGTTAAAGTGATGGACTCAGGAAAAAATACATGTTAACAGCGAAGCTCAGTCAGTTCTAAGAAATGTACCACTCTAAATTCAATGATAATGAAGAAGTTTGTAATAATGTGATAATGAGGAAGGTTGATTTAAAATGCATTAAAACTCAATTTATTTCAGAAGGAAACTTACCATTAAGATAATAAGACCTATTATGAGTTATGAGAAGTAAGAGAGCATAGTATTGTTTGATATTCAAAGACAAATGGAATCTTTGAGCTGATTCATGGTCACCTGACTTATGACAACTGTGACAACTCAGAAACAATGGGGAATGGATCATGTTTTCAGTTCAGAATGCAAAGCCACCTAGGAAACTATGGACCTAAATCTTATGCACTTGTAAGATTTTAAGTTGATTATAGCTTTAAATATGAAAAATAAAAAAATCATTCAAAATACACGAGAATTCTTATGACATTGGAGATGGAAAGATTTAAACACTAGAAAAGTGCTACCCAGACATGGAAAATATTGACAGATCAGGTTAAGTTAAAATTAATAATTTTTGTTTATAAAAGACATCATAATGAGGTTAAAATAGAAGGCACGGAGTGGGAAAATTATTTACAATATGCATATGCAAAATGGGATTATACTAAGAATATAGATTATTCTGCAGACCAATTCCTCAGATAAAAAAATGTCTAAAAGACCTTATCTTGAGAATGCATCTGAATGGCCAATAAATACTTAAAAGTTTGCATCATTTCATTAATCACTAGGGAAATGCTAATTAAATGTACACTATGACATCCATACTCACTAGAGTGGTTAAAACTGGAAAGACAGCATCAAATGTTGACAAGATTATAGAGCAACTGGAATTCCCATGAGTTTCTGGAATTACTCTTTCACATTGCTGGAAATGGAATCCAATCCACTGAGTGCACTAGGCAAATGTTCTATGATTGAGCTGCATCTCTATCCCCAACGTTTAAAGAAATATCTTTGAGACAGTGACTCACTATATATCCCACACTGGCCTTGAGCTTGAGTGATACCCCATGTATGTCTTCCCAGAGATGGGGCTACAGGGGTGAGCCACCAGGGGCAGCTCGGTACAACTACTTTTGAAAACTACTTCACAGTGTTTGCCACGGCTAGATATATTTTCACACTTGGATGCACAACAAACAGCTCTGACACATGATGTATGCTTGTTTTATACACAGGACATGTGAAGAAATGTTCACAGGAGTAGCATTCAAAATTCAAACCTGGGCTGGGTGGTGGTGGGGCACGCCTTTAATCCCAGCACTTGGGAAGCAGAGGCAGGCTGATCTCTGTGAGTTCGAGAACAGCCTGGTCTACAAAGTAAGCTAGGATATCTAGAGCTATTACACAGAGAAAACTCTATCTAAAAAACAAGCCAAACCAAGCCAAACAAATACAAGCTCAACCTGGAGATCCCCAATGTTCCTCATCTGGTGTATATGCATGTGAACTATAATACAAGCCTATGGAGGGAAGACATGATACAATGAAAACAGCATAGCATAGAGGAGCACACCAAAGAAAACGTTAGTGAAGAACAGTCCTACAACAGAGAAATACTCTACTGGTTATACGTTATAAAAGTTCTAAGAAAGACAAAAAGTCAGTGTAGTGCTTAGGAAGAGAGTAGCAACTAGTGAACGGCAGAGGGAAAGTTTTCTCGTTAGGTGTGTGCTAATTATTCATCTAGATACTGGGTATTAGACTGTATTATCTTGATGATCCTTTGTTGTGCTGTACACTTAAGACTTTTTTTTTTACATGTATGTTATGTTTCAATGAGAAGTAATTTGGGAATATTCCAATATTTTGTAGATAACCATTACATTGAAGTTATGTATTCAAAGCGTCTTTCATAAAGATCAATATGCCATTTTGCTCATTTAAAAAGTTACATTCCCTGAAAATTAACTCAGCAAATGTGTTGGAACTTATGGTTGCTAAGAATTGAGCATACAGTGGAGGATATTTCTGTTTCCTAAAGAGTATTTAAACAAACACCACAGGGCTGGGACTGGGAATGGAGTGAACATTATGTGCAACACGAGAAGAGTACGCACGGTGGCGCTGCAGGCTAACAATTTGTATAACTAGGGGCTCCCAGGATGCCCAGGGACTTCCTTCCCCGACAATCAGAATGCTGACTGTTCCCTGAAAAAAGGGGACGTTTCCATAAGATCTAGGCGAAAGGACTCATGTAAGCAATTCAATAAGATTTAATTCGAGGTTATTTCACCAAACCTAATCTGTGTGGATTGAAACCGACAAGATTTAGAAGAAGCAGCGCCCTCTGGACTGCATCTGAACAATGGAGACAGCTCTAGCAAAAACGCCAGAGAAAAGGCAAGTCGTTTTTCTTACTATATTGCTGCTTTTGTGGGGGGCTGGCACTGAGGCGATTAGATATTCCATGCCAGAAGAAACGGAGAGTGGCTACTTGGTGGCTAACCTGGCAAAAGATCTGGGGCTCAGGGTGGGGGAACTGGCCACCAGAGGGGCGCGAATCCATCATAGAGGAAACAAAGAGCTCTTGCAGCTGGATGCAGAGACCGGCAATTTGCTCCTGAGGGAAAAACCAGACCGCGAGGTGCTGTGTGGGGTGACAGACCCCTGTGTGCTGCACTTCCAGCTCATTCTGGAAAACCCTGTGCAGTTCTTCCAAACTGACCTGCAGATCACAGACATAAACGACCATGGTCCGGAGTTCCCTCACAGGGAAATGCTTCTAAAAATTCAGGAAATTGCCCAGCCAGGGACTGTGTTTCCTCTGAAGGCGGCTCAGGACTCTGACATAGGGAGCAATGCTGTTCAGAACTACACAGTCAGCCCCAACCTCCATTTCCATGTGGTTACTCAGAGTCGTGCTGATGGCAGGAAATACCCTGAGCTGGTGCTGGACAGAGCCCTGGACAGGGAGGAGGAGCCTGAGCTCACTTTAACCCTCACTGCTGTGGATGGTGGGTCTCCTCCCAGGTCTGGGACCACCACAGTTCGCATTGAAGTCGTGGACATCAATGATAACGCCCCCCAGTTTGTACAGTCGCTCTATGAGGTTCAGATTCCTGAGAACAGTCTCCTTGATGCCGTAGTTTTGACAGTCTCTGCCAGGGATTTAGATGCTGGGATGAATGGGAATGTAGCCTACTCTCTATTTCAAGGTGGTGAAGCTTCTCAACCATTTGTAATAGATGATGTCACAGGAGAAATTCGTCTTAAAAGAATATTGGATTTTGAGGCAACTCCATATTATAACATGGAAATTGTAGCCACAGACAGTGGAGGTCTTTCAGGAAAATGTAGTGTAGCTATACAGGTGGTGGATGTGAATGACAACGCCCCTAAACTCACTATATCTTCGCTCACTACTTCCATCCCAGAAAATGCTCCTGAAGCTGTAGTTGCTGTTTTCAGTGTTTCTGACCCAGATTCTGGGGACAATGGAAGGATGGTGTGTTCTATTCCAAATGATCTTCCATTCGTTTTAAAGCCCACATTCGAGAATTATTACAGTTTAGTGGCAGAGGGACCCCTGGACAGAGAAAGCAGAGCTGAGTACAACATCACCATCACAGTCACCGATATGGGCACACCCAGGCTCACAACCCAGCACACCATAACAATGCAGGTGTCCGATATCAACGACAATGCCCCCGCCTTCACACAAACCTCCTACACCCTGTTTGTCCAGGAGAACAACAGCCCCGCCCTGCACATAGGCACCATCAGTGCCACAGACTCAGACTCAGGCTCCAATGCCCACATCACCTACTCTCTGCTGCCCACCCACAACCCGCAGCTGGCCCTCGAGTCGTTCATCTCCATCAATGCCGACAACGGGCAGCTGTTCGCACTCAGGGCGCTGGACTATGAGGCCCTGCAGACCTTCGAGTTCCACGTGGGCGCCACAGACCAAGGCTCTCCTGCGCTCAGCAGCCAGGCGCTGGTGCGAGTGCTGGTGCTGGACGCCAACGACAATGCGCCCTTCGTGCTCTACCCGCTGCAGAACGCCTCTGCACCCTGCACAGAGCTGCTGCCCAGGGCGGCAGAGCCAGGCTACCTGGTCACCAAGGTGGTGGCAGTGGACCGCGACTCTGGACAGAATGCCTGGCTGTCCTTCCAGCTGCTCAAGGCCACGGAGCCCGGGCTGTTCAGCGTGTGGGCTCACAATGGCGAGGTGCGCACCTCCAGGCTGCTGAGTGAGCGAGATGCTCCCAAGCACAGGCTGCTGCTGCTGGTCAAGGACAATGGAGATCCTCCAAGGTCTGCCAGTGTCACTCTGCATGTGCTGCTGGTGGATGGCTTCTCTCAGCCCTACCTGCCTCTGCCAGAGGTGGCGCGCGACCCCGCCCAGGATGAGGACGCGCTCACACTGTACCTGGTCATTGCCTTGGCTTCTGTGTCTTCGCTCTTCCTCTTGTCTGTGCTGCTGTTTGTGGGGGTGAGGCTGTGCAGGAGGGCCAGGGCGGCCTCTCTGGGTGGCTGCTCTGTGCCTGAGGGACACTTTCCTGGCCACCTGGTAGACATTAGCGGCGCAGGGACCCTGGCCCAGAGTTACCAGTATGAGGTGTGTCTGACTGGAGACTCTGGGAACACAGATTTCAAATTCTTTAATCCCATTATTCCCAGTAGTCTGTTTCAGGACCCCTAGCTAAATTTCAGTATCCGGAAGACCAAGGTTTGGATAAATGAATCAGAATTAGTTGCTTGGCTATTAATATTTTCCTTTTGCATTCAATAATCTTTCCTTGAAACAATATATTTTATGCGGATTTTATTCGCTGTTTTTTGTTGGTGTATTTTTTTTCTTTTGGATCTGTGTTTCCTGTTTTATTAATGCAATCTTGATGCATCTTTTTCTTTCACTAATTTGGAGAGTATGTAACTTCGTTGTGTTTCTCTGGTCATTTCAAGTAGTGTTCTTAGGAACTCATTTCTTCCTCTTCATTATAACCAGGGTGGATTTCTTCAACACCCACTTCAGATTGTATCTTCTTGAGGCTATGCACAGAACTTGCTCTGTCATATTCACTTTGATTTTCACTTCCACTGCAACTTGTTAACTGTAAAATGTACAGCGTTCATTGTGAGATTTTCAGAGATGCACATACCATGCCTGGATAGAATTCACCTCCTTATCACAGTCTTTAGTCCTGTTGCCTTTCTCCCCACCACACTCTTTAATGCCCCACTTTGTTTTCGTGTACTTCTCGTCTTTTAGAGGGTGACTATTTAGCTTAAATGATCTGCAGTTCCATTTCCTTCAAAATGACAATTTCATTCTTCTTGATGCCTGAATAAAGTAATTCCATCATGCATGTATGTGTTTTCCTCACCCACACTTCTGTTATCATGATAACACACCTTTGTGTACAGCTAATGAAGTGTGAGCATAAGATTCAGTCATCTGTCATAGTTTTACGTGTTTCATACATAAACGGAAGTGGTGTGCTGTTAAATTTATCATCTTTACTGACAACCACAATTAGTATTTCAACATTTTATTTGCTTATGCACAGGCCAAAACTCCTTCTAAATGTACCAGAAATAACCTTGTTTTGCCTAAGCCACTGCAAGTGATGGAGTGTGCTTTCACCTTGTATGAGAAGACACTTGGTGAGGCATGTGTTTGGATGATGAGTTGATGTGTAAATGCTGGAAATAAATGAGGGCCCATTAAACTTTCAACAAAATATGCGGATGAATGGCTTTTAAGTGTTTTGGTTTTTTTATTATTAGTACTTACTTGCCATAAATTGGGTGTCTTAGGCACAATATTTCCATTGGGTCCTTACAATGGTTCCTTCCTCCCTATTTCAATCTGTCATGATGTACAATTGTTTGGTAATAAAATCTGTCAATCCACAGCAGCCTTCTCCCTACTAAATTGTAATTGAACAATGTACAAATATAGGAATTTATAATGGGCAAGAATAGTATCATTGGGGAAGTTTAGATTTTCTTTAAATAAAAATAATACATGTAAGCAACCAAAACCACAGAATATGCTCATTTTGAGTGAATTTTAAGAGTTTCACATAACAGACTATTATTTCCTTGACTAAATTTATTTTAAAATGACTTTTCATATTTTATTGTCCAGATGTATCCAACTAGTATTTGAATGTTACTGTCTACAAGAAAAGTAGTTGAACTTATCAAAAGTTGAAAATGACTTGGAAATTCTGGAAAGATAAGAATGTAATATTGGCATAATCTCAATCATCAGTACCTGCAGTTGTATAGTTATAACCACATTTAAGTGCTGCAAGAGCGGGTGAGCCACCTTCCAAGCAGGAAGCTCCCAAGCATAAAAAACTTTCATGTAAATGAGCAATGTAAGCACGAATTCTTAATAATCAAAAAAATCTTTCTGTTCAGCCTAAATAATTTGTATGAAATTTTTTCATCTTTTCATACGTATCTGCAGTTTCTTGGAAACTATGTAATTCATATAGACAACTATTTTTGAGAGGCACTATAGTGTATGATATCACACTAGAGTGGGAAGGACGATATGCTGATGATCCATTTACAACTTGAAGATAAAGGAGATACTGTATCAGTACGGGTATACATGCATGTGTGTGTCTGTGGGTATGTGTGTGCCCAAAACCTGGGGCCCACGGTGTACATGGTATGCCTTCGATCACTAAGCTATATCCTCAATCCCAGATCCTATTAGCAATTTAACTTATGGAGTGCCTGTATTTATACATTGTTGACAAAGTGGGTATAAAATTTCTAAGCCAATAAAATAACCTGTACTGAATTTGAAGACAAAAAAAAATCAGTGTTGGTTCAAAGTTATTTTTATTTCTGGGCAGTTAGAAACCTTCTATCCATTTATTTAAATTGATTTAAAAAACTACTGCTGTTCTATTTTGAGACAGGTTCTTATTCAGTTCTCTCTCTGTAGCCTAGGCTGGTCTCCAACTCTGCTCCTGATATCTGGGATTTGTTGTACCACCATGCCTGGTTCCCAAGGCCTCTTTATATGAATATTTCACTAAGTGCAGGACTCAGGGGATGTGGAAGTTTGAATGTAATTGGCCCCCATAAACTCATAGGGAATGGCACTATTGAGAGATGTGACCTTGTTAAAGGAAGTGTGTCACTGTGGGGGTGGGCTTTGAGGTCCTTTTTGCTCACTTCACTCAATGTAACATTCAGTCCACTTCCTGTTGCCTTCTGATCAAGATGTAGTCAACACCATGTGTGCCTGCACACTACCATGCTCCCTGCCATGATAATGGACTAAACCTCTGAAACTGTAAGCTGCCACCTCAATTAAATATTTTCATTGATAACAAACTAACTATTGTTGCACTCTGGGGCCCTTTACAAATTGCAAGTCAGATATCTGTAAAAGAGATGACTTTGTCTATCAATTCTCTAGTAATAAGGTTGCTACTACTTATGAACATGTTGATATTACTGCTCTTTCAATGTTTGAAGAGGAAACAAAATTAAATAAAAACAGAGTCCTCTTACTGCTAAATAACTTCAGTAGACAATAAATAGACTAAAGGTGCTCCTTTGGTTTCTTTATAGTTTAGTCTGCAGTGCGTAATGCAATGTCTCATTCAAAACAGGTGCTGAATTTGCGGTCATTAGATAACTAATTCAATTTTGTCAGAATAACACCAATCTCAATGGAGCCAATTTTGAATTTCAATCTCTGGAAACTCAGAGAAGAGCAAAACAATACATCAATCTCTAATTTGGTTCCAAATTGAGCTCATCGGTGTCTTTGATTTTAGGGGTAAGGAAAAAATACAAGATTTTTTTTGTTCATCCAATTAACTCTCAGAAATCTCTATTTAAATTCTTTGGTGTCTAATTGGTGCTACTATTGGCCTTTGATTACTCTTTACAGCATCAAAATTAAATGAAAATTTCAAGATAGAGGTTCAGTCATTTATTTTCAAAACATAATTTCAAACAGTATATACTATTCCTCATTTTTTCTATAAAGACATCAATTCAGAAATTGAATTACTTTCTTGAAAACCCACTGTCCTATTTTAATACATAACAATAGTTTGGTTAATCATACACTTAAGAATGAAAATATTTTTCTACTGTTCTTCTGTCATTTAATACTGTTGATTACAAGTGCGGTGTCAGCCAGCTTCTCCAGCATTATATGTAAATCCCTTTTCCTTCCACAGTTGATTTTCCCAAAAGCAGAGAAGTGATAGATCTCATTTTATTTTAGATTATTTCATTTATTCATCAATTCTGACATTTGTTATTCCAGAACCCAAGAGTCATATAATACATTACATTTTTTAGTAGTTTTCATCTTCTTTTTCAAAAATTCCACTTGGCATATTTTCATAACAAATAGTACTTACCTCCCAACTGCCATTTCCTACTTTTGATTTGACCAAATTAAATATCTTTCATCTGCAGTCTCTCCGTGTGGTTATGAATCTCCCTGTCCTAGGAGAGAGAACAAACATTGAACCTGTCTAGTCTTTTTTCATGGCCTTAGTCATCTTTAGTGATGATGTTTTATCAGCTCCTAACCTTCTTTTGGAAGTTCCTTCATACTATCCTGGCTTTAATGGTCTTTAAAAGAGAGACTGGAGATCTCACGGTAGTTTGTATTCAGGTTTCAGGAGATCTAAGCTTTAATTAAGAAGGGTTGCTGAACTTTGTCACACATGGGTAGAGGTTCTATTCCACTTGTTTGAACTAGGTCTAAACAGCTTTGGGGCTTACAATTCTGCATTTGCTTTATGAAGTCAACATCTTAGATAATACCCCCTTCTTCATTGCTGTTATGGTGTCTGCTGAGATGCTAGGCCTGAGAACCTGTGAAAATATTTTTCATAAAGTAATTGATGAGTGAAAACCATGTGGAGAGCCTGCCATGGTGGTGGGTGCCTTTAATCCCCAGCACTTTGTAGACAGAAGCAGGTAGACCTCTGTGAGTTTGAGACCAGCCTGATTTACATAGTGAGTTCCAGAATGGTCATGGCTGCATGAAGAGTCCCTCTCTCAAACAGCTGCAACACAACTACACACATGAAAAAATTTACAGCTTTGATATTGGCAATAAATATACAAATTTGATGATGACCGGCAACATTGAGACACAATCCAAAATTCCTGTTCCAAATGAGCGATTGTTATATTGAGGCTCTAGTGATAAAGTAAAATTAACTTGATGCCCCAAAGGCAATTCCCTCCTCACAAAGCCACATGTCTAACACTACTGCTCTAATAACAAAGACCAGAGCAGCAAGTATTTATCAACTCATTCTGTGACAGCAAACTATGACAAAACCAGGCAAATACAATAAAAGGAAAGAAAATTATATATCCATTTGCTTTATCAACGTCAATGTGAAAATTCACAAGAAAATACTGGCAAACTGACACCAATAACAGATAAGACTGCGTATCATGGCTATATAGGATTTACCCAGGACAAAATTGGTTCAACATACAAAAATCAGCACTGAAGTATCACTTACGGACCAAATAAATGGGAAAGGCACATCTTAATAAATGCAGAAAAGCATTTTTAGAAAACCTTATAATTAGAAAGAGGAAACACAGAACTACCTATGGTGTGACTTCCCATATACAAAATCTTAAGTAACCTGCAATCATGGATCATTAATGAACAAATTCAGCAAGTGTATAGAAGAAGAGATCACTACCCTAGAAGTAGTTATTCTGTATGCTACCACTGGACAAACCGAAAATGAAGAAAAGCTCCTTGAAATCAAAAGGAGCAAGATGCTCAGAAAAGAAGCAGGCAGGCATGTAGATGAATGTCATACAGAACCCTAGAAAACATCGAAGGACATTCTAGAAGGCCTATGTAAGAAGGAAGTGTACCTGGACAGGAAGACTCTATATTGTAAAGATTATCCTCAAACTAGTTTATGACTTAATGGAATTCTTACCAAGATGCCTGTTTGCTTTTCTCCTAGAAGTTACCAAAATATCCCTAAATTTTTCATGTGAAAATACAAGCACTCTTGAATAGCCAAAATAATATTTTAAAAAAGAAATTTGAAGAAATCAAACTCCTTGATTTTATTGTGACACTCTAAGTGTGAAATAAAATATTTGAATGATTTATGAACTGCAGAAAAATGTATAAATATAAGTTCTATTCAAATTGACAAACAGGAGTGATTTGTTAGATACTGTCTTAGAGTGCATCAAAAATTTATAATGTACTTTGAAATATTTTAGGGTAGGGAGGTTAGTTAATGTCAAATTTTAGTTCGTTTTCACCAACATACCCTACCTGGTTTGTAGCTATTGCTCTCAGGTGGTCAGCTGATGAATTAGATCTATGCAACTGTATCTGTGCATTGGAGTATTCCAGAAGGTAATTCCTTCTTTAATAATTTATAGCAAATTACACAAACTTTGGTATTAACCTTAACACTTTGATATTTTGTCATTGTGAGAAAATGCTTTTACAAAACTGCTTTCTTATTTCCCTTACGTGGTTATTCAAATCCTCAATGTGGGAGAAGACTAGATGTTTCTAGTTTTCTTTTCATGATCCCTCTCATGAACAATATTGAATAGTTGTACCAATTACACAGTTTTAAGGAGTAACAACATTGGTAAAGAAAAAATCTGCATACACTTTTAAAATGACATCAGTTTGGAAACTGTAAAGAGATGTTTGACTTGAAAATATAATTGTAAGAATTTCCCCAAGAAGACACAGGGTGGCGCTGCAGGCTAAGAATGTGATAAAGCTCTAAAATACCAGGAATTGCTTGTGCCCATACAGAACAAAGAGCGCAGGAAAGAGCTCAGCAAGCACTCCGGAACTGTGAAGGGGTTTGGGCAGGGATATACTGGTTTATGTAAGATTAAGAGCAACGTTGTGAAGATCCCTCTAAGAAGGAACCAGGAGTCAGCGTTTCAACGCATTTGGAGATTGCTAAAGGATTGGATGCAAGCATTCACTTTCCCAACATGGAGAAGCTGGAGAGAATTCACCCAAACAGGCAAGTGATTCCTTTCCTTTTTATGCTGGTTTTGGTTCAGGTTTGCAGTGAGCCAACAACTCGATACTCTATCCTGGAGGAAACAGAAAGTGGGTCCTTTGTAGCCCATCTGGCCAAGGATCTGGGCCTGAGTTCTGGGGACCTGAGTGCCCGTTCTGCACGGGTGGTGTCTGATGATTACAAGCAGCGACTGCTGCTGGATCCCATGTCTGGGGATCTGCTTCTGAGGGAGAAACTAGATCGGGAAGAGCTGTGTGCCTCTGTGGATCCCTGTGTGCTGCATTTCCAGGTGTCCCTTGAAAAGCCAGTGCAATATTTTCAAGGAGAATTACTGATCCAGGACATAAATGACCACTCACCAGAATTCCCAGATAGGGAAATGCTCTTGAAAATACCAGAAAACAGCCAGCCAGGCACTCTGTTATCATTGAATTTAGCCCAGGACTTGGACGTGGGCAGCAATGGGTTACAGCAATACACAGTCAGCCCCAACTCACATTTTCATGTCCTCACTCAAAATAACAGTAAAGGCAAGAAATACCCAGAGTTGGTGCAGGACAGAGCCCTGGACAGAGAGGAACAGGCAGAGCTGAGCTTGACCCTCACAGCTCTGGATGGTGGCTCTCCACCTAGGTCAGGAACAGCCATGGTTCGAATCCTGATCCTGGACATCAATGACAATGCCCCCAAATTTGTGAACACCCCCTATGAGGTGCAGGTCCTGGAGAGCAGTCCCCCAGGCTCCCCAGTCCTGACTGTCCTAGCACAGGATGCAGATGCTGGCAACTTTGGGAGAGTTTCCTATGACTTGTTCCAGGCATCAGATGAAATTCAACAAACCTTCTCAATAAATGAAGTCACAGGAGAAATACGACTGAAAAAGGAATTGGATTTTGAAAAGATTAAATCTTACCACGTGAAAATCGAGGCCACAGACGGAGGAGGTCTTTCTGGGAAGGGAGAGGTGGTGATAGAGGTGGTGGACGTGAACGACAATGCCCCAGAGCTGACCATATCTTCACTGACCAGCTCAGTCCCAGAAAATGCTCCTGAGACCATAATCAGCATCTTCAGAGTAGGAGACAGGGATTCCGGAGAGAATGGAAAGGTGGTTTGTTCTATTCCAGAAAATCTGCCATTCATCCTAAAATCCACTTTCAAGAATTTCTACACCCTGGTGACAGAGAGTCCACTGGACAGAGAGAGCAGAGCTGAGTACAACATCACCGTCACAGTCACCGACATGGGCACACCTAGGCTCACAACCCAGCACACCATAATTGTGCAGGTGTCTGACGTCAACGACAATGCCCCCGCTTTCACACAAACCTCCTACACCCTGTTTGTCCAGGAGAACAACAGCCCCGCCCTGCACATAGGCACCATCAGCGCCACAGACTCAGACTCAGGCTCCAATGCCCACATCACCTACTCTCTGCTGCCCACCCAAGACCCGCGGCTTGCTCTCTCCTCGCTCATCTCCATCAACGCTGACAATGGACAGATTTTCGCTCTCAGGGCGCTGGACTACGAGGCCCTGCAGACCTTCGAGTTCCATGTGGGCGCCACAGACCAAGGCTCTCCTGCGCTCAGCAGCCAGGCGCTGGTGCAAGTGCTGGTGCTGGACGCCAACGACAATGCGCCCTTCGTGCTCTACCCGCTGCAGAACGCCTCTGCACCCTGCACAGAGCTGCTGCCCAGGGCGGCAGAGCCAGGCTACCTGATCACCAAGGTGGTGGCAGTGGACCGCGACTCTGGACAGAACGCCTGGCTGTCATTTCAGCTGCTCAAGGCCACGGAGCCTGGGCTGTTCAGCGTGTGGGCTCACAATGGCGAGGTGCGCACCTCCAGGCTGCTGAGTGAGCGCGATGCTCCCAAGCACAGGCTGCTGCTGCTAGTCAAGGACAATGGAGATCCTCCAAGGTCTGCCAGTGTCACTCTGCATGTGCTGCTGGTGGATGGCTTCTCTCAGCCCTACCTGCCTCTGCCAGAGGTGGCGCGCGACCCCGGGCATGACAATGAAGATTTGCTCACATTGTACCTGGTCATTGCCTTGGCTTCTGTGTCTTCCATCTTCCTCTTGTCTGTGCTGCTGTTCGTGTGGGTGAGGCTGTGCAGGAAGGCCAGGGCAGCCTCTCTGGGTGGCTGCTCTGTGCCTGAGGGACACTTTCCTGGTCACCTGGTGGATGTCAGCGGCACTGGGACCCTTTCCCAGAGCTACCAGTATGAGGTATGTCTAACTGGGGACTCTGGGACTGGTGAGTTCAAGTTCCTCAAACCTATGATCCCAGAGCTGTTGGTTCAGGATCCTGGGAGAGAACTTAAAGAAAATCTCCACTGCAGGGATAGCTTTGTGTTCAGCTGAATCGTAGGTTTTCAATCTATGGATCTGGACCCCTTCTGGATATGAATGACCCTTTCACAGGGGCTGCATATCAGATATTTACATTATGAGTCATATCAGTAGTAAAATTACAGTTATGAAGTAGCAACAAAATAATTTTATGGTACCAGATCACCACAACATGAAGAAATGTATTAAAGGGTCACAGCATTAGGGAGGTTGAGAACCACCGAACTAAGTAATATGAACTCCTAAGTGTTGTACAATTCTTACCTTTTAAGAATGATCTTTTAACGAAGTTCTCCACTGGTCTAACCTGCTTGCATCCTTAATTGCACTGATAGATTCTTTTTTATTGGCATGAAGGTACTAGGCTTTTAGTTGTACTAAGCATATTTCATATATTTCTCCACATATGAGTATCACTTGGTGATTAATACTCCCACCACCCTAAATAACCCAAACAGCATAATGTTTTCTTTGAATTATACACCTAATGATCTTCTGAGACATTTGACTGCTCTCAAATTATGGTACAATTCATACAAATTTGTGACTCCTGCCCTTTCCATGTAATTTTATCTTTTCAAAGATTGATTGTTTAAAATTGCTTATGTTGACTGGTTCTTTCTGCATGAATGGAAAGTCACATTACATCATGTTCACTTTTAGGCTAAGTGCCTTGAATAGTTAACTCATAAAATGTAAAGTGTATATCAGTGTACACAAGGGTTGTGACACTTTTTGTTTGTGAAAATCATGCATGCTAAGGGTCCTATTTACTTGGTTGCAAGTATTCTGGAAATAACACTGCTAAAGTTTTGAATTCTTATTTGATGAAAAATAAGGAGAAAATGTGTAATTTCTCATCCCATTTATAAAATAAAATTGTTAAATCACTGCTTTGAAATAATTTCTTTTGATAATTAATCTCAGAATCAGAGTTATGTCCTATCTTTCTTAAAAAAAGGAAAATGCAGAGTTATTGAAGGCATCACATTTATCTTTTTCTTCCTTATACAATGAAGTCCAAGCATGGTGTAATCTGTGTCTTTTCTGGAAATTTCTTCCACCTTTCAAATGAGGAAATTTCTTTTGAAGTTTTGATATTCTCTTTGATTCTGTTTATTAGAAGATTTCAAATTTTTACTTTGTGTTACTTGGTGCCTTGGGTAGAGTTTATCAATCAGCAAAAATTACTTGTGGTGTTAAATCATTTTGTTTAATTGTTTAGTATACCCTTCAGTTACTTTGAGTGAAACTGATGAATAATAGCGAATATTATTTTGTTTGTTAATAAATTGGAACAGTAGCATACTTACTGGTTTTTAATTGTAGCATTCTGTTGTGTTCAATAAGCCTGCTGAACTGATTGCTTGGTTTCTAACTCATTACATGTATGTAGATAAGTAAGACTATATCAAAACTCCTTGAATTTTTGGCAGAAAATGAGCAATTGAAAGACATTCTTTATATCCCACTGTCTATTTCTCAGTCTTAACTATCAGTCTATGTGAAGTGAAGTAGTTGTATTTTTACTCACGTTTGTCTCCTCACCAAAGCTACAGAACAATGGAAAAGGCAAATTACAGCAGTGTTTTCTCTTAAAATGTAGATTGCAGTTATTATTCAATATTTTAAAAAGAAATAAATAACCATGAACTTCAGTGAGCCCCACACAGAAGACCTGAAAGTGAGGAGGAAACCTGTTGGGAAGAGGAGCTTTGTCAGGAGGAGGGGGAAAGACAGGAGATTTGGGGTGTAGGAGTAATGTCTGAAGAGATAACAATGGACAATTTCAAGTGAATATTGACCAGGTATTGACTGTATAAAGCCAGAATAGTGGTGTCTTAAAATAATACAAAGGCAGAAGGATAGATGTAAAGAAAAATGAGAGAAAGCAGGAAAAGTGTTACAAATGAAAAAGGAGCTGGACTTGGTGGTACCCTTCTTCAATATCAACACTAAGGAGGCAGAAACAGGTGGATTACTGAGTTTGAGGCCAGCCTGGTCCACAGAGAGAAGAGTACTAGACCAGCTAGGACTATGTAGTGAGACCCTGACTCAAAAAATTTGGTTTTCTAAGCCTGTTAGCTAATAGTCTTACTCCTTTTCCTTGTGATCATTAATTCATGGACATATTTTGTCTTATAATTTGGGCCTTGGGAGGAGCCTTTTAAGAATTTCTCTTTCTTTGAAATACCTTTCTCTTCACACAACTATATTACATATTTCTTTATTTTTACTGTTTTAGTAGGCCTTCCTTAAGGATATTTTATGAGAAAATTAAATCTACTTTTAGAAAAAGTAAAGAGTTTTCTATTTGAATGTTGTGTTTCCTTCCTCCTCTTTATCATTTCTCCCTGGAAACTGTATTTTTTGAGGTTCTCATTCTATTCTCCATACATGTTGACTTTACATTTTTATTTCCCCCTGCTGTGCCAGCAGATTGTCTCTATGTCCTCTCAACTTACCCCGAGTCTTTCACCCAACAAAGATGTACAGAGATCTAAAAGCTATGCTTATAAATTGTTTCAATGATAATTTATTTCTAGCTTCATTATTTTTCACAATTAAAGACCTCATGTAATTTTTATATTCGCTTTGGGATTGAGTTCCCATCTCTCATTTCTGCCTTGGTTCCTTTAGATACAAAGCACTGAGATTACCACACCTTCATGATGGAGAAGTCATATATACACACGCACCTACATAATCTACATGTGCAAACATATCAGATAAATTACACCCTCATCTATTCCATTTACTTTCCGGTTATCACAGGTTTAGTGTGAGGAATTACTATCACTGGCCTAGGCTGTTCTCTCCTCTAGTTTGCTCATTAGTTTCAGTGCAACGAGAGCAGATACCTGAGAAAGTCACTTCTTTCCAATGATTTTTTTTATATACAGTCACTGCTGTGACTACCTTTCTTCTCCTCCCTGCCATCTTTGCTCTCACTCTTGTTCTTTCTTGTTTTCTCATCCCTCTATTTCTATCTCACTTGTACTAACGATTTAGAGTCAAGGAGGACACTGCATAAGAACTGTGTGCATGTTGAATGTGTGCAGGGTATTTCATAAAAGAGAAAATGTGACTGTATTGAGGTGATGAAATCATGTGAACTAATGGGTCATGGCTCTCTTTGATCAGGTTATCATGTTTTTCCACGCACAATGCATTTATTTTTGCTTTTGTTAGTCTTTAATAAACCAAACTGTCAAGAAGTTATAAGGAAAAAATATTGTTGCATTTGATAATTAACGTAAAATGCCATTTAAAATTCAAAACTGAAGAAAATATAAAATCTGATCAATCATATCTATTAGATAAAGGTATTATCAAGTCCATTACACTTGTTGAATTATTACATATGAGAACTCACACAAATGCATAAACTTCTAAAAATAGTCAACTTATCACGAATCAGCTGAGTACCAGCAACTCTGAATGGATTATGACATCCAAACTTCAAAAGGACACTGTAAGAAAGAAATGACAAAACAAACTATTTTTAAGGCAATAAAATTCAGATATGTGTAAGAGAAAAATAATGAATTACTATTTCTAATGCAATGCAGTTCAGTATTTGAAATATGACCACTGTAATGCACCACAGCCATAGATAAAGGAGAAACACAGTAACCTCAATGGGTACAGAAAATTTTATGCAACAAAATTCATCACATATTAATGGATAAAATGTTAGCAAGTGAATGTGGAAAGGAATTTTGAGTATGTTCAAAAATATACAGTAGCCAGGTGTGGTGGCACATGCTTTTAATTTCAGTAGGCAGAGGCAGGTAGATCTCTGTGAGTTCAAGATCAATCTGGCCTATGCAAGAAGTTCCAGAACAGCGCAGGCTGCACAGTAGAACCCTATCTCGGAAAAACTAAACAAATACATGTATAGTAAATATCACTAAAAGTAAATTATTGAAAATTTTCTGCTGGTAATCAACAATGGACAAGGATGCTACTAAGTTTATATGACCAGTCTCAACCAGAGAATAAGGCAAAGAAGAATTAAAAGCCACAACAGAAGGAATAAAATTATATTTTTAAATGATGTAATTATATACATAAAAACCATGAAGACACTGCAATCAGAAGTGATAAGTGAAGTCAGGAATGGCAGTAGATGCAAAGTCAACAACATGTATGAGTTCTCTTTAAATGAAGAAGAAGTGAAAAAATTTAAAAGCATTTAAAATGGCTTCCAAATATATAAATTCTTAGAAACAAATCTAATGAGAGAGTTGTAAAGCAGGAATATCAAACATTATTTAGAAAAATGTAAAGATTTAAATAAATTGAAGAGTGCACAATAGTCTAAGGAAAGACTGTGGTTGGAATGTTGTTTGTCTTTCAGTCAATCAATAGAAATTGTAAAATCTTAAGCAAAATTTCAACATTCTTTGTGAATTTGATGAGCTGGATATATACTTTGTATTCATATACAAAGGGAAAAATAATTAAGCAAATAAATCCAAAATAAAACTGAATAGACTATAACAATAGTATAATCCACGGAAGAGAATTGATGATGCAGATTTCATTCAAATTAAAGTCTCTGCTCTGCAAAAGATTCTACAAAGAAAAATTTAAAAATGAAACAAAAAAACAAAAACAAACGAACAAAAACAAGTCATAGACCAGGAGAAAATGCTGCCAATGGATATGTTTGATAAAAGACAGCTGTCCAAAATATACAAAGGTTTTTCAAGACTCAACACTGAGAAAACAATATAGTGTAAAAAATGAGCCAAAGATCCTAATACTTACCAAACAAGACTCAGAGATGGTGAATGAACACATGGGAAGAGACCTCATATTGATGTCATTAGGCAAATGCAAGTTCAAATAACAATGAGACACCACTACACCGACATAGGGCAGAATAGCCAGACTCCAGATCACTGACACCACCACCAACTGAGGAGGACATAAAGCACCAAGGATCCTTACTCACAGACTGTATAAATTAAAATGGTACTGACATTTCAGAAGATAGCTTGGCAGTTTCTTGCAAAGCCAAGCACATTCTTATTGCATCACCCAGCAATATTTATTTATCAAATTAGGAGGGGGGAGAACAAGGGAATCCGTGGTTGATATGTAGAACTGAATTGTATTGCAAAATAAAAATAAAAAGATTTAAAAAAAGAATTCACTAAGCGTACTCTAGAGAAAAAAAAGAGCATTGTAGTAGAAGAAGTCAAACAAAAATATGAACAATAAAAGATGTGACTATAAAGAGAAAAAAAATTAGCCTAAAAGTTAAGTCCACACAAAACCCAGGATGGGGTATTTATTGCAACTTTTTACAATGCTTGTCAAACCTGGCAGTGACCAAGATCCTTCAGTAAATGAAACTGAGAAAGTCTGATGCAATCACAAAGTGGAATATTATTCAATACCAAGTGAAATGAGCTATCAATCCATGAAGAGACATTGAGAAAACTTAAACACATATTCATCACAGAAGCAAAGCTGGAAAACTCTTAATATATGACATTTTGAAAAGATCAAAGCATGCAGACTGTAAAAAAGATAAATGAACCAGGTGGTGGTGACATACACCTTTAACCCCAGCACTCAGGAGGCAGAGGCAGGTGGATCTCTGAGTTCGAGGCCAGCCTGATCTACAGAGTGAGTTCCAGGACAGCCACAGTTACGTAGAGAAACCCTGTCTTGAGAAACCAAAACAGAAAAAAATATATATGATTTCTAGAGATTCAGAAAAGAGGGAAGAAGATTAAATAAATAGATTTTGAAGATTTGGGGTCAGGGGATCTATTTTGTGGTACTCTAAAATGGATGCATGTCATGATGAATTAACCCAAATCTAAAGTGTAGAGTACATAAAGGGAATCTCAATTAAAGTGATGGACTCAGGAAAAATATGTGTTAACACTGAAGCTCAAGCAGTTATAAGAAATGTACCTCTCTGGAGGGGATGACAGGGAGGAAGGTTGTGCCCAGATGGGGAGATTCTCAGTGTCTTTAATAATTTTATTCTGTGGATTTAAAATTCCTTGAAACTCATCTTTTCAGAGGAAAACTTACCCTGAAGACAATAAAATCTATTATGGAGTTATGAGAATTAAGAAAGCATAGCATTATTATTTGATATTCAAAGACAAATGGAATCTTTGAGCTGATTCACGATCATCTGACTTATGCCAATTGTGACAACTCAGAAACAATGATCATCTTTTCAGTTCAGAATGCAAAGCCACCTGGGAAACTATGGACCCAAATCTTATGTACTTGAAAGTTTACATTGATTATACCTTTAAATGTGAAAAAATAAAACAATCATTCAAAATACACAAGAATTTCCATGACCTTGAGAATGGAAAGATTTAAATAGGAGAAAAGTTTTACTCAGAAATGGAAAATATTGATAGATCAGGCTAAGGCAAAATTACTAAATTTGTTTCTCAAAGACACCATAAGAAGGTTAAAATAGAAAGCATAGAATGGGAAAATTATTTGCAATATGCCTATGCAAAACTAAGATTGTACTAAGAATATAAATTCTTCTGCAGACCAACAAGCCATCAGACAAATTCTTCAGATAGAAAATGTCTAAAAGACCTCATCTTGAGAATGCATCTGAATGGTTAATAAACATGTGAAAGTTTGCATCATTTCATTAATCACTAGGGAAATGCTAATTACATGTACACTATGACATCCATACTCACTAGAGTAGTTAAAACTGGAAAGACAGCATTAAATGTTGACAAGATTATAGAGCAACTGGATTTCCCATGCATTGCTGGAATTACTCTTTCACATTGCTGGAAATGGAATCCAATCCACTGAGTGCACTAGGCAAGCATTCTATGATTGAGCTGCATCTCTATCCCCAGCTTTTAAAGAAATGTCTTTGAGACAGTGACTCACTATATATCCCACACTGGCCTTGAGCTTGAGTGATAACCCATGTGTGTCCTCCCAGAGATGAGTCTACAGGGGTGAGCCACCAAGGGCAGCTCGGTACAACTACTTTTGAAAACTACTTCACAGTGTTTGCCAAGTCTAGATGTACTTTCACATTTGGATTACAACAAACAGCTCTGATACATATGATATAGGCTGATTTTATGCATAGGACTGTGAAACATTGTTCATAGGAGTAACATTCAAAATTCGAAGTGATGGCATATGCATCGAATATCAATACTTGGGAGGCAGAGGCAGGCAGTTCTGTGAGTTCAAATTCAGTCTGGTCTGTGTAGAGAGTTCCAAGACAACCTGGGCCATGTAGAGAGATTCTGTCTCAAAAAACAAACTCCCAAACCAAAACCAAACCAAACAAACAACGAGTAAACTGAAACCTAGAGACCTCCAGTGTCCCTTATCTGGAGTATATGCAAACAAATAATAACGCAAGCATATGGCAGAATGATAAACAATGAAAAGAGCATAGCACAGATCAGCTTACCAAAGAAAATGACAGTGATAAACAAGCCTACAACAGAGAGATACTCTACTGTCACTACTTTACAAAAGTTCTAAGAAAGGCAAAATATTCTGTCAATAAATGTAAGTGTAGTGCCTAGGACGAGCGTAGCAACTAATGAATGGCAGGGGGAACATTATTTATTTAGATATGAACTATTTATTCATCTAGATTCTGATTACTAAACTATACTAACTTGGTGATTTTTTTTTGTTATGTACACCTAATAATAGTGCCTGTTTTTATATGTTTATAACATTTCAATGAAAAGTAATTTGGGAATATTCAAATATTTTGCAGATATTCATTACGTTGAATTTATGTATTCAAAATGTCTTTTGATCAATATACCATTTCGATCATATAAAAAGTCATGTTCACTGAAAATTAACAAAGCGAATGTGTTAGACCTTCTGGTTGCTAAGAACTGAAGATGCAATGGAGGACACTTCTGTGTCTTAAAGGGTGTTTAAACACAGCGGGGCTGGAGCTGAGAATGAAGACAACACTGCGTGCAACACTAGAAAAGTTCGCACGGTGGCGCTGCAGACTAACAATTCGTATAACAAGGGGCTCCCAGGATGCCCAGGACGCCATTCCCAGAAATCAGAATGCTGAATGTTCTCTAACCAAGAGGGCAAGGGGCATTTGCCTGAGATCTATGGAAAAAGACTCTTGAAAGCAATTCAGTAAGATTTAATTTGAGATTATTTCACCGAACCTTGTCTGTGTGGACTGAAACCGACAAGATTTAGAAGAAGCAGCGCCCTCCTGACTGCATCTGAACAATGGAGACAGCTGTAGCAAAAACGCCAGAGAAAAGGCAAGTCGTTTTTCTTACTATATTGCTGCTTTTGTGGGAGGCTGATTCTGAGGCGATTAGATATTCCATGCCAGAAGAAACGGAGAGTGGCTACTTGGTGGCTAACCTGGCAAAAGATCTGGGGCTCAGAGTGGGGGAACTGGCCACCAGAGGGGCCCAAATCCAACACAATGGGAACAAAGAGCACTTGCAGCTGGATGCAGAGACCGGGAATTTGCTCCTGAGGGAAAAACCAGATCGCGAGGAGCTGTGTGGGGTGACAGATCCTTGTGTGCTGCATTTCCAGCTCATTCTGAAAAACCCTGTGCAGTTCTTCCAAACTGACCTGCAGATCACAGACATAAACGATCATGCTCCAGAGTTCCCTCACAGGGAAATGCTCCTAAAAATTCAAGAAAGTGCCCAGCCAGGAGCTGTGTTTCCTCTGAAGGCAGCTCAGGACTCTGACATAAGGAGCAATGCTGTTCAGAACTACACAGTCAGCCCCAACCCCCATTTCCATGTGGTTACTCAGAGTCGTGCTGATGGCAGCAAATACCCAGAGCTGGTGTTGGACAGAGCCCTGGACAGGGAGGAGGAGCCTGAGCTCACTTTAACCCTCACTGCTGTGGATGGTGGGTCTCCTCCCAGGTCTGGGACCACCACAGTTCGCATTGAAGTCGTGGACATCAATGATAACGCCCCCCAGTTTGTACAGTCGCTCTATGAGGTTCAGATCCCTGAGAACAGCCCCCTTGATACCGTAGTTTTGACGGTCTCTGCCAGGGATTTAGATGCTGGAATAAACGGGAATGTAGCCTACTCTCTGTTTCAAGGCGGTGGAGTTTCTCAACCATTTGTAATAGATGAGGTCACAGGAGAAATTCGTCTTAAAAGGGTACTGGATTTTGAGGCAATTCCATATTATAACATGGAAATTGTAGCTACAGATAGTGGAGGTCTTTCAGGAAAATGTAGTGTAGCTATACAGGTGGTGGATGTGAATGACAATGCCCCTAAACTCACCATATCCTCGCTCACTACTTCCATCCCAGAAAATGCTCCTGAAGCTGAAGTTGCTGTTTTCCGTGTTTCTGACCCAGATTCTGGGGACAATGGAAGGATGGTGTGTTCTATTCCAAATGATCTTCCGTTTCTTTTAAAACCCACATTCAAGAACTATTACACTTTAGTGGCAGAGGGACCCCTGGACAGAGAAAGCAGAGCTGAGTACAACATCACCATCACAGTCACTGACCTGGGCACACCCAGGCTCACAACACAGCACACCATAACAGTTCAGGTGTCTGATGTCAATGACAATGCCCCCGCCTTCACACAAACCTCCTACACCCTGTTTGTCCATGAAAACAACAACCCCGCCCTGCACATAGGCACCATCAGAGCCACAGACTCAGACTCAGGCTCCAATGCCCACATCACCTACTCTCTGGTGCCCACCCATGACCCGCAGTTGGCCCTCTCCTCTCTCATCTCCATCAATGCTGACAATGGTCAGCTCTTCGCTCTCAGAGCACTGGACTATGAGGTCCTGAAGACCTTCGAGTTCCTTGTGGTCGCCACAGACCAAGGCTCTCCTGCGCTCAGCAGCCAGGCGCTGGTGCAAGTGCTGGTGCTGGACTCCAATGACAATGCGCCCTTCGTGCTCTACCCGCTGCAGAACGCCTCTGCACCCTGCACAGAGCTGCTGCCCAGGGCGGCAGAGCCAGGATACCTGGTCACCAAGGTGGTGGCAGTGGACCGCGACTCTGGACAGAATGCCTGGCTGTCCTTCCAGCTGCTCAAGGCCACAGAGCCCGGGCTGTTCAGCGTGTGGGCTCACAATGGTGAGGTGCGCACCTCCAGGCTGCTGAGTGAGCGCGATGCTCCCAAGCACAGGCTGCTGCTGCTGGTCAAGGACAATGGAGATCCTCCAAGGTCTGCCAGTGTCACTCTGCATGTGCTGCTGGTGGATGGCTTCTCTCAGCCCTACCTGCCTCTGCCAGAGGTGGCGCGAGACCCCAGGCAGGACAATGATGATTTGCTCACACTGTATCTGGTCATTGCCTTGGCTTCTGTGTCTTCCATCTTCCTCTTGTCTGTGCTGCTGTTTGTGGGGGTGAGGCTGTGCAGGAGGGCCAGGGCAGCCTCTCTGGGTGGCTGCTCTGTGCCTGAAGGACACTTTCCTGGCCACCTGGTGGATGTAAGCGGCGCAGGGACCCTGGCCCAGAGTTACCAGTATGAGGTGTGTCTGACTGGAGACTCTGGGAACACAGATTTCAAATTCTTCAACCCCATTATTCCCAGTAGTGTGTTTCAGGACCCCTAGACAAATTTCAGTGTCAGGGAGACCTAGGTTTCAATAACCAAATCAGAATTAGTTGCTTGGCTATTAATATATTTATTTTGCATTTAATAATCTCTCCTTTCAACAGTGTATTTTATGGTGATTTTATTCGCTGTTTTTTATTGCTCTGTTTTTTCCTTTGGATCTGTGCTTCCTGTTATCAACACAATCTTAACACAGCTCTTTCTTTCACTAATTTGTATTGTATACAACCTTTTTTGTGTTTCTCTGGTCATTTCATGAGTTCTTGGGAACTCATTTTTTCCTCTTTATTATAACCAGGGTGGCTTTCTTCAACACCCACTTCACATCATATTTTTTTTTTTTGGTTTTTCGAGACAGGGTTTCTCTGTGTAGCTTTGCGCCTTTCCTGGAACTCACTTGGTAGCCCAGGCTGGCCTTGAACTCACAGAGATCCGCCTGCCTCTGCCTCTGAGTGCTGGGATTAAAGGCGTGCACCACCACTGCCTGGCTAGATCTATCTTGTTGGGGCTATGCACAGAACTTGCTGTGTCATATTCACTTTGGTTTTCACTTCCACTGCAGCTTGTTAACTGTAAAATGCACAGCGTTCATTGTGAGATTTTCAGAGATGCACATACCATGCCTGGATAGAATTCACCTCCTTATCACAGTCTTTAGTCCTGTTGCCTTTCTCCCCACCACACTCTTTAATGCCCCATTTTGTTTTCGTGTACTTCTTGTCTTTTAGAGGATGACCGTTTAGCTTAAATGATCTGCAGTTCCATTTCCTTCAAAATGACAATTTCATTTTTCCTGATGACTGGATAAAGTAATTCCATCATGCATGTATGTGTTTTCCTCACCCACACTTCTGTTATCATGATAACACACCTTTGTGTACAGCTAATGAAGTGTGAGCATAAGATTCAGTCATCTGTCATAGTTTTATATGGTTTGTTCACAAATGGAAGTAGTGTGTTGTTTTATTTATCATCTTTACTGACAACCACATTTAGTATTTCAAGACTTTATTTGCTTTTATACAGGCCAAAATTGCTTCTAAAATGTACCAGAAATAACTTTGCTTGACCTAAGCCATTGCAAGTGATGGAGTGTGCTTTCACCTTGTATGAGAAAACACTTGGTGAGGCATGTGTTTGGATGATGAGCTGATTTGAAAATGCTGGATGTAAATGAGGGCCCATTAAACTTGCAACAAAATATGCAGATGAATGGCGTTTAAGTGTTTTAGTCTTTTTATTACTAATGCTTGCCATAAATAGGGTGACTTAGGTGAAATATTTCCACTGGTTTCTATCAATAGGTTCCTTTCTTCCTATTTCAGTCTGTCTTGACGTAGAATTACTTGGAGATGAAATCTGTCAATCCACAGCAGTATTCTACCTACAACATTGTAATTAAACAGGGTACAAATATAATAGGAAAAACAGTATCATTGGGGAAGTTTAGATTTTCTACAACTAAAAATAACACATGGAAGCAACCAAAACCACAGAATATGCCCATTTTGAGTAAATTTTTAAAAACAGTTTCACATAACAAGCCATTATTTCCTTGGCTAAATTTATTTTAAAAAGACATTTCATATTTTACCATCCATGTATATATATATATATACATATACATATATACATATATATGTATATACATGTATATATTTAGTATTTCAGTGTTTTGTCTACAAGAAAAATTATTGAACTTATAAAAACTTGAAAATTGTTTTGGAAACTCTGGAATGTAAAGAATTCAATATTGATAGCTCTCAATCACCAATACGTGTAGTTGTATAGTCATAACTACACTAAGTTCTTGCAGGAATGGAGGAACTGCTTTCCAAGCACGAAGCTCTCCAGCATAAAACATTTCATGTAAATGAGCCAAGTAGTATGAATTCTGAATAACTGGAAAAAAACATCTTTCTGTTCAGCCTAAATGCTTTGTATGAAAATTTTGATCGTATTTTCATCCTTTCATACATATCTGAAATTTTTTGGAAATTATGTAATTCATATAAGACAGTTTTTTGAGAGGCATTGTAGTGTATGATATCACACTAACGTGGGAAGGGCCATATGGGTTAATGACCCGTTTACAACCGGAAGACAAAGGATGAGATGCTACTAGTAGGGGTGCACATGCGTGTGTGTGTGTGTGTGTGTGTGTGTGTGTGTGTGTGTGTGTGTGTGTGTGTGTCTGTGTGTGTGTGTCTGTGTGTGTGTGTGTGTGTGTGTGTCTGTGTCTGTGTGTGTCTCTGTGTGTGTGTGTGTCCGTGTCTGTGTCCGTGTGTGTGTCTGTGTGTGAGGGGTGTGTGTCCAAAACTTGGAGTCCAAGATATGCGAACTGTCACTAATGAGCATCCCAAACCCCGGATCCTATTAGTAATTTAATTTCTGGATGGACTATATACATTATTGAGAAAGTGGGCAGAAATTTTCCAAGCTGATAAGATAACCTGGACTGAATTTGAAGATAAAAAATCCCAATCAGTCTTGGTTCAAAGTTATTTTTATTTCTGGGCACTTGGAAATCATTTATATGAATTCCTTTCCAAAGCTACTCTTTATCTTTTGAGGTTGATTCTTTTTCAGTTCTCTCTGTGCAGCCTAGGCTGGCCTCCAACTCTGCTCCTGAGGTCTGGATTACAGATGTACCACCATGGCTGGTTCCCACGGTCTCTCTATATGGATATTTTACTAAGTGGAGGACTGGGGGTGGGTTACCAGTTGTATAGCACTAACTATTGTTGCACTTCGGGGCATTTTACAAACCCCAAGTCAGATATCAGTGAAAGAGATAACTTTGTCTGTCAATTCTCTAGTAATAAGGTTACTATTATTTATGTACAAGTTGATATTACTGATATTTCAATGTTTGAAGAGGAAACAAAATTAAACAAAAACTGAGTTGTCTTATTGATAAATAACTTCAGTAGACGATAAATAGACTAAAGGTGCTCTTTTGGTTTCTTTATAGTTTAGTTTGCAGTTCATAATGCAATGTCTCATTCAACAGGTGCTCAATTTGCAGTCATTAACTAGCAACATTTAGGAAATCAATGAATTTCCTGAGGACTTTAAGATTTGTCTCAAACTTGTGTACACATCAAATTTCAAAAGAACTATCCATATTCAGAAAAGGGAATGACATTTTAATTTTGTCAGAATAACACCAATCTCTATGAAGCTAGTTTCTCCAAAAACTCAGAGAATTGTAAAATAATAATACATTAATCTCTAACTTAGTTCCAAGTTGAGCTTATCCATCTCTTTCATTTTAGGGATGGGGAGAGACTACAAGATTTTTCTGTTCGTCCAGTTAACTCTCAGAAATCTCTTTGTTGATTCCTTGGTCTCTAATTGCTGCTGCTGTTGGCCTCTAGTTACTCTTTTTTTTTTTTTTTGGTTTTTTGAGACAGGGTTTCTCTGTGTAGCTTTGCGCCTTTTCCTGGATCTTGCTCTGTAAACCAGGATGGCCTCGAACTCACAGAGATCCGCCTGGCTCTGCCTCCCGAGTGCTGGGATTAAAGGCGTGCGCCACCACCGCCCGGCTCTCTAGTTACTCTTTACAGCATCAAAATAAAATGAAAATTTCAAGATAGAGATTCAGTCACTTATTTTCAAAACATAATTTCAAACTATCCCTCATTTTTTTCTATAAAGACATCAATTCAGAAATTGAATTACTGTCTTGAAAACCCACTGTCCTATTTTAATGAATAACAATAGTTTGGTTAATCATACACTTAAGAAGGAAAATATTTGTCTACTGTTCTTCTGTCATTCAGTACTGTTGATTACAAGTGCGGTGTCAGCCAGCTTCTCCAGCATTATATGTAAATCCCTTTTCCTTCCACAGTTGATTTTCCCAAAAGCAGAGAAGTGACAGATCTCATTTTATTTTAGATTGTTTCATTTATTCATCAATTCTGACATTTGTTATTCCAGAACCCAAGAGTCATATAATACACTACATTTTTTAGTAGTTCTCATCTTCTTTTTCAAAAATTCCACTCGGCCTATTTTCATAACAAATAGTACTTACCTCCCAACTGTCATTTCCTACTTTTGATTTGACCAAATTAAATCTCTTTCGCCTGCAGTCTCTCTGTGTGGTTATGAATCTCTCTGTCCTAGGGGAGAGAACAAACATTGAACCTGTCTAGTCTTTTTTCATGGCCTTAGTCATCTTTAGTGATGCTGTTTTAGCAGCTCCTAACCTTCTTTTGGAAGCTCCTTCATACTGCCCTGGCTTTACTGGGCTTTAAAAGAGAGACTGGCGATCTCACGGTAGTTTGCACTCAGGTTTCAGTGGATCCAAGCCTTAAGAATGTTGGCTCAACTTTGTCAGACACTGGTAAAGGTTCTGTTTCACTCCTAACATTGTGTTTGGGCTAGGCCCAACCTGCCTCAGGATTTATGATTCTGCATTTTCTCTATGAAGAAACAATCTCAGAAAACGTCAACTTCTTCATAGCTGTTTTTGTGTCTTTTAAGGTATTCGAATGAGACCCTGTGAAAATATTTTTATAAAGTAATTGATGAGTGAAAAACCACATGAAGCGCCAGATGTGATGGCGCATACCTTTAATCCCAACACTAAGGAGGCAGATGCACATGGGTCCTTGTGACCTAGACGCTTTACTAGTCTACAGCATGAGTTCCAGAAGCCAGAGCTACACAGAGAGATCCTGTCTCAGAACAAAACAAAAAGAAGCAAAACACACAGGGTAAAATTCACAGCAGCAATTTAGGCAATAAATGTGCAAATCTGACAACACTCTGCAACAGTGAGACACAACCCCAAACTGCTGTTCTGAATGAAGAGTTGCTATGTTTAGGCTCTCCTGAAAACATGAAATTAACTTGATCCTTCTTCGGCAATTCCCTCCTCATAAAACCATGTATCAAACATTACTGTTGTAATAATAAAGATCAGATCCGCAACTACTAAAAAACTCATTTATGGCAGTAAATTATGACAAAACCAGGCAAATATAACAACAGAAGGGAAAATTCATAGACCCATTTGCCTTATCACCATTGGCTTGAAGAGCCTCAACACAATACCAACATCAGTAACAAATGAGATTGTACTCCACAGCTGTAAAAGATTTACCCAGAAACATATTGGCTTAACATACAAAAATCAATACTGAAATATGCCTTGTGGGCAAAACGACACAATTGTCTCAATTAATGCAGAAAACATTTTAGAAAATTTAATACTTGGAAAAGGAAAATATCTATATACTTATACATGGTGTGGCCTTGCAACCTAAGTAATCTGCAAAAATGCTAACATTGCTAAACAAATTCAGAAAGATTGTGGGACACAAGACCATTACCTTAAAATTAACTATTTCTGCATATTACCATGGAACAAACCGGAAATGAAGAAAAGTCCCTTGGGATCAAAAGGAACAAGATGCCCAGAAAGGAAGCAGACAAGTCTGTAGATGAATTTTATAAAGAACATCAGACAACACTGAAGTAAACCACAGAAGGCCTGTGTGAGGAGGAAGTATCTGTGGACCGGAAGACTCTGTACTGTAAAGATAACCCTCAAACTAGTTGATGACTGAATGGAGTTCTTACCAAAAGGCCAGTTCATTTTTTTCCCCCAGAAGTTGCTAAGTGTCTCTAAATGCAAGGACTCCTGAATAGCCAAAAAATATTGAAGAAGAACAAAATTAAGGAAATATTCTAAATTAGAAGTCAAATCTTTGGATGATTTCTGTGTGTTAAATACATAAATATTATTTTCTATTTGAATACAGGAAATATTTGTTAGTTGTTTTAGATTGCACCAAAAGTTTACAGCATCAAACTATTCCAATCACTTTAGAATTAGAAGGTTAGCCAAAGTTCAATTTCAGTGCACTGTTTGGTTTGTAGCTATTGCTCTCAGGTGGTCAGCTGATAAATTAGATCTATGCGATTTTATCTGTGCATCTGAGTATTTCAAAAGGTAATTCCCTCTACAATAATTTATACTACTCACACAAACTGTTGATATTAACCACGTAACTTTGCTTTTTCAGCATTGTAAGAACATTCTTTTAGAAATATAATTTCCTGTTTTGTTTACCTGACTATTCAAAACTTAGATGTATGTGTTTGAAGACTTAGGTCTTGTGGTTTGTGTTCATGATTCCTTTCGGGCACAATAGTGGATAGCCTTACCAGTTATGCAGTTTAAGACAAAAACAATGTTGGCAAAGAAAAAAACTGTATACACTTTCAATGTGGCATCCTTTATACATTAAAATGGTGTTTTGACATTAAAAGCTGTTTTGACTTAAAACTAGAACTGTTTCAATTTCCCCAAGAAGACACAGGGTGGCGCTGCAGGCTAAGGTTGTGATTAAAAAGCACTAAAATGCCAGGAAGCCCTTGTGTCGATACAGAACAAAAGGCTCAGGCAAGAGCTTTGCAAGCACTCCGGAGCTGTGAAGGGGTGTGAGCAAGGATATATTGGACTAATGTAAGATTAAGAACAACGTTGTGAAGATTCCTCTAAAGAAGAAACCAGAAGTCAGCCTTTCAACGCATTTGGAGATTGCTAAAGGATTGGATGCAAGCATTCACTTTCCCAACATGGAGAAGCTGGAGAGAATTCACCCAAACAGGCAGGTGATTCCTTTCCTTTTTATGCTGGTTTTGGTTCAGGTTTGCAGTGAGCCAACAACTCGATACTCTATCCTGGAGGAAACAGAAAGTGGATCCTTTGTAGCCCATCTGGCCAAGGATCTGGGCCTGAGTTCTGGGGACCTGAGTGCCCGTTCTGCACGGGTGGTGTCTGATGATTACAAGCAGCGACTGCTGCTGGATCCCATGTCTGGGGATCTGCTTCTGAGGGAGAAACTAGACCGGGAAGAGCTGTGTGCCTCTGTGGATCCCTGTGTGCTGCATTTCCAGGTGTCCCTTGAAAAGCCAGTACAATATTTTCAAGGAGAATTACTGATCCAGGACATAAATGACCACTCACCAGAATTCCCAGATAGGGAAATGCTCTTGAAAATACCAGAAAACAGCCAACAAGGCACACGATTTTCATTGAAATTAGCCCAGGACTTGGATGTGGGCAGCAATGGGCTACAACGATACACAGTCAGCCCCAACTCACATTTTCATGTCCTCACTCAAAATAACAGTAAAGGCAAGAAATACCCAGAGTTGGTGCAGGACAGAGCCCTGGACAGAGAGGAACAGGCAGAGCTGAGCTTGACCATCACAGCTCTGGATGGTGGCTCTCCACCTAGGTCAGGAACAGCCATGGTTAGAATTCTGATCCTGGACATCAATGACAATGCCCCCAAATTTGTGAACACCCCCTATGAGGTGCAGGTCCTGGAAAGCAGTCCCCCAGGCTCCCCAGTCCTGACTGTCCTAGCACAGGATCCAGATGCTGGCAACTTTGGGAGAATTTCCTATGGTTTCTTCCAGGCATCAGATGAAATTCAACAAATTTTTTCAATAAATGAAGTCACAGGAGAAATACAACTGAAAAAGGAATTGGATTTTGAAGAGATTAAATCTTACCACTTGGAAATCGAGGCCACAGATGGAGGAGGTCTTTCTGGGAAGGGAGAGGTGGTGATAGAGGTGGTGGATGTGAACGACAATGCCCCAGAGCTGACCATATCTTCACTGACCAGCTCAGTCCCAGAAAATGCTCCTGAGACCATAATCAGCATCTTCAGAGTAGGAGACAGGGATTCTGGAGAGAATGGAAAGGTGGTTTGTTCTATTCCAGAACACCTGCCATTCATCCTAAAATCCACTTTCAAGAATTTCTACACCCTGGTGACAGAGAGTCCACTGGACAGAGAGAGCAGAGCTGAGTACAACATCACCATCACAGTCACCGACATGGGCACACCCAGGCTCACAACACAGCACACCATAACAGTGCAGGTGTCTGACGTCAATGACAATGCCCCCACCTTCACACAAACCTCCTACACCCTGTTTGTCCAGGAGAACAACAGCCCCGCCCTGCACATAGGCACCATCAGCGCCACAGACTCAGACTCAGGCTCCAATGCCTACATCACCTACTCTCTGCTGCCCACCCACGACCTGCAGCTGGCTCTCTCCTCGCTCATCTCCATCAACGCTGACAACGGACAGATTTTCGCTCTCAGGGCGCTGGACTACGAAGCCCTGCAAACCTTCGAGTTCCAAGTGGGCGCCACAGACCAAGGCTCTCCTGCGCTCAGCAGCCAGGCGCTGGTGCGAGTGCTGGTGCTGGACGCCAACGACAATGCGCCCTTCGTGCTCTACCCGCTGCAGAACGCCTCTGCACCCTGCACAGAGCTGCTGCCCAGGGCGGCAGAGCCAGGATACCTGGTCACCAAGGTGGTGGCAGTGGACCGTGACTCTGGACAGAATGCCTGGCTGTCCTTCCAGCTGCTCAAGGCCACAGAGCCCGGGCTGTTCAGCGTGTGGGCTCACAATGGCGAGGTGCGCACCTCCAGGCTGCTGAGTGAGCGAGATGCTCCCAAGCACAGGCTGCTGCTGCTGGTCAAGGACAATGGAGATCCTCCAAGGTCGGCCAGTGTCACTCTGCATGTGCTGCTGGTGGATGGCTTCTCTCAGCCCTACCTGCCTCTGCCAGAGGTGGCGCGCGACCCCGCCCAGGATGAGGATGTGCTCACGTTGTACCTGGTCATTGCCTTGGCTTCTGTATCTTCCATCTTCCTCTTGTCTGTGCTGCTGTTTGTGGGGGTGAGGCTGTGCAGGAGGGCCAGGGCGGCCTCTCTGGGTGGCTGCTCTGTACCTGAGGGACACTTTCCTGGTCACCTGGTGGATGTCAACAGCACTGGGACCCTTTCCCAGAGCTACCAGTATGAGGTGTGCCTGAGGGGAGACTCTGGGACTGGTGAGTTCAATTTCCTCAAACCCATGATCCCCAACTTGTTGCTACAGGAAACTGGGAGGGAAATTAGGGAAAGTCCACATTGCAGGGACAGCTTTGTATTTAGTTAAGTATTCAAAGTGGTTCAATGAATCTAAGAATTGTCATAATGACTCATATAAATAAGTGTGAAGGTAACTACCTTTTTAAAAGCACTGCACGTGTGCACAGGTCTCACAGCTCTCATTTTTCCTACTGATAGGAAGCATCTCATTATACCTAGGTTTAGTAAGTGTTTTCCTCATATTTTGATGTCTTTGGAGACTAATATTCTCATAACTACAAATAACTCATATAGCATAAGATTTGTTTAATTATTTTCTTCTTTAAAGCCAATAAGAGAATTTGAATTTCTGTATAATTGTGTTGCCTGTTTCTGCCATATACCTTTTTCTTTTTAAGTTTTGAATGCATAGCTTTTTTTGTTTGTTTGCTTTTTTTGAGACAGGGTTTCTCTGTGTAGCTATGGAGCCTGTCCTGGATCTCACTCTGTAGACCAGGCTGGCCTTGAATTCACAGAGATCCACCTGGCTCTGCTTCCCGAGTGCTGGGATTGAAGGCATGCGCCAGAATGCATAGCTTTTTATTTGGCCTTAGCATGCTTGTTTCTGTCAAATTCATGTCAAGACAGCCTTCATTATAACATTAGTATGCTCAAGTAAGACATTCGTGGGCATCATAAATGTTAGTGCTTGTTTTACTTATGTGACTGCAAGTGTTCCAAATATAGCAAAGTTAAAATTTTCCATTGTTGTTTAATGAAAATTAAAGAGGAAATGTCCTATAATTTGTTTTTCCTTTCATCAAATAAAATTGTTAATCTGTTGCTAAGCATAATCTTTTTAAAAAGAGACATCCAATCTGAAGTCTGTCCTGACTTCCTTCAAAGCATTCCAAGCTGAAGAAGCATCAAATTTCTCCTTTCCTCCTCAAAGCTGAAGCGTAAGATTGTTTCCTGCAGCTTGTCCCACCTTCCATTTGAAGAAATTTCTTCTGGATTCTAACAGTCTAGTTCTTGTTATCGTGACTTCACGTTTTTTTGCTTTATGCCATTTGGTAGCTATGGATTTTTTTTAAACCAACAGTAGAATTTTGCTATTTCCCTTTCTTCTCTGATGCATAGTGTGATTTCAGTTATTTTTATCTTAAATTTTCAATCAAATGAAGGTACCTTTATAGAAGATAAGTATTGTTTTGTTCATGATTAAACAACAGTGCACTTATTGAATTATAATTGCTTTGTGTTATGTTCCATGGTAAGAACATTGTGTGGTTCTACCTTGCTATATTTATGTAGATATGACTGTAAAACAGCAAACTTCAGACAGAAAGTGAGGAATTAAAAAATCTCTCTTTAGCTGGGCATGTTGGCCCATGCCCTTATTCTTGCCACTCAGGAGATACAACCTGGCAAGTTCTCCTTAAGTTCAAGACCAATGTGGTCTTCAATATCTAGCTCCAGGCTAGCCAATGCTATATTGCCAGACCCGATCTCAAAACGTAGCTGGAATGCTGGAACCTGTGCTGCCTTGCTCCACAGAAGCCAGTGAGTAGAGTCAGAAATGGAATCTTTAAGTTGTGATTTATTTGGAGAGCTGGCAATCTGAGAAGGCAGCAGGTCCACACCCTAAAAACTGCCTTATGTCTAACTTCTAGGCAGCAGATTGTCCAGGAGGAAGGTGAGGGTGAGGGTGAGGCAGCCAGAGACTCTGAATTTAGTCTTATCCCTCTGGGCAGGTCGTAAATCACATGTTTTGGAGTTGTGATGTCTCTGTTTTTCTTACCATCGTCACCTGAACTCTTTGCTCATCCTGTGGATAACAGAGTCACGTGCTTCTTGTGCTGCGTCTATTTAGATTTGCTGGAATTAACCTTATATTCCTCCAGAGGCATCTAGGCAAAGAGGGTGTGGTGACTCAGGACAGCTAACCATGTAAACATGCTAAGCTGTTCATGGAGTACAAATAATGTCTTTAAACAGGAGGAATAAGAAAGTGCTCCTATTTATCTTCTCTTCTCACTGTCACTCGAAGGTTACATGAATGATGTGGTAAGAGAAAACAATCATAAAATCAGATTTAAAGATCAGACACCATTACTGTTCTGCCACAGAAAACACATCGTATGGTACGAACTGAGTGGGCCTACGTTTCTGAGAATAAAAATCACTTGGGGATGAGAAAGTGAGTTCTATTGTCTGTCTTGCTCCCATAGAAGTTTGCTGAGTCTGAGCAAACAATAGGTTGGTTGTCATGGAGACAGAGTAAATCAGTAAACTTTGGTAGATTGAAGATTCCACCTGAAGGCCATTTCCATCTCCTGGGACACTTACTCTCCCTGAGAAGATGTGCACAGTTAAAAACTAATAACCTGGATGCAGAGGCAGGAGGTTCTCTGAGAGTTCAAGGCTGTGGAATGATGTTTTCCTTGCTATGCAAAAATTAGAGTTTGGGAGCCGGGCGGTGGTGGCGCACGCCTTTAATCCCAGCACTCGGGAGGCAGAGGCAGGAGGATCTCTGTGAGTTCGAGGCCAGCCTGGTCTACAAAGTGAGTTCCAGGAAAGGCGCAAAACTACAGAGAAACCCTGTCTTGAAAAACCAAAAAAAAAAAAAATTAGAGTTTGGGGCCTGCAGCATGAAGAAGATGTGGAGCATACAAGTTCTCAACTGGAAATTAGGTAGTGTTTGTTGCTTATAAGACCTGAAAATAACCTTAATTAGGCACAATGCCTGTTTGGATTAGGGTAATTTGATTAGTCAGGGCTCTATCAAGAAAAGCTCAGAAGACTTTCTCCAAGGGGAAAATAATAGAACCTTAATCCTAGGTTAAGTTTTCACATGGACATCCAGTCTTCATAGAAAGAGTCAATGCAAGCCCCCACTACTGGGTGATAAGAATAAACCAAGAGGAAACACATAGCACATGTGACTTAGAAGGCTGAAAGGATAGGATTAAACAAATCAACTTTAATTAATTGATTAAACTAATGAGTAGTGCCATTGAGTTGGTTCAGTGGGGGAAAGGTGCTTGCTACCACCAAGACTGCCAACTCGAGTTTGCTCTCTGGAACCCACAAGGTGGAAGGCGAGAACCGGCTTGTGAAAGTTATCCTCTGACTTGTACTCACACACCTTGACATGTGCATGTGAAGGCTCCCAGCTCAAAACTTGGTTCAAGATGTTTTGTGAAATCCAGTCTAGACAATGAAAGTAGAAGGTCACCTTAGGAGATCATAGGAAAGTTGTGCAATATCAAAGTCAAATAGAAAAGCAAAAAAAAAATCTTTTAGCAACCACACAAAAAGATGTGTTATTTTTAAAGAAACATCAGTAAAATGGAGTGATGACTTCTCAACATGGATCATAATACCAACAACAAATGAATCATATTTTCAACATCTCAAAAGAAAATGATCAGCACACTAGAATTCTGTTACCAGCAAACAGAACCTTCTAAAAGGTTTTCAGAGAAAGAAAATTAATGAAGGATACATGAACACTGAAAGAAATATGTTAGTGGAACTCCAAAAAAAAAAAAAAAAAGGCAAGCACTCTGGAAGAGACTGTAGAATTGCAGGAAGAAAGAAAAAAAAATGATGGGAAGTGAATATTGGCTGAGCGTTGACTATGTCTCCAACAATAACAGTTTTGTAAAGGATTTAAAAATGCATATAAAATGCATGAAATCAGGCGTGCAAAAGGCAGGGCTGTTTAGAGAGTTCTATGCACTACCATAGAAATAGGAAAATGAATTATTTTACTACACCATTGTAGATGAAACTGCTTTGCTGAAACTTCTTAAGTAACTTCTAAATAATGATTCAATGACTAATTGGAGAAAAAAATCAGATAATAAATATTTGAATAATGTAGCAAGAACAAAACATAGGGAACAAATGAAAACAGACCCTAAATATGGATGAAAATATATATTATAAAAATTACAGCTGAATTAAAAAACCAATTACGCCGGGCGGTGGTGGCACATGCCTTTAATCCCAGCACTCAGGAGGCAGAGCCATGCGGATCTCTGTGAGTTTGAGGCCAGCCTGGGCTACCAAGTGAGTTCCAGGAAAGGCACAAAGCTACACAGAGAAACCAAAAACAAACAAACAAACAAAAAGACAAAAAAAGCAATTACACAACCTATGTTATCAAACTACATTTAAGACAAGTGTAAATTATACACAGTCAAATAAATATCTATGTGTGAGGAAATAAAACAGGAAAAGACTGAAAGTTACATACTATTTAGTGCAAATTTCATCCAAAATGAAACAATGTAGTTGTATTCATTGAGTTAAAGCAAAGAGATTTTAAGGCAAAACAATGCTATAAATAAAGATAAATCTATAATAATAATAACACAAAGGTAAACACATCAGAAATATGCTATATTAAGACAATGTTATTCGAGGACTGCGGATATGAAAAACATAACAAAAATCCAGAAATGCTTCAAACTTAAATGATAGAAATCATGACTTAAAGATGACTTAGAACAGAAATTCCTAATATTTTCCACAAGGTAAAAATTAAGAACAGAAATATTGAAACTAAAGTGATGGAAGCAGAAAGACCTTTATGTTCAAAGCCAGTCTAGGCTATGTAGCCAGAGAGCTTGTTTTAAAATGCAAAATAAAACAAACACTAACATATCACTATAAAACTTAAAATCTTAATTGCAAGTATTAGAAAAATGACTAAGGTTTGATTTCAGGAAGTTAGAAGTGGAAGAGCAAATCAAATACATATTTTTTAAAAAGAGGGCAGACAGAACCCACACACATGAAGCAGCGAATGAAGTAGAGGATAAAAATACAAGAAAGAGGCCGGGCGGTGGTGGCACACGCCTTTAAACCCAGCACTTGGGAGGCAGAGCCAGGCGGATCTCTGTGAGTTCGAGGCCAGCCTGGGCTACAGAGTGAGATCCAGGAGAGGCACAAAGCTACACAGAGAAACCCTGTCTCAAAAAAAAAACAAAAAAAAAAAAAACAAAAAAAAATACAAGAAAGAAAATGAGTCCACAGTGGGTTTTTCTAATGATAATAGTATTTAAAATTCTTAAACGAATCAAGAAAAAAGATAAAACAGCACCTTGCGATCCTAAAGGTCTCTTTAAAAATGAAAGAGGCGCCGGGCGGTGGTGGCACACGCCTTTAATCCCAGCACTCGGGAGGCAGAGCCAGGCGGATCTCTGTGAGTTCGAGGCCAGCCTGGACTACCAAGTGAGTCCCAGGAAAGGCGCAAAGCTACACAGAGAAACCCTGTCTCGAAAAACCAAAAAAAAAAAAAAAAAATGAAAGAGGCAGTGATGCTAGCACATGCCTTTAATCCCAGCTCTTGAAAGACAGAGGCAGAGGCAGGAGGGTAAGTCTGAGGCCAGCCTGGTCTCCATAGTGAGTTCTAGGACAGTCAAGGCTATACAGAGAGACAATGACTCAAAAACATGCAGGGTTAATATTCTAAACAATTTTGTACCAATAAAGTTGAAAACTTATAAATCATTATTTAAACTATGGTTTTCCAAAACTGAAGTAAGAAAAAATAGAAAACCAAAAAAGGTTAACTAGCCTTTAAAATAGTTTCAAAACATAAAATATCTAAAAACATCCTGGCCAAACCACTATTGTATAGAAAACTATACAGCATTTTTGGGAAAAAGCTAAGTCTAAATAAATTGAGTAATACTCATGCAATAGTCACAAACTAAAAGATTCAGCAGGTGAAAATCAATTTCTCCCCCAATCAATTAATAAAAACAATAAAATCTTAAACATTTCAGGTCTTTTCTTAATATAAATGTCCTGTGGAAATACAAACAATATAATTTTAATTTTTTTTATTTTTAAAGAGGATAAAATTAAAGTTACTACAACGAAGGCATAGTCCATGGAACAAGAACTGATAATGTCGAAAACTCAATCAATCTTCTCTTCTGCAAAATATCCTATGAAGAAAATGAAAAGTCAAACTATAGATTGGAGAAAGGCTTCCAAAGTACATATTCTAGAAAGGATGACTGTGTATAATATACAGGATTTCAAAGACTCAACAACAACAAAAACCAGTGGCACATAAAAACGCTCTAAGTCACATTAGCAGACAAGACACACAGATGGTCAATAAGTGTGAAAAATGGTTACAAATTGTATGTCTTTCAAGAAATGCTAATTCAAATAATACCGAGACACCACAACACAGCTATTAGAATGTCCAAATTGCAGAACACCAACATCATCAAATGCTGAGAAGGGTGTGGAGCACCAGGAACTCTGATTCTTGGGTGATGGCAATGATAACTTTGGAAGACAGTTGGGTAGTGTCTTGCAACATTGAGTGTACTCTTACTATGTCATCCACTAATCATGTTCCATAGTACTCATGCAAAGGAACTGAAAACGCATCTACCCAAAAATATGAGCATGAATGCTTCTGGAAACTTCATTCATAAATGTCAAAACTTAAAGTAATGGAGATTCCTCAGTAGGTCAATGGATAAATGCATTATGGTAGAAGCAGAAAATGAAATGTTTAATATAAAAAAGGGCTATTGCCTCATGAAGAGGCCTTGCAAAGATTTGAGTGCATGTAGTAAGTGGAGTAAGACAAGCTGAAGATTCTATGATCTTTGATTCTTCCGTGACGTTTTGGAAAAGGGAATAGCTGTAGTGACAGTAAAAACATCAGTGATTTCCTGATTTCAGGAGAGGCAGGGAGAAACACATAGATGTAAAGGATTTGGAGGTCAAGAGTCTACTCTATTTGATACTCTAACAGTATGGACACACCAGGATAAGTTATCCAAATCTACAGAATGTACAACATTAAAAGGAAAACCTAGTCTACAATTTGGGCTTGGTGATAAAGATGTGAAAATGGAGACTGGAGAAATTGCTCAGAGGATAAGAGCACTTGGTGTTCTTCCAAAGGACTAAGTTCAATTCCTAGCACCTACAGCATGTCAACCCAAGCTCCAGGGAATCTAGCACCCTTTTCTGACATCCACAGGCACCTACATATGATTGGCATACACTCACACAGGTGTACACATGAGTAAAATAAAAATAAATCCCGTTTTTAAAAGATCTGTTAGCAAGCTGGTCATGGTGGCACACACTTCTAATCTCAGCACTTGGGAGGCAGAGGCAAGTGGATCTCTATGAGGCTGAGGCCAGCCTGGTCTACATAGTAAGTTTCAGGACAGCCAGAGCTACACAATGAAACACTGTCTCAAAAACAAAAACAAAAACAAACAAACAAAAGATGTGTTAGCTGGGTGCAGTCCTTTAATCCCAGCACTAGAGACAGAGGCAGGAGGATCCTTGATTTTAAGGACAGACTGGTATACAGAATGAGTTCCAGGACAGCCAGGGCTACACAGAGAAACCTTGTCTCTAAAAATAAACAAAAAAATGATATGTTAATATAGATTTATCAAAGACAGCAAATGTACAACTTTAGGGTATTAATAACATGGAAGGCTGTGTATATTTGTGGCCAAGAGAATATGGAAAATTTCTGTGGCTTCTAATAATTTTCCCATGCATATGAAATTTGCAATACATATATCTGGAAAAGGGTTATGCTCAGAGTACACAGGATTCTATCTATCTATCTATCTATCTATCTATCTATCTATCTATCTATCTTTCTCTCTCCCTCTACCTTTTTAGATAGAGTCTTACTTTGTAGCTCTGGCTGTCCTGAAACTCAATACGTAGACCAGGTTGACCTCAAACTCACAGAGATCTGTCTTCCTCTGACTCCCAAGTGCTGGGATGCCTTCAGTCATGCACCACTGTGCCTGTCTTCAGAAGATTATTTCTGCAGGCAAATGTTCCAAATAGAAAATTATGTAAAAGACCTGAATACTGCTTTCAAAAAAATGTATCACATGAAAAAAATCCATGTGAATATGTAGATAATTTCATTATCACCAGAGAAATGCTAATTAAACATATAATATGGTATCATCACTTGCTCAACAAAGTGGTTAAAACTGAAATGATAACAGAAAATGCTGACAAGACCATAGAGCAACTGGAACTCCCATTCTATCGCTTTTTGCTTAAGTTTTACTGTGCTGTGAATCAATCTTGAGTATGCCAGACAAGGGGTCTACAATTGAGATGTCTCTATCCTTTGGAATGCTCTGCCTTTGGACTTGAAACCTCCCTTCTGTGACTTACCATGGCTGAGATTACAGACACATGCCACCATGGCTGGAACAGTAAAACTACATTTTTGATTTTTAAAAAAATCTTACAATCTAGGCTAAATCTCAGTGTTTTTTCTCAATTATCACATTTTAATGCACAGTAATCCAAGCATTCAAAATACATACATATTACAGCAAAATGGCATATACAGTAATGTTCATAGTATTACTCTTCAACAAAGTTCAAAACTGAAAACATAGTTCACTGGCAGGGGTAGACTCAATGATTCAAGGCACACTTCTCCAGAGGAGAAATATAAAATAATGAGAAGAAAATTAGTTAGGAAACTCATCACATATCAGCTTCACAAAGTCAGTGCTGAATGACAGACAACCAGCACAAGAGAAAAATACTGTACAAACACATTTCATAAAGGTTATAACAAATATAGAATAATGTGCAATGATAACAGTCAATATGCTGTTTTGTAGAGAGTTGGTCACAAAATAATGGAGAGAGGGAGCATGGTATGATTTTGTAGATTTTAGTTTTTTCTTTAGGTTCTGCTTATAGAAACATACTAACCATGGAAAATGTTCCTGTTGTGTCCCTTCTGAACATATGTTCCATGTTAAAACAAAATTAAATTGTACAAAATTCAATTTTTTTCTGTATAAAATTAATTAAATACCATTCAATTTAATAAATTATACACCCATCAAAAGGTTTTTCACCTTCTCAAAAGAATTTTATTAAGATTACTAGACCACATTAATGTACTATATAATACATATACATTAACTTAAGTGTAACTCAGCAAAGGTACGCTTAGCACCACTAATACTTAAGATCTGACATGAACTAGAGGGTACAGCTGTATCTCAAAAGCAGGGTTAGAATTTGGAAGGACAGAACTATAAGCAATTGTGAAAATGGACACCTGGTGGCGCTGTTGACTAAGAGTAAAAATGAAGAGCTCTGCAGATGCCCAGGAAAGCTGAAAATCAGAACTCTGTCTGCCCCCCAGAAGGAGAAGGTATGGAAGTGTGATCTAGGGGAGATGTCCCCAGGAACAATAAAGCGTTGAAGAAAATTTAATTCGAGGTTGTATCTCCAAACCTTACCTAAGTGGATTATAATCGACTGGAAGAAGCAGCGCCCTCTGGACTGAATCTGAACAATGGAGACAGCTCAAGCAAAAACGCCAGAAAAAAGGCAAGTCGTTTTTCTTACTATATTGCTGCTTTTGTGGGAGGCTGGCACTGAAGCGATTAGATATTCCATGCCAGAAGAAACGGAGAGTGGCTACTTGGTGGCTAACCTGGCAAAAGATCTGGGGCTCAGGGTCGGGGAACTGGCCACCAGAGGGGCGCGAATCCATCACAAAGGAAACAAAGAACTCTTGCAGCTGGATGCAGAGACCGGGAATTTGCTTCTGAGGGAAAAACTAGATCGTGAGGTGCTGTGTGGGGTGACAGACCCCTGTGTGCTGCACTTCCAGCTCATTCTGGAAAACCCTGTGCAGTTCTTCCAAACTGACCTGCAGATCACAGACATAAACGACCATTCTCCAGAGTTCCCTCACAGGGAAATGCTCCTAAAAATCACTGAAAGCGCCCAGCCAGGGACTGTGTTTCCTCTGAAGGCAGCTCAGGACTCTGACATAGGGAACAATGCTGTTCAGAACTACACAGTCAGTCCCAACCTCCATTTCCATGTGGTTACTCAGAGTCGCGCTGATGGCAGCAAATACCCTGAGCTGGTGCTGGACAGAGCCCTGGACAGGGAGGAGCAGCCTGAGCTCACTTTAACCCTCACTGCTGTGGATGGTGGGTCTCCTCCCAGGTCTGGGACCACCATAGTTCGCATTGAAGTCATGGACATAAATGATAACGCCCCCCAGTTTGTACAGTCGCTCTATGAGGTTCAGATTCCTGAGAACAGCCCCGTTGATGCTGTAGTTTTGACAGTCTCTGCCAGGGATTTAGATGAGGGGATACATGGGAATATTGCCTACTCTCTGTTTCAAGGGAGTGGAGTTTCTCAACCATTTGTAATAGATGAGGTCACAGGAGAAATTCGTCTTAAAAGGGTATTGGATTTTGAGGCAACAACTTATTATAACATGGAAATTGTAGCCACAGACAGTGGTGGCTTTTCAGGAAAATGCAGTGTCCTTGTTGCAGTGGTGGATGTGAATGACAATGCCCCTACACTCACCATATCCTCGCTCACTACTTCCATCCCAGAAAATGCTCCTGAAGCTGTAGTTGCTGTTTTCCGTGTTTCTGATCCAGACTCTGGGGACAATGGAAGGATGGTGTGTTCTATTCAGAACAATCTCCCATTTCTTTTAAAGCCCACATTCGAGAACTATTACACTTTAGTGACAGAGGGACCCCTAGACAGAGAGAGCAGAGCTGAGTATAACATCACCATCACAGTCACTGATCAGGGCACACCCAGGCTCACAACACAGCACACCATAACAGTTCAGGTGTCTGACGTCAACGACAACGCCCCCGCCTTCACACAAACCTCCTACACACTCTTTGTCCCGGAGAACAACAGCCCCGCCCTGCACATAGGCACCATCAGTGCCACAGACTCAGACTCAGGCTCCAATGCCCACATCACCTACTCTCTGCTGCCCACCCACGACCCGCAGCTGGCCCTCACCTCGCTCATTTCCATCAACGCCGAAAACGGGCAGCTGTTCGCGCTCAGGGCCCTGGACTACGAGGCCCTGCAGACCTTCGAGTTCCACGTGGGCGCCACAGACCAAGGCTCTCCTGCGCTCAGCAGCCAGGCGCTGGTGCGAGTGCTGGTGCTGGACGCCAACGACAATGCGCCCTTCGTGCTCTACCCGCTGCAGAACGCCTCTGCACCCTGCACAGAGCTGCTGCCCAGGGCGGCAGAGCCAGGATACCTGGTCACCAAGGTGGTGGCAGTGGACCGCGACTCTGGACAGAATGCCTGGCTGTCCTTCCAGCTGCTCAAGGCCACAGAGCCCGGGCTGTTCAGCGTGTGGGCTCACAATGGCGAGGTGCGCACCTCCAGGCTGCTGAGTGAGCGAGATGCTCCCAAGCACAGGCTGCTGCTGCTGGTCAAGGACAATGGAGATCCTCCAAGGTCTGCCAGTGTCACTCTGCATGTGCTGCTGGTGGATGGCTTCTCTCAGCCCTACCTGCCTCTGCCAGAGGTGGCGCGCGCCCCCGCCCAGGATGAGGACGCGCTCACACTGTACCTGGTCATTGCCTTGGCTTCTGTGTCTTCCCTCTTCCTCTTGTCTGTGCTGCTGTTTGTGGGGGTGAGGCTGTGCAGGAGGGCCAGGGCGGCCTCTCTGGGTGGCTGCTCTGTGCCTGAGGGACACTTTCCTGGCCACCTGGTGGACGTCAGTGGCACTGGGACCCTGTCCCAGAGCTACCAGTATGAGGTGTGTCTGAGGGGAGACTCTGGGACAGGTGAGTTCAAATTTCTCAAACCCATGGTCCCCAACTTGTTTCAGGATGCTGGGAGAGAAGTTAAGGGAAGTCCCCACTGCAGGGACAGCTTTGTATTCAGTTAACTTTTGTGTTTGGTTCAGTGAATTTAGTTTTGGTAAATCTATAGCAATTTGGTTCTCTTAAGAAAGTGAATCATTTTCTCCAAGTATTGACATTGTAATCGAAGCATATGCATGTCCTCCATTACCGATTTTTTTTTTACTTTCTTGCCATCTGCTGTACTTAGAAGTTTCAGGTGTGATGAATATTAAGAACACAATTTCAACTTATATTTTACTTTAGCTCAAGTATTGCACAACAATTACAAGCATTTTAGTTAACCTGTTTTGGGTTTTTGTTGGTTGGTTGGGTTGGTTGGGCTTTTTGTTTGTTTGTTTGTTTTTTGTTCTTGACATAGTATGTCTGTATGTAGCTCTGGCTGTCCTAGAACTCACTATGTAGACCAGGGTGGCCTCAAACTGATAGACATCCATCTTCTCTTGAGAGCTCTCAAATGCCAGCAGCTTTATTATTTTTACCAGATAATTTCAAGTTTTTATGGCCAAAGTGTTCACATAGTTTCAACTTCATTTTGTTGCTATTGGATATTAAATATAGGACCTCATACCTGCTAACCATATATTCTGATAGAATGAGCTTCACTCACAGTTGAAGTTGCTCATAGTTACCTTGAGCAGCCATGAGCATAACAATTTGCATACTTGTCTTCAAATTATAAACATTCACTTATTAAAATAATAAGACATAATTTGTATTGCATAATACAGAAATTATTGGTTTTTAATTGAACTCTAATCCTTTTTCATCTTATGTGAACCACACATGCTAGAGGTTGTCTGCATTGTTTGTCCACCACATACCTAGCACACTGTTCCTTAAATATTAATTTTAACAATCTCATTTATAAATATTAAAGGGATAACCTTATGTATTGTTAATTTGTCATTTATTTCACTAAACAAAACTGTTTCAGAGTAAGAGTATAATCAGTGATTAACCAAGCATGCATGCCAAGGCCTGGGTAACACTTCCAAGCAGGGAAAAGAAACAGACAGAAAAAAAACACACCTGTTAAATCTTTGCTTGACACAATACTGTTGGAAAACTAATTTGGGTAACAGAAGAAACCACTGACGTCCTCAAGGAATCAAGGCTTTTGATGGTCTCGTTTTATCTTATTGTTCCAGAAATAAAAGTGTTCATGGAGCTTTTGTGATTTTTTGTTAATCTCAGTTGTGAACATGAGATCTAGAACCATCTGACCATGGAGGATTATCATGCTTAGGATAATTGAGGTGGGAAGTCCATTGTGGTGGCATCATTCCCTGGGCTGAGATCCCAGACTGTATGTTGAGGAGAACGTGGACTGAGCACACGTGTTCATGGCTCTCTTCTTTCTGCCTGGAGATACAGTGTGACCAGCTGTTCAAACTCCTGTCTTTCACTTTCCCTATCATAGGGTAATCTTGAACTGTGAGCCAAAACCCTTCCTATTTTATCCTAGAAATAGAAAAAATAACTAAGACAGCCTGCATGGTCACATGGTATCAGATACCTTGAGCATTCTAAGCATGCTGTTCACTGTGGCCCTGTTCTAGTTTATATTGATACCTATATTTCCTTTGGTTTTCCTGCAGCTTCTCCTCACCTATCAAAAGACTCTGGAAATTTCTGGAAATTTCAATATTCTATTTGAGTCTCATTATCAGTTCATAATTTTCACATTATATTGTTTTGTAGATATGGAAAGCTAAACAATTCTTTTGTGATATTTAAAACTATCACCTGAATTGTTATTTGGTGTAACCTGGAAATAGTCTCAGTTGATTTAGTTTTTCAATTATGCTGACTATTGCATAATACAAAAATTATTGGTTTTTAATTGAACTCTAATGATTTTAACTGAATTAAATTACTTATATTCAATGAGTTAAGTAAGCTTATGTGATTGCTAACTAGGTAAATCCATATGGCTACAACTGTAAGAAAACTTTATTGAACTTTTGGCAGGGAATGAACAATTGAAGAGCTTGGTTTATAATCTATTATCTTTATGTTTTACTCTTTAGCTAGTACATATTCATTGTACAAAGCAATGGATTTCCTTATGAATTTTTATGCATGTACATAATCCTCACACATTGATCGTGTATACCCTTTGTTTCTTTTTAAATCTCAAGTATCATGTAGAGTTCAAACATTTGCATCTTTCCCTGAATTAATGTTTCCTCTCCTAAGGATGAAGTGATACATAAAAAGAAAATTGATGACCATTCCTTATCCTTGGAATGTAATTTTTGGTTATTCAGTTTTAAAATTGAAGTGAGAAAGAGGTTAGCATGAAACAAAGTAAATACAACAAATATATATGACTTAAATATGGCAGATAACTCTAATGGCTCGCCCATAATGCGACAAGATGCCTCTCCTGGTGTGGTGTCTACTCAGAATACCAGCCTGAACTGAAAAAAGCCAAGACCTGCTGTTATAGCTCAACAGTAGGCCATTTGCCTAAGAGGTACAAATCCCTAGGTTCAATCTCCCTAGCATTAGAGAGAAAAATATTCACCTTTTCCTTCATGATCAAAAGTCACAAAAAGTCATGTGTTTTAAAATACAAAGTTATAGATTACACATGTGTTTAGTAGAATTCCCCTCGAACTTAGATGGATTCTCTGACACCAGAAAACAACTGTAAAAACTGACTAAATGTCAGAAACTATCTCTTCAGTGCAACAGGAATTCACTTATATGAGAAATGAATCCTACTCAGTTTGCTTAAAGAATGGTCAACAGGTTCTTGATATAGACACCTTTATTGAGTAGCCTCTGACAGAAAGAAAACCTGAGCTGAGCCAGTTTTCATGCCAAGATCACTTGTCAACTCAGCAGGCCAGGAAAGAAGACTAAAAATGTAACTTGAAAACTCTCTGAAGGCAGAAAGAGATTTTGTACAAAGTACAAAGATTGGGACCCGCCTGGCAGAGTCGATGCAGAGAATTCATGTTTGTAACTTGGAATTTGCCAAAACTCCGTGCTCGTAACGACTTCAGAGAACCTTGACCAAGTTTAGTGCCTGTTTGGGTTGGAGTGATTGTACAAGATGGTGCTCTCTCAGGCTAAGTGCAAAGGGTGAGCCCTTCCTGGAAGAGGATAATAGTATCATGATTTGGACAGATTTTACATAAGTACCAGCAGTCAGTAGGTACATGTCACAAAACTGGATAATATAAAGAAAACCAGAGGAGAACAAAACACAATGACCTAGAAGATGCATGTTTTAGAATAAAATAACTATGTCATTAAAATAAAGTGGTTAATACTTTTGAAACAAGGAACAATTGAGCAAATAAATATTTGATATTTAAGACAATTGATATTTAAGACTCAAAGTCAATTACATAATAAAAAATACATGTGTCGTAAAACTATATAAATGGTAAAGCTTCATGGAAATAAAGGAATACAGAATTAGCAGATGTGATGCATGTCAATATGAAATACCTAAATATAGAAAAAATTGAAGTCTTGAAGAGATGGCTCAGCAGTTAAGAGCAAGTGGATTGAATTCAGGTTTCAGCACCCACCCCTTGTCAGGGGAATCACAACTGCCTTTACTCCAGCTCTCAGGGACCCAACAACCTCTTCAAGGACATTCTCACTCTCATGACATTTATTCACATGCACAAAACACAAATAAATAAAAACAAACCTTTTTTAGACAGTAGAGAATAGAGGTTAAGAGATGTCTCAGTGGTTAAGACCACTTGCTGTTTTTCCAGAGATTCCAGGTTTGGGTCCCAACAAAACCATCTGTAAGTCTAGTTCCAGGGAATTCCACAGCCCTCTCTCTCTGTGGGGACTCACATAGGGAATTGTTACTCAACAACAAAAAGAAATGAGCTATCAACCTACAGAAAACCATTAAGAAACTTTTATACACATTAGTAAGTCTTAGACGCTAAGCTGAAAAAAACCTCAATACTGTAAAATTCTGACTGTGGAGGAAGAAAAAGTGTCAGTGATTTCCAAAGATTCTAATAAGACAGGATAGATAAAGAGAGATTTAGAGAATGGGGTTGGGGTGGGAAGAGTCAGTGAAACATGATATTCTAAAAATATGTGCATGCATGATTAGATTTATCCATGCCTACAGACTGTATAGTATCAAGAAGGAACTTTGATTTAAACTATGTACTCAGTGGTATACATGTAGGATCATCAGTTGTTAAAAATGCACCAGTTTGGCAGGGTTGCCTGTTACAGTTTCCTCTGAGTTCTGTTTCCAGAACAACTTCAAGGCTGCTCGCTGAGATGATCCAGTCTCACCAAATACTCCAGCCAAGACTTAATTATGATCCTAAATTTTCTCAGGATCCCTCAAAGATTACCAGCACCCCCAATCAACAGGAAATAGCCTAGAGAACTATGCCCACATTCCCAAAGTGTTGGTTATAAATGTTTGTCATTATTTGGGGTAGGGGTGGTTACAAGTTGTCACTTGCAATGGTCAGGAAAAAAGCTGAACAAAGGAGATTAGACTCAGGGATATCTTTCTGAAAATAAAAAGGGGCAATAGAGAAACGATATGATAAAAAGTGTAGATTATTGAATCTACTTTAATCCAAAAACAAGTGCTAATCTCAAAATGTTTTACATTGGTATAGATTTTAGTTTATTGATACAAATTTAAAGTTAATTTTGTTATACTGTATTTCTGCTCTTGTTTATGATATGTTTATGCAGCTCATTTAAAAATATAATATATAATTAAGAAATACAGATTAATAGTCATCTATAATAGCAAACTTATAGTCATGTTAGGTATGTTTTCAAGGTCATACAGAGATATATTTCAGACAGATCTTCAGGTAATCTTCAAACACTTCAAAGAACCACAGAATATGGCATTTAAAATGTCTTAATAACAGACTATTCTTGATATGAGACACATCTGCTCCTGGCAGCTCTGATCTACTTCTAAAGAGGATTACGGGTATCAAAGACACTCCATACAGAGTTTGCTTTCTTTGTGGCACAAGCTAGCCTTTAGGACAAGAAACTGCCCTTGCCTTGACTGCTGACAGTACACTGTCCAAACGGGACAAGCAGGAATGCTGAACTTCGACAAGACAGGGTAGGGCAATCTTTCAAAATTCCCTGTTTCACAGGAAAGTCTGTCAGATATGCTAGGCCCATAGGACAGAGTTGGATGCCCCAACATTACAAAGGAACTTTGGGTGAATGTCCAGGCAGCCTAATGTCTTTGTCATTTGGTAACATTTAACACTTCTGGGGTCTTTGATGGAGTTGAAGACTAAATAGTTATAGTTATAATTTTCCTTAATTACAATAGAAAGTAAATTAGATAAAAAACTTTAAACTCACCAAGATAAGTTAGATAATTATTTTCTCCTCTTTTGCCAAATGCAAATGAATTGGATATTGTTATTGTAATTTTTACTTGATAACTGTTTTTGTTGTATATAATCTTACTATATTAAGGTTAAAACCTTCCTTTTTAAATAGATAAAAAAGAGGAAATACTATGGAACAATCCTTTTAAATGGTATGAATATGTATTACTCTCATTGGTTAATAAAAAGCTAACAGGCTGGTAGCTGGGCAGGAAGTTAGGTGGGAAAGCCAAACTGAGAATGATGGGAAGAAGGAGGGTGGAGTCAGGAGAGACAACGGTCAGCTGCCAAAAAGCAGGACATGTAAAAACTAGGTAACAAGTCATGAGCCACGTGGCAAACAAAAATAGAAATGTGGGTTAATTTAAGTGTAAGAATTAGCTAGTAACAAACCTGAGCTATTGGCCAAGCATTTATAATTAATATAAGCACCTGTGTGGTAATTTGGGAAGTGGCTGCCGGGTATTTGGGTCTTGCTGGGACGACAGAAACTTTCATCTACAGATACCTATAACGAGGAAGGATGCACACAGTGTGGAGAGGAAATAATTGCATTTCCAAGTCATTTAGTGTGATTTTCAATCGACTCATTAAAAATACACTTCTTTTTTTAAAAACAGAGACTTTCATCTCAACAAAATCTGTGATAGGTCTGCAGTAATGAAGACAACAGAGTATTACATGACACTCAGAGAAAAAACTGGAACACTGGGGCAGACCTTTAACACCCTGATTCACGACATGATAGCCCCTCAGAAGGAGTGCCCCAACTTTATAGCATGCTGTAAGGTATTTTAAATCAAGAACTCCAATTTAATTCATTTAAAACATATTATAAGTTAACAAGTTTATATGTGAAAACTAAACTTTCAAAATATACACATTTTATGACCTTGAATTATACAAGTTTAAATGTACTAAACAAAATTGAGAAGTATTACCAGACCAAACAAAACACAACTAAGATGTTTTATTGATCAAACCACAATATCAACAAAATGCAAGATCTAGACTGGGAAATATTTGAGCATAGATATCTGAGAAAGAGATTATACATTATATACAAAATACTTCATCAAGCAACCACCAAACAAATAGAAGCCTCATATCGGAAAAATACATAAAAGACATGAACAAGCTCCTCCAACGACTCTATACTGATGATCAGTCAACGTGAAAGTGTGCATCACTTCATGAATGGAAGACAAATGCTAATTAAATTTACATATGAAGTCACCACACACTCACTAAAGTTCTAAAAATCAAGAACAACACAAATGCCAGCAGGGATAGGAAGCAACTGGAACTCCATGGTATTAGTACAGCTACACATGCAAAATGTTTCTTTTTTGGAGAAGCAAAGTAACCAAACCATAGCAGGTCCAGGGCATGTGAGGTTCTCTTGAATATGGTCTATTTCATTTTTATCTAAGCCGAGCTAAATAACATTATAAAAATTGAATTGATGAAACAATTGTAACTTTTCCCCCTTGATATATATTATGTTTCAAGGTATATATAACAGTGTAAAAATAATTTTTCTATGTCCATTATCTTTGATTTCTTTAACAAAATCAAATTATAAGCCTACAAAGAAAGTCAATTCATCAACTCAGTACTCTTATGACAAACCATTAATGCCATCTTCAATTGTTCTAAAATTTATACCTACAACCAAAACTTATTTAAGCAAAATAATATTTAGAACTTCCAATTGTAAGAACTGGGTGTGTAAATTAAAAGGATACTGAAATATATTAAATTTAAAATTTGGAAGGAAATGGTAAAATGAAATGCAAGATTAAGGACGCTTGGTGGCGCTGCAGGATAAGAGTGTGAAGAATGGGCTCTGCAGACGCCCAGGACGCCATCTCATCAAGCTGAGAACCAGAACTTTGGCTGCTGTCTGAAGGAGAAGGTAATAAGAAAGGTTTCTGGGAGAAATTGGGAAGAAGGTGTCTCTCTAATCAGATTTAGTTCAATATTTTCACGAACCCTGAGTGGATTGTAATCGCCTTGAAGAAGCAGCGCCCTCTGGACTGCATCTGAACAATGGAGACAGCACTAGCAAAAACATCAGAGAAAAGGCAAGTCGTTTTTCTTACTATATTGCTGCTTTTGTGGGAGGCTGCCTCTGAGGCGATTAGATATTCCATGCCAGAAGAAACGGAGAGTGGCTACTTGGTGGCTAACCTGGCAAAAGATCTGGGGTTCAGAGTGGGGGAACTGGCCACCAGAGGGGCACAAATCCATTCCAAAGGAAACAAAGAGCTCTTGCAGCTGGATGCTGAGACCGGGAATTTGCTTCTGAGGGAAAAACCAGATCGTGAGATGCTGTGTGGGGTGACAGACCCCTGTGTGCTGCACTTCCAGCTCATTCTGGAAAACCCTGTGCAGTTCTTCCAAACTGACCTGCAGATCACAGACATAAATGACCATTCTCCAGAGTTCCCTCACAGGGAAATGCTTCTAAAAATCCCTGAGAGTGCCCAGCCAGGAGCTGTGTTTCCTCTGAAGGCAGCTCAGGACTCTGACATAGGGAACAATGCTGTTCAGAACTACACAGTCAGCCCCAACCTCCATTTCCATGTGGTTACTCAGAGTCGCGCTGATGGCAGGAAATACCCTGAGCTGGTGTTGGACAGAGCCCTGGACAGGGAGGAGGAGCCTGAGCTCACTTTAACCCTCACTGCTATGGATGGTGGGTCTCCACCCAGGTCTGGGACCACCACAGTTCGCATTGAAGTTGTGGACATCAATGATAACGCCCCTCAGTTTGTACAGTCGCTCTATGAGGTGCAGATCCCTGAGAACAGCCCTCTCAATGCCTTAATTGTCACGGTCTCTGCCAGGGATTTAGATGCTGGGATGAATGGGAATGTAGCCTACTCTCTGTTTCAAGGCGGTGGAGTTTCTCAACCATTTGCAATCGATGAGGTCACAGGAGATATTCATCTGAGTGATGAGTTGGATTTTGAAGTAACTAACTACTATAACATAGAAATCGCAGCCACAGATGGTGGTGGCTTTTCAGGGAAATGCACTGTGTCTGTACAGGTGTTGGATGTGAATGACAACGCCCCAGAGCTGAGTATCAGAAAGCTCACAATTCCTATCCCAGAAAACTCCCCAGAGACTGTAGTTGCTGTTTTCAGTGTTTCTGATGCAGATTCTGGGGACAACGGAAGGATGGTATGTGCTATTCCGAATGATCTCCCGTTTCTCTTAAAACCCACTTTCACGAACTATTACACTTTAGTGACAGAGGGGCCACTGGACAGAGAGAGCAGAGCTGAGTACAACATCACCATCACAGTCACTGACCAGGGCTCACCCAGGCTCACAACACAGCACACCATAACAGTTCAGGTGTCTGACGTCAATGACAACGCCCCCACCTTCACACAAACCTCCTACACCCTGTTTGTCCAGGAGAACAACAGCCCCGCCCTGCACATAGGCACCATCAGAGCCACAGACTCAGACTCAGGCTCCAATGCCCACATCACCTACTCTCTGCTGCCCACCCACGACCCGCAGTTGGCCCTCTCCTCGCTCATCTCCATCAATGCCGAAAACGGACAGCTCTTCGCGCTCAGGGCACTGGACTACGAGGCCCTGCAGACCTTCGAGTTCCACGTGGGCGCCACAGACCAAGGCTCTCCTGCGCTCAGCAGCCAGGCGCTGGTGCGTGTGCTGGTGCTGGACGCCAACGACAATGCGCCCTTCGTGCTCTACCCGCTGCAGAACGCCTCTGCACCCTGCACAGAGCTGCTGCCCAGGGCGGCAGAGCCAGGATACCTGGTCACCAAGGTGGTGGCAGTGGACCGCGACTCTGGACAGAATGCCTGGCTGTCCTTCCAGCTGCTCAAGGCCACAGAGCCCGGGCTGTTCAGCGTGTGGGCTCACAATGGCGAGGTGCGCACCTCCAGGCTGCTGAGTGAGCGCGATGCTCCCAAGCACAGGCTGCTGCTGCTGGTCAAGGACAATGGAGATCCTCCAAGGTCTGCCAGTGTCATTCTGCATGTGCTGCTGGTGGATGGCTTCTCTCAGCCCTACCTGCCTCTGCCAGAGTTGGCGCGCGACTCCGCGCAGGACAATGAGGACTTGATCACACTGTATCTGGTCATTGCCTTGGCTTCTGTGTCTTCCCTCTTCCTCTTGTCTGTGCTGCTGTTTGTGGGGGTGAGGCTGTGCAGGAGGGCCAGGGCGGCCTCTCTGGGTGGCTTCTCTGTGCCTGAGGGACACTTTCCTGGCCACCTGGTGGACGTCAGCGGCACTGGGACCCTGTCCCAGAGCTACCAGTATGATGTGTGCCTGAGGGGAGACTCTGGTACAGGTGAGTTCAAATTTCTCAAACCCATGATCCCCAACCTGTTTCAGGATGCTGGGAGAGAAGTTAAGGAAGCTCCCCACTGCAGAGATAGCTTTGTATTCAGTTAACTGTTGTATCTGGTTCAGTGAATTTATTTTTGACAAATCTCTAGCAGTGTGGTTCTCTGAAGAAAGTGAATCATTTTCACCTAAGTATGCATGTCCTCCATTTCTACAATGTTTTTTTCTTGGTATCTACTTTAGTAGTTTCAGGTATAATGAATATTACAAACACAATTACTCTATATTTCACCTTATGTTTTACTTTAGCTCAAGTATTACACAATAAAATGAATTTCACTTTACTTATTTTTGGTTTGTTTTATTTTATTTTGTTTTGTTTGCTTGTTTGGTTGCTTGTTCTTTTTTTAAATTTGAGACAGGGTCTCACTATGCTGTGGCTGTCCTAGTACTCACTATGTAGACCAGGCTGGCCTCAAACTGATCAACATCCATTGGTCTATGTCTCTCAAATGCTGGCTACTTTGCCTGTTTTTAACCACAAAATCTCAAGTTTTTATGGCCAAGGTGTTTATATGCTTTTCACTTTCCTGTTCTTAGATATGAAATATAGGACCTCTTACCTGCTAAGCATACATTCTACCAGTGAGCTTCGCCCGCAGCTGAAGTTCCTCATTGTTACCCCGAAGTAGCCATGAGTGCAACAATTAGCATGCTTGTCTTCCAAATTATAAACATCCACTTATTAAAATATTAAGACACTAGAATTGTGACCTCTTTTCTTCTTATGTGGACCACATATCCGAGAGATTATTTGCATTATTACATACATAGCACATTGTTCCTTAAATATTAACTTAAACAATCATGTATAAATATTAAAGGGATAAACCTTATATACTAATAATTTGTCATCTCTATCACTAAACACAAGAGTTTGAGACTGAGGATACAGTCAGTCGTAGACTGTACATGCATGCCAAACCCTGGGTACACTTCTAGGCACCAAAAGGCAACAAACAAACAGACACAAGCCACATCTTATTAAATCATTGGACACAATACTGTTTGAAAACTGATCTGAATAACAGAAGTAAAGACTGAAATCATTCAATAATCAGTACTTTTGATGGTTTCATTTTATCTTATTGTTCATCCTTTTGTTCTAGAAATAAAAGTGTTCATGGAGCTTTTGTGGTTTTGTGTTAATCTCAGTTGTGAACATGAGATTTAGAACCATCTGACCATGGAGGATTATCATGCTTAGGATAATTGAGGTGGGAAGACCATTGTGGGTGGCACCATTCCCTGGGCTGGGATCTCGGACTATGTGAAGAGGCGAAAGTGGGCTGAGCACAAGTGTTCGTTGCTCTCTTCTTCCTGCCTGGAGATACAGTGTGACCAGTTGTTCAAACTCCTGTCTTTCACCTTCCCTATCTTGGGGTAATCTTGAACTGTGAGCCAAAACCCTTCCTATTTTATCCTAGAAATAGAAAAAATAACTAAGACAGCCTGCATGGTCACATGGTATCAGATACCATACCCAGAGACTTGAGCATTCTAAGCATGCTGTTCACTGTGGCCCTGTTCTAGTTTATATTGATACCTATGTTTCCTTTGGTTTTCCTGACGCTTCTCCTCACCTTTCAAAAGACTCTGCAAATTTCAATATTCTATTTGATTCTGGTTATCAGTTCTGATCTTTTTCACTTTATAATGTTTTGTAGATATGGAAAGCTAAACAATTCTTTTGTGATATTTAACTATCACTTGTTTTATTATTTGGTGTAACCTTGAAATATAATCAGTTAAATTTAGCTATTCAATTGTGCTGATTACCGCATAATACTAAAATTACTGGTTCTTAGTTGATTTGAACTATTGTAAATTTAACTGAATTCTAATCAACTAATATCCAACGAGTCAAGTAAGCTTATTATGTGCTTTCTAGTGGTTAAATTCATATGTATACAACTGCAAGAAAACTTCACTTAACTTCTGCCAGAATATGAACAATTGAAGACCTTGGTTTATAGTATCTTTATATGTTTTACTTTTTGGTTGGTATATATTCATTTTCAAAGCAATGGATTTCCTTATGAATTTTTAATGCATGTACATAATGTACACATTGATAATGTTTACCTTTTGTTTGTTTTTAAATCTCAAGTGTCATTCTTATGGAGTTTAAGTATTTGCGTCTTTCCCTGAATTAATGTTTCCTCCCCTAAGGATGTAATGAAATATAAAAAGAAAATTGCTGACCATCCTCTTACCTTCAACTGTAATTTTTGGTTATTCAATTTTAAAATCAAAGTGAGAAAGAAGGAAAACTGAGAAAAAGTAAATACAAACAAGCATGTAAGACTCAAGTATGACAGACAACTCTAATGACCTGACCGTGAAGTGCCAATGTACCTCTTTTGGAATGATGTCCAGTACTCAGGATACCTGCCTGAATAGAAAAAAAGCCAAGATCTGCTGTTGTAGCTCAACAGTAGGACATTTGCCTAATAGATGCTATTCCCTTGGTTCAATCTCCCCAACATCAGGAATAAAAAATATTCCGCTCTTCCTTCATGATCAAAAGTCACAAAAATCATGTATTTTAAAACATGAAGTTAAAGATTATGCATGTATTTTGGAGAATTCCCCTCCAGCTAATATGGATTATCTGACACCAGAAAACAACTGTAAAAACTGACTAAATGTCAGAAATTATCTCTTCAATACACCTGGAAGCCACTTATATGAAACTGAGTCCTACAACAGTTTGCTTGAAGAATAATCAACAGGTTCTTGGTATAGACACCATTATTAAGTAGCCTCTGACAGAATGGAAAATCCATTTCCTTCCCAGGACACTTGTTAACTCAGCAGCCCATGAAAGAAGACTAAAAATGTAATTTGAAAACTCTCTGAAGGCAGAATGAGATTTTGTACAAAGTACAAAGATTACAGATTGGGACTGGCCTGGCAGAGTCGATGTACAGAATTCATGTTTGTAATGAGAAATTTGTCAAAATCCATGCTTGTAAGTACTTCAGAGAACCTTGACCAAGTTTAGTACCTGTTTGGGTTGGAGTGATTGCACAAGACGGTGCTCTCTCAGGCTAAAAGCAAAGGGTGAGCCTTTCCTGGAAGAGGATAATAGTATCATGATTATGGACAGATTTTACATAAGTACCAACAGTCAGTAGGTGTAGCTAGAGTTTTCCTGCCTGGCCCACAGTCAGGACAAATCTCTCTCACCTGCCAGTCCCACAGCCGCTCAGACCCGACCAAGTAAACACAGAGACTTATATTGCTTACAAACTGTATGGCCATGGCAGGCTTCTTGCTAACTGTTCTTACAGCTTAAATTAATCCATTTCTATATATCTATACCTTGCCACATGGCTCATGGCTTACCAGCATCTTCACATGCTGTTTCTCATTGTGGTGGCTGGCAGTGTCTCTCTGACTCAGCCTTCCACTTCCCAGCTTTATTCTCCTCCTTGTCCCACCTATACTTCCTGCCTTGCCAATGGCCAATCAGTGTTTTATTTATTAACCAATCAGCAACACATTTGCCATACAGAACATCCCACAGCAAGTAGGTGCATATGACAAAACTGGATAATATAAAGAAAACCAGAGGAGAACAAAACACAATGACCTAGAAGATGTATGTGTTAGAATAAAATAACTATGTCATTAAAATAAAGTGGTTAATACTTTTGAAACAAGCAACAATTGAGCAAATAAATAGAAAGACAATTGATATTTAAGACTCAAAGTCAATTCTATAACAAAAAATACATGTGTTGTAAAACTATATAAATGGTAAAGCTTCATAGAAATAAGGGAATACAGAATTAGCAGATGTAATGCCTGTCAATACAAAATACCTAAAATAAATACAGAAAAATTGAAGTCTTGAAGAGATGGCTCAGCAGTTAAGAGCACGTGGGTTGAATTCAGATTTCAGCACCCACCCCTTGTCAGGGGGATCACAACTGCCTTTACTCCAGCTCTCAGGGATCCAACACCATCTTCAAGGACATTCCCACTGTTATGACATTTATTCACATGCACAAGATACAAAATAAATTTAAAAAACAAATCTTTTTTTAAATAGTAGAAAATGGTGGCTTGACAGATGTCTCAGTGGTTAAGACCACTTGCTGTTTATCCAGAGATTCCAGGTTTGGGTCCCAACAAAACCATCTGTAAGTCTAGTTCCAGTGGATTTTACAGCCTCTGTCTCTGTGGGGACCCACACAGGGGATTGTTATTCAACAACAAAAAGAAATGAGCTATCAACCTATGGAAAACCATTAACAAATTTAAGTGCACATTACTAAGTCATAGACGCTAAGTTGAAAAAAACCCAATACTGTAAAATTCTGACTGTGGATGAAGAAAAAGTGTCAGTGATTTCCAAAGATTCTAATAAGACAGGATAGAGAAACAGATAGATTTAGAGGATGCAATGGGGGTGAGAAGAGACAGTGAAACCATGATATGATACTCTAAAAATATGTGCATGCATGATTAGATTTATCCATGTCTACAGACTTATATACCAGGAGTGAACCTGATTTAAACTATGGACTCAGTGGTACACATGTACGATCATCAGTTGTCAGAAACATACCAGTTTGCAGGGGTACCTACAGTGAGGATGGTCACACATGGTGTGGAGAGGAAGTCTCTGCATTTCCAAGACATTGTATGTGATTTTAAAACTACTCATTAAAAATACACTGCTTTTTAAAAGGGGGTTTTCATTTCAATAAAATGAAGTGAAGTAATGGAGTAATGAAGACAACAGAAGATTATATGGCCGTAAGAGAGAAAATTGGATCACTGGGGCAGACCTGGAACCACCCTGAGGCAGGACATCAAAGGCCCTGAGAAGAGGGTGCCTCGCCTGTGTAGCATGCTGTAATGGTGTTTGGAAATCAAGAACTCCAACTTTATTCATTCAAAATATGTTTTATGTTAAAAGTTTATACGTGAATGATAAACTTTAAAAATACACACATATCTTTATGACTTTGAATTATGGAAGATTAAATGTACTAAACAAAATGGAAAACTATTACTGGATCAAAATAAACACAATTAAGATGTTTTATTGATCAAACCACAATATCAGCAAAATTCAAGGCATAGACTGAGAACTATTTGTGCATATACATCTGAAAAAGAGATTATACATTATATACAAAATACTTCCTCAGACCAACCAGCAAACAAATAGAAGCCTCATCAGAAAAATACATAAAAGACATGAACAAGCTCCTCAGAAGACTCTATCCTGATAGCCAGTCAACGTGAAATTGTGTGTCACTTTACAAATGACAGACAAATGCTAATTAAATTTACATATGAGGTCACCACACACTAAAGTTCTAAAAATCAAGAAGACAACACAAATTCTAACAGGGATATGAAGCAACTGGAACTCTCATGCTTCATGGTCTTAGTACAATTACACATGCAAAATGTTTATCTTTTGGAGAAGCAAAGTAACCGAACCATAGCAGGCCAGGTTCTCTTGAACTTGGCCTATTTTGTTTTTCTCTAAGCTGAGCTAAATAACATTATTAAAAAGTCAATAGGTTATGCAATTACGTTTTTTCCCCCTTCTGGATGTATGTTATATTCAAGGTGGATATAAAAAGTATACAACTAATTTCTGTATATGTTCATTATCTTTAGTTTCTTGAACAAAATCAAATTATACACCTACACCAAAAAGCTGATTCATTCACTTGGTATTCTTATAACAAAACATTAATTCCGTCTTCGATTATTCTAAAATTTATACTTACAACGAAAACTTAATTCAGCGAAATCACCCTTAGAACTTCCAATTGCTAAGAAGTGGACTTACAATTCAGGCTTCCTGTGTAAATTAAAAGGATACTGAAACACATCAAGGTTAAAATTTGGAAGGAAATGGCAAAATGAAATGCAAGAACAAGTAAGGACGCTTGGTGGCGCTGCAGGATAAGAGTGTGAAGAATGGGCTCTGCAGCTGCCCAGGACGCCATCTCATCAAGCTGAGAACCAGAACTTTGGCTGCTATTTGAAGGAGAAGGTAATAAGAAATGTTTCTGGGAGAAACTGGGAAGAAGGTGTCGCTCTAATCGGATTTAGTTCAATATTTTCACGAACCCTGAGTGGATTATAACCGACTTGAAGAAGCAGCGCCCTCTGGACTGAATCTGAACAATGGAGACAGTTCTAGCAAAAACGCCACAGCAAAGGCAAGTCGTTTTTCTTACTATATTGCTGCTTTTGTGGGAGGCTGATTCTGAGGCGATTAGATATTCCATGTCAGAAGAAACGGAGAGTGGCTACTTGGTGGCTAACCTGGCAAAAGATCTGGGGTTCAGGGTGGGGGAACTGGCCATTAGAGGGGCTCAAATCCATTCCAAAGGAAACAAAGAGCTCTTGCAGCTAGATGCTGAGACTGGGAATTTGTTCTTAAAGGAAAAATTAGATCGAGAGGTGCTGTGTGGGGTGACAGACCCCTGTGTGCTGCACTTCCAGCTCATTCTGGAAAACCCTGTGCAGTTCTTCCAAACTGACCTGCAGATCACAGACATAAATGATCATGCTCCGGAGTTCCCTCACAGGGAAATGCTTTTAAAAATCCCAGAGAACGTCCAGCCAGGGACTGTGTTTCCTCTGAAGGCAGCTCAGGACTCTGACATAGGGAACAATGCTGTTCAGAACTACACAGTCAACCCCAACCTCCACTTCCACGTGGTTACTCAGAGTCTCACTGATGGCAGGAAATACCCAGAGCTGGTGCTGGACAGAGCCCTGGACAGGGAGGAGGAGCCTGAGCTCACTTTAACCCTCACTGCTGTGGATGGTGAGTCTCCACCCAAGTCTGGGACCACCACAGTTCGCATTAAAGTCGTGGACATCAATGATAACGCCCCCCAGTTTGTACAGTCGCTCTATGAGGTGCAGATCCCTGAGAACAGCCCCCTTGATGCCTTACTTGTCACGGTCTCTGCCAGGGATTTAGATGCTGGGATGAATGGGAATGTAGTCTACTCTCTCTTTCAAGGCGGTGGAGTTTCTCAACCATTTGCAATCGATGAGGTCACAGGAGAAATTCGTCTGAGTGATGAGTTGGATTTCGAGGTTAATAGTCGTTATAGCATAGAAATCGCAGCCACGGATGGAGGAGGCCTTTCGGGGAAATGCACTGTGTCTGTACAGGTGTTGGATGTGAATGACAACGCCCCAGAACTGAGTATCAGAAAGCTTACAATTCCTATCCCAGAAAACTCCCCAGAGACTGTAGTTGCTGTTTTCAGTGTTTCTGATGCAGATTCCGGGGACAACGGAAGGATGGTGTGTTCTGTTCAGAATGATCTTCCATTCCTTTTAAAGCCCACATTCGAGAACTATTACACTTTAGTGGCAGAGGGGCCACTGGACAGAGAAAGCAGAGCTGAGTACAACATCACCATCACAGTCACTGACATGGGCACACCCAGGCTCACAACCCAGCACACCATAACAGTGCAGGTGTCTGACGTCAACGACAACGCCCCCACCTTCACACAAACCTCCTACACCCTGTTTGTCCAGGAGAACAACAGCCCTGCTCTGCACATAGGCACCATCAGGGCCACAGACTCAGACTCAGGCTCCAATGCTCACATCACCTACTCTCTGCTGCCCACCCACGACCCGCAGCTGGCCCTCGACTCGCTCATCTCCATCAATGCCGACAATGGGCAGCTGTTCGCGCTCAGGGCGCTGGACTACGAGGCCCTGCAGACCTTCGAGTTCCACGTGGGCGCCACAGACCAAGGCTCTCCTGCGCTCAGCAGCCAGGCGCTGGTGCGTGTGCTGGTGCTGGACGCCAACGACAATGCGCCCTTCGTGCTCTACCCGCTGCAGAACGCCTCTGCACCCTGCACAGAGCTGCTGCCCAGGGCGGCAGAGCCAGGATACCTGGTCACCAAGGTGGTGGCAGTGGACCGCGACTCTGGACAGAACGCCTGGCTGTCCTTCCAGCTGCTCAAGGCCACAGAGCCCGGGCTGTTCAGCGTGTGGGCTCACAATGGCGAGGTGCGCACCTCCAGGCTGCTGAGTGAACGCGATGCTCCCAAGCACAGGCTGCTGCTGCTGGTCAAGGACAATGGAGATCCTCCAAGGTCTGCCAGTGTCACTCTGCATGTGCTGCTGGTGGATGGCTTCTCTCAGCCCTACCTGCCTCTGCCAGAGGTTGCGCGCGACTCCGCGCAGGACAATGAGGACTTGCTCACACTGTACCTGGTCATTGCCTTGGCTTCTGTGTCTTCCCTCTTCCTCTTGTCTGTGCTGCTGTTTGTGGGGGTGAGGCTGTGCAGGAGGGCCAGGGCGGCCTCTCTGGGTGGCTTCTCTGTGCCTGAGGGACACTTTCCTGGTCACCTGGTGGATGTCAGCAGCACTGGGACCCTGTCCCAGAGCTACCAGTATGAGGTGTGTCTGAGGGGAGACTCTGGGACTGGTGAGTTCAGTTCCCTCAAACCTGTGATCCCCAACCTGTTGCTTCAGGATCCTGGGAGAGAAGTTAAGGAAAGTCCTCACTGCAGGGACAGCTTTGTATTTAGTTAATTGTTGTATCTGGTTCAGTGAATTTATTTTTGACAAATCTGTAGCAGAATAGTTCTCTTAAGAAAGTGAATCATTTTATACAAGTATTGACATTGTAAGTGAAGCATTTGTATGTCCTCCATTTCTAATTTTTTTCTTTCTTGGTATCTACTTTAGCAGTTTCAGATGTAGTGAATAATGTATATTACGAACACAATTTCTCTATTTCACCTTATGTTTTACTTTAGCTCAATATTACACAACAAAATGTATTTTACTTTACATGTTGTGGGGTTTTTTTTGCCTGTTTGGTTTTTTTTGGGGGGGGGGCACGTTCTTCTTCTTCTTCTTCTTCTTCTTCTTCTTCTTCTTCTTCTTCTCCTTCTTCTTCTCCTTCTTCTTCTTCTTCTTCTTCTTCTTCTTCTTCTTCTTCTTCTTCTTCTTCTTCTTCTTCTTTTCTGAGACAGGGTCTTGTGCTATGTAGATCTGGGTGTCCTAGAACTCACTTTGTAGACCAGGCTGGCCTCAAGCTGATAGACATGCATCTATCTCTGTCTCTTAAATGTTGGCTACTTTACCTGGTTTTAGTAGAAAATTTCAAATTTTTATGGCCAATGTGTTTACATCTTTCTCACTTTAATTTTTTGCTATTAGAAATTAATTATAGGACCTCTTACCTGCTAACCATATATTCTGATAGTGAGCCTCATTAATAGCTGAAGGTTCTTACAGTTACCCTGAGTAACCATTAACAATTGGCATACTTGTCTTCCAAATTATAAACATTCACTTATTAAAATATTTAGACAGTAGAATTGTGGCCATTTTCTTCTTATGTGAACCACATATGTTAGAGATTGTGTGCATTATTTGTCTACCACATATCTAGCACATTGTTCCTTAAATATTAATTTTAACAATTTCATTTATAAATATTAAAGGGATAACCTTATATACTAATAATTTGTCATTTCAATCACTAAACAGTGTTCCAGACTGAGAGTATAATCAATGGCAGACCATGCATGCATGCCAGGGCCTAGGTACACTTCTAGGCACCAAAAAGCAGCAAGCAAACAGATACAAATCATATCTTATTAAATCATTGTACATAATAGTGTTTGAAAACTAATCTGAATAACTGAAGTAAAGACTGAAATCCTCTGATAATCAAGACTTTTGATGGTCTCATTTTATCCTTTTGTTCTAGAAATAAAAGTGTAAATGGAGCTTCTGTGGTTTTGTGTTAATCTCAGCCGTCCACTTGAGATCTAGAATCACCTGACCTCTGGGCACACTAGGAGGATTATCATGCTTAGAATAGTTGAGGTGGGAAGACCATTGTGGGTGGCACCATTCCCTGGGCTGGGATTCCAAACTGTATGAAGAGGAGAAAGTGGGCTGAGCACAAGGTTCATTGCTCTCTGTAGTGGGTAGCTGTTCCAGCTTTGACCTGGAAGTACTACCCCCACTGAGGCTTTGGTAACTGTCACGCCTACAAGGTGTGGCCAAGATAAGAGCCCTAAAGACCTGAGATCCAGATGTGCCAGCGCTCTTGGTTCCTGGATCCTGGACGCTGGAGGTAGATGGAGCAGAGTTTCCAGAGAACACCTCTGGACTGTACTACACCTTTCCCGGACCTTGTAACCTATCCTTTAATTGTAAGTTACCCCACAAAATAAACCTCCCTTTTAACTACGTGGAGTTTCCTTAATACTACAACCAATAATGCCCAGCTAGTTCAGTCGGTAGAGCATGAGACTCTTAATCTCAGGGTTGTCAATTCATGCCCCACATTGGGTGCCAGATATTGGTGTTGAATCCCTGAGAGCTGGAGTAAAGGCAGTGGTGATCCCCCTGACAAGGGGTGGGTGCTGAAACTGAACTCAGATCCACTTGCTCTTAACCGCTGAGCCATCTCTTAATTTTTTTCCTGTATTTATTTTAGGTATTTCATATAAACATGCATTCCTTCCATTCACTAATTTTGTAATTCTTTATTTCCATGTTTTGTTTCTCCTCTTGGTTTTCTTTATATTATCAAGTTTTGTGATGTGCACTTACTGATGGCTGGCAATTGTATAAAATCTGTGCACAATCATGATAATATTATCGTTTCCAGTTTTGTGACGTGCACCTACAAAAAAAGCTCCATTTTTTCCCCCCACCCTCCCTATTTTTTAAACAGTAGAAAATAGAGGCTTGAGAGGTGACTCAATGGTTAAAACCACTTGCTGTTTTTCCAAAGATTCCAGGTTTGGGTCCCAACAAACCACCTGTAAGTCTAGTTCCAGGGAATTCTACAGCCCTCTGTCTCTATGGGGACTCACATAGGGAATTATTATTCAACAACAAAAAGAAACGAGTTATCAACCTACAGAAAACCATTAAGAAACTTAAGTGCACATTAGTAGGTCATAGACTATAAGCTGAAAAAACCTCAATACTGTAAAATTCTGACTGTGGAGGAAGAAAAACTGTCAGTAATTTCCAAAAATACTAATAAGACAGGATAGATAAAGAGACAGATTTCGAGAATGGGGTTGGGGTGGGAAGAGTCTGTAAAACTATGATATTCTAAAAATATGTGCATGTATGATTAGATTTATCCATGCCTACAGACTGTATAGTACCAAGAGGAACCTTGATTTAAACTGTGTACTCAGTGGTACACATGCAGGATCATCAGTTGTCAGAAATGCACCAGTTTGGCAGGGGTACCTGTTGCAGTTTCCTCTGAGTTCTCTTTCCAGAACAGCTTCAAGGGTACTGGCTGAGATGATCCAGCCTCACCAACTACTCCAGCCAAGACATGACCATTATCCTAAATTTTCTCAGGATCCCTCAAAGATTACAAGTGCCCCAGTCAACAGGAAGTAGTCTAGAGAACTATGCCCACATTCCCAAAATATTGGTTATAAATGTTTGTCATTGTTTAGGGGGTTTAGTTACAAGTTGTTATTTTTTATGATTAGGAAAAAAGCTGAACAAGGGAAATTAGATCCAAGGATTTCTTTCTGAAAAGAAAAGGCAGAAATATAAAAATGCTAAGACAAAATGGTAGGTTATTGAATTTACTTTAATCCAAAAAAACTGTTAATCTCAAAATATTTTACATTAGTATAGATTTTTATTTAATTGATACAAATTTAAAATTAATTTTGTTATACTCTATGTATATTTCTACTCTTGTTTAAGGTATTGTGTTTGTGCAGCTCATTTTAAAATGTTATATATAATTAAGAAATACAGATTAATAGTCATCTATAAAATAGGAAACTTATAGTATGTTTTCAAGGTCATACAGAGTTATATTTTGGATAGATATTCAATCTTCAAACACTTCAAAGACCTGCAGAATATGATATTTAAAATTTTTTAGTAACTTATACTTTTCTTGTCATGAGACAAGTCTGCTCCTGGCAGCAACAATCTACTTCTAAAGAGGATGGTGGGCATCAAAACACTCTATATGGATTTTGCTTTCTTTGTGGTACAAGTTTAGCCTTCAGGGAAAGAAACTTGCCTCAACTCATGACCATATGCTGTCCACATGGGACAAGAAGAACTGCTGAACTTTGACAAGACAGGATAGGACAGTCCTTCAAAATTCCCTTCTTCACAGGAAAGTCTGTCAGATATGCTAGGCCTGTAGGCCATAGTTTGATGCTCCAACATTACAAAGGAGCTTAGGGTGACTGTCCAGGCAGCCTGATGTCCCTGACATTAGGTAACATTGCACACTTCTGGAGTTTTTGATGGAGTTGAAAACTAAACAGTTATAATTATAGTTTTCCTTGGTCATAATAGAAAGTAAATTAGATACAAAACTTTAGACTCAAAAAGATAGACAAGTAAGTATTTTTTCTAATTTTCTAAATGCAAATGGATAGGATATTGTTACTGTAATTTTTCCTGATAGCTGTTTTTGTTGCATATAATCTTACTTTATTAAAGTTAAAAACTTCCTTTTTAATTAGACAAAAAAGGGGAAATGTTGTGGAACAATCTTTTTCTATACTATGAAGATGTATTATTCTCATTGGTTAACAAAAAGCTGACAGGCCAGTAGCTGGGCAGGAAGTTAGGCTGGAAAGCCAAACTGAGAATGATGGGGAAAAGGAGGCCAGAGTCAGGAATGACTCCAGCCAGCCACTGAACAAGCAGGATGTGCAAAAATGAGGCAATTAGCCATGAACCATGTGGCAAAGCACAAATAGAAATACGGGTTAATTTAAGTGTAAGAGTTAGCTAGTAACAAGCCTGAGCTATCAGCTGAGCACTGAAAATTAATATAAGCCTCTGTGTGGTAATTTGGGAAGTGGCTGCCAGGGAGTTGGGAGTTGTTGATGGGACAGAAACTTCCATCTACAGATAACTATTATAAGGAATGTTGCACATGTTGTGGAGAGAAAAATATCTGCATTTCCAAGTCAGTTTTATGTGATTGTAAAACTATTCATCAAAAATAGACTTCTTTTTTAAAAAGGAGACTTTCATCTCAGCAAAATCTGTCATAAATCTGGAGTAATGAAGATAACATAGAATTACATGACACATGACACTCAGAAAACTGGAACACTAAGGCAGACCTATAATAACCCTGATTCAGGACAGTCACAGCCCCTCAGAAGGGGGTCTCACCTTTGTAACATAGTGCAAAGGTATTTGCAACCAAGAACTCCAATTTACTTTATTCAAAACATATTTTAAGTTAATAACCTTATATATGAAAAGTAAAATTTCAAAATATACATATATATTTATGACCTTGAATTATGGATAAAAGTACTAAACAAAATTGAAAAGTATTACCAGATCAAACTAAGCACGATTTAGATGTTATTGATCAAACCACAGTATCAAAATAATCAAGGCATAGACGAAGAAATATTTGAGCATAATATATCTAAAAAAGAGGTTATATCCAAAATATACAAGATACTTCTTCAGACCAACCAGCAAACAAATAGAAGCCTCATATCGGAAAAATCCATACAAGACATGAACAAGCTCCTCAGAAGACTCTACACTGATGGCCAGTCAATGTGAAAGTGTGCATCACTTCATAAATGACAGACAAATGCTAATTAAATTTATATATGAAGTTACCACACAATCACTAAAGTTCTAAAAATCAAGAAGACAACACAAATGCCAGCAGGGATATGAAGCAACTGGAACTCTCATGCTTCATGGTCTTAGTACAGATACACATGCAAAATGTTGATGTTTTGGAGAAGCAAAGTAACCAAACCATAGTAGGCTTGGTTTCTTGGAATTTGACCTATTTTATTTTTATCTAAGCTGAGCTAAGTAACATTATGAAAATTCAATGGATTGTAGAATTCTGACTTTTCCCCCATTAAGGATATATGTTATATTTCAAAGCATATATAAAAAGTGTAAAATTGATTTCATATGTCCATTATCTTTAGTTACTTGGAAAAAATCAAATTATAAGCCTACACAAGAAAGCCAATTCATCCACTTAGTACTCTTATGACAAAACATTAATGCCATCTTCGGTTGTTCTAAAATTTATAACTACAACCCAAACTTATTTCAGCAAATAATATTTAGAACTTCCAATTGCGAAGAACTGCGTGTATAAATTAAAAGGATACTGAAATATATTAAATTTAAAATTTGGAAGGAAATGGTAAAATGAAATGCAAGAACAAATAAGGACGCTTGGTGGCGCTGCAGGATAAGAGTGTGAAGAATGGGCTCTGCAGACGCCCAGGACGCCATCTCATCAAGCTGAGAACCAGAACTTTGGCTGCTAACAGAAGGAGAAGGTAATAAGAAAGGTTTCTGGGAGAATTTGGGAAGAAGGAGCCTCTCTAATCGGATTTAGTTCAATATTTTCATGGCCCCTGAGTGGATTATTATGGACTAGAAGAAGCAGCGCCCTCTGAACTGGTCCTGAACAATGGAGACAGCTGTAGCAAAAACGCCAGAGAAAAGGCAAGTCGTTTTTCTTACTATATTGCTGCTTTTGTGGGAGGCTGATTCTGAGGCGATCAGATATTCCATGCCAGAAGAAACGGAGAGTGGCTACTTGGTGGCTAACCTGGCAAAAGATCTGGGGCTCAGGGTCGGGGAACTGGCCACCAGAGGGGCACAAATCCATTCCAAAGGAAACAAAGAGCTCTTGCAGCTGGATACAGAGACCAGCAATTTGTTCTTAAAGGAAAAACTAGACCGCGAGGAGCTGTGTGGGGTGACAGATCCTTGTGTGCTGCACTTCCAGCTCATTCTGGAAAACCCCGTGCAGTTCTTCCAAACTGACCTGCAGATCACAGACGTAAACGACCATGCTCCAGAGTTCCCTCACAGGGAAATGCTCCTAAAAATTCAAGAAATTGCCCAGCCAGGGACTGTGTTTCCTCTGAAGGCAGCTCAGGACTCTGACATAGGGAACAATGCTGTTCAGAACTACACAGTCAGCCCCAACCTCCATTTCCATGTGGTTACTCAGAGTCGTGCTGATGGCAGGAAATACCCAGAGCTGGTGCTGGACAGAGCCCTGGACAGGGAGGAGCAGCCTGAGCTCACTTTAACCCTCACCGCTGTGGATGGTGGGTCTCCACCCAAGTCTGGGGCCACCACAGTTCGCATTGAAGTCGTGGACATCAATGATAACGCCCCTCAGTTTGTACAGTCACTCTATGAGGTGCAGATCCCTGAGAACAGCCCTCTCAATGCCTTAATTGTCACGGTCTCTGCCAGGGATTTAGATGCTGGGATGAATGGGAATGTAGCCTACTCTCTGTTTCAAGGCGGTGGAGTTTCTCAACCATTTGTAATAGATGAGGTCACAGGAGACATTCGTCTGAGTGATGAGTTGGATTTCGAGGTTAATAGTCATTATAGCATAGAAATCGCAGCCACGGATGGAGGAGGCCTTTCGGGGAAATGCACTGTGTCTGTACAGGTGTTGGATGTGAATGACAACGCCCCAGAGCTGAGTATCAGAAAGCTCACAATTCCTATCCCAGAAAACTCCCCAGAGACTGTAGTTGCTGTTTTCAGTGTTTCTGATTCAGATTCTGGGGACAATGGAAGGATGGTATGTTCTATTCCGAACCATCTCCCGTTTCTCTTAAAACCCACTTTCAAGAACTATTACACTTTAATGACAGAGGGGCCACTAGACAGAGAGAGCAGAGCTGAGTACAACATCACCATCACAGTCACTGACCTGGGCACACCCAGGCTCACAACCCAGCACACCATAACAATGCAGGTGTCCGATATCAACGACAATGCCCCCGCCTTCACACAAACCTCCTACACCCTGTTTGTCCAGGAGAACAACAGCCCCGCCCTGCACATAGGCACCATCAGTGCCACAAACTCAGACTCAGGCTCCAATGCCCACATCACCTACTCTCTGCTGCCCACCCACAACCCGCAGCTGGCCCTCGAGTCGTTCATCTCCATCAATGCCGACAACGGGCAGCTGTTCGCACTCAGGGCGCTGGACTATGAGGCCCTGCAGACCTTCGAGTTCCACGTGGGCGCCACAGACCAAGGCTCTCCTGCGCTCAGCAGCCAGGCGCTGGTGCGAGTGCTGGTGCTGGACGCCAACGACAATGCGCCCTTCGTGCTCTACCCGCTGCAGAACGCCTCTGCACCCTGCACAGAGCTGCTGCCCAGGGCGGCAGAGCCAGGATACCTGATCACCAAGGTGGTGGCAGTGGACCGCGACTCTGGACAGAATGCCTGGCTGTCCTTCCAGCTGCTCAAGGCCACAGAGCCCGGGCTGTTCAGTGTGTGGGCTCACAATGGCGAGGTGCGCACCTCCAGGCTGCTGAGTGAGCGCGATGCTCCCAAGCACAGGCTGCTGCTGCTGGTCAAGGACAATGGAGATCCTCCAAGGTCTGCCAGTGTCACTCTGCATGTGCTGCTGGTGGATGGCTTCTCTCAGCCCTACCTGCCTCTGCCAGAGGTGGCGCGTGAACCTGCACACGACAATGACGACTTGCTCACTCTGTACCTGGTCATTGCCTTGGCTTCTGTGTCTTCCATCTTCCTCTTGTCTGTGCTGCTGTTTGTGGGGGTGAGGCTGTGCAGGAGGGCCAGGGCGGCCTCTCTGGGTAACTTCTCTTTGCCTGAAGGACACTTTCCTGGACACCTGATAGACGTCAGTGGCACTGGGACCTTGTCCCAGAGCTACCAGTATGAGGTGTGTCTGACAGGAGGTACTGGAACAAATGAGTTCAAATTTGTTAAACCTTTGTTTCCCAACGTTGAGACTCAGGCTGCTGCTGAAGAAAATGAAAATGCTGTAGTGGGCAATAGCTTTGGATTCTATTAGAGCGGCTATTTTGTAGTGGTTTCACCTCATTTATCGTTAAGTAACCCTGATGTAGAGTGCAGTGAATCATCTTGAGCTATATGTTTAGTTTATCCCTTGTTTTGGATTTGTTTATTCAAATTTCATTATAGAAAGTTTTAATCTACTTTTTGTTTATTTATATTTCCATGTTCTAACAATGCATGCTGAGTTTTTTTTCTATATATTTTTGCTGGTTCTTAGAACTGGTTTTGCTGTAACAAATTGGAACTTCTTTCATTGTTAGTGGTGCCTTATTTTGTTTGGTTATTTGAGGTAGGGTCTTTGTAGCCTTAGCTGATCTGGAATGGCTGAGTACAGATTGACCGAAAATTTGTGGGGATCTATCTGCTTCTGTTGCACGAAATGTTGGGATTATGAGCATGCACCAACAGGCTTAGCTGTGGTGAAGTTTGCCTTGATAAAGATCAAATACTAGTTGCATTTTCCGAGTATTCTAGCAATCTTCTTTACTGTCTATTTGATGCTAAGTTGAAAATTCAAAGTGTTTTACAGTATTCTCTTTATTTGGGTCATTGTTGATGAAATAAATGATGTTGCAAACCTTGTCTAAGAAAACATGGTACAATGGAACAGTCTTCCATGGACAGTTGTTCTTTTGTCAGTCTTGATCCCTGTGGTAAAAACAGAAAGTTAACCCTTAATGTTCAGCTAAATGTGTTTTCACAAGGTAAGAACACATCCCACCACTAGTGCCATGTAAAAATAAAGCATCACTAACATCCCAGGTGCCGCATAAATGATGCTTTACAACCACTATTGGCCCTTGCACAGCAAACACACTGACTTCCAGTTCTGTTATCTTGCCACTTTGGAGTTTATGTAAATTCCTTGTAGGAGGGTACCAGCTGCTTTGTGTTACATTTCTTTCACTCTCTATTGTGTTTATGAAATGTGTGCATAATACTGCTTTAATGTTATTTCATTATTACTATTGACATAAATTATTCTGGTTGAGTATGCCACAATCTATTACTAAATTATTCATTTGTCAGTATAAGGTTTGGTTGTTTTAAATAATATTATGAATATTCTTACATATGTATTTTGACTAGGTGTATATTTGCATTTGTGATGGACACCCACTTCTTAGGGATAGAGTTGTATAACTAAACTTTCAGTAGATATTTCCAACCGGGTTTCCAAATTGGTTGAACCAACTTGCACTACAAATAGCAATATTTTCATTTACAACTTTGTCTACATTCTTTCCAAAACCTGTTCTCATTGGCAACCACTGTGTGTGTGTGTGTGTGTGTGTGTGTGTGTGTGTGTGTGTGTGTGTGTGTATACAATGCAGGCATGTTTGGACCAATACATTTGTGGAGGTCAGAAGACAACTTTGGGATAGCCTTCCACCTTATTTCAGACAGGGCCTCATAGCTACTTTTCTACTGCACACACCAGCCTAGCTGGTCCCAGAGCTTCTAGGGATTCTCTTGTGTCTTCCTCCCATGTCCCTAAAGGAGAACTTGGAAATATAGATGTTCCTGACATGAGTGTCTAGTCCTTATATGAGTTCTCGGGACTTGAACCAGAGTCTTCGTGCATGTGCAAACAGGTGTTTTTACACCATCACAACATCTTCCAAGTTCAAAAGCACTTTCAAACCTTTTAAAAAATGTTAACCAACTTGTTTATTCCTAAGAAATATTTTTAACTATGATCAGCTGAATTGTTAGCACCCTCAAGGTTTATATATTTGAGCCCTGGTACCTACTACCATGAAAGCTGGTGCTATTACATAGGACTTTTTCTTCTCTTTTTGAGGGGTGATCTTACCACACAGTCCTGGAAGACCTGAAACTCATTCTGTAGACCAGGCCAGCTTTAAACTCACAGAGATCCTCCAGCTTCTGCCTCTCAAGTGTTGGGTTTAAAGTTGTGTGCCACCACACCCAGCACAGATAACGCTTCTAATGAGATTATTATATTACAATGTGTGGTTAGGCTAGACCCTTAATAACAAGGGATTTGGTGTCTTTAAGAAACGTTTAGAGAGGGACAAAGGAAGAGAGGGGAAGAGAGAGAGACACAGATGGCAATCAAGTGAAGATACCAGAGGAAGAAGTAATCTGTGAGGAAAAGACAGAAACCACACAATAAAATTATCCCTGCCAATCCTTTCATCTTAAGCTTCCAGATTTTAGAAGGGTGAATAATTTCACTTAATATGATTTCTCAATTTTGTGTTGTCAGCCTTAGTTCACTAAGTATTTCAGTATTTAGGTGATCTGTAATGATTGCTAATTGTGTACGCTAAGAAGCACACTTAAAATGACCTCAAGTTCCCAATCTTTACTTATAACTCTGTCACTGCATTGAACACTTATTTAATTAAACCAAAAGCTTCTTTTAGTGTTTTGTTAATAATAGTTTAATTTTTAATGGATTTAATGAATGGCATTTTTATTCTTTTTTTAACATCTGTTTCATTCTAAAGCTTGCCAACATCCCACACATGTTAAAATGGTCAAGGTTGGTGAATTTCAATTTCTGTAAATGTTACCTTAAAAAACGGGCCATAATTGAGTCAGCTTGGAGCTTGGAGCTCAGAGCTCAGGGAATCTCACAGAAGAGGAGGAGGAAATATTGTAGGAGTCAGAGGGGATGAAGGGGAACATGGCCCACTGTATCAACTAAGTAGGGCTCATATGGACTCTCAGAGTCTGAAGCAGCAAGCACAGGGCCTGCATGGGTCTGCTCCAGGTCCTCTGCATATGTTATGGCTGTTGTATTGATATTCTGTAGGACTCCTAACAGTAGGGGGGTGCCTCTGACTCTTTCATCTGCTGTTGGGACCCTTGCTCTCTTATTGGATTGCTTTGTCCAGCTGAGTCAGATATGAGGGCTTTTGCCTTGACTGATTGTATCCTGTTTTGTCCTGTTTGGTTGTTGGAGGCCTGTTCTTTTCTGAAGGGAAGCTGGAGGGTGGATCTGGGAAAAGGGGAAGCTGGGAGGAGTGGAGGGAGGTGAAGCTGTGTTCAGGATACATTATATAAGAGCAGAATCTATTTACAATAAAAGAAAAGGGGGCATAGAAAAGCAAGTATTTGTTGGCAACAGAGGGGAAGGAAAATCACAAGGGAAACAAGGTAATATTTTAAATCTGAGTAATGTCTATGTAGAAGTTTATCTCATTTCCTTTTTTGTGTTAGACATTTCTCATGACCAAAGTGTTTAATATCTCCTTGGGAAAACAGGCTTTTGGGAAGTAAAATCAACTTGACTCTATTCAAAAGAAAAAGAGAGCAAGCAAAGATGCATTCTTCTGTGAAGATCTAATACAATGTACTATAAAATGTAATTTCTATAAAAAGGGAGTCACTTGACATGGTCAACTGGTGTCTTTGGGGGTAATATCAAGATATTACCACATAAGTACCAATGCTTTTAAAGGAACTTTCTTTGTCTAGATTGAGTTTAACACACGCTGTAATGCTGATGAAAATTTGTTTTGACATTGAGAATGTTTTATAAGCCATATTTGAAGACACCTGGTGCTACTGTAGCCACACAGAGTGAATAAAGGACTTCGGGAGATACGTATGCTGTTAAACTGGAATCTTCTCCAATTCTGACTTCAGACTATGGGATTCCACACTGCAGGAGATTAGCTTTGCCAATCTTGGTGCTCCTCAGGCCAATCCAACCAACAAACATTACTAAGCAACCATGACACCATTCGGAAGGAATGTTTAGAAATGATCTAGAAATGACCAAACCCATCCACAGTCTTTATGACTCTTGGTTTTACTCCATTAGTTCCATTTGCTATTCACATACTCAAGAAACATCCATACTCAGAAATGGTTTTTCGAATAAACCTTGGAGGATTGTGATATTGATATTTTCATTCTCTTCAGTCCATTGGATGCACATATGTGATTTCTAACTATAAGATGACTTCAACCATCAGATTTTAATTTTATTTATTTTACTTAGAAATATTTTAAATATGTTCTAATTTCCCATCTCCTATTGTCATGGCTCTTATGTGAAGTTAAGTATTCTCAGCCTTAATAGAATTTATCTTTAAGTAAATACAAACTCCATCGAAAATCAACTATATTTAGAATATCTTATACTCTTGTATGTGTACTCACTCACATTTTAAGTGATATTTAAAGACACTTTCCAATGTATGTGATCAGTAAAGGACAAGGCAATAACAGAATATAACCATGATATTCAGTCACTGAATTCCATGGTGTATTTAACTGTGACCCCTTTCACGTTGTCTGCGTCTGTTTATTGTTTTTTGAGACACAGTCTTTCTTGCCTCAAACTTGCTATCCTTCTGTCTCAGACCCCCAAGTTCTGGGATTACAGTTGTGCACCACTGAGCATTCTTGAATGTCATCTTCTGTATCATGCCATTTCTAATAACTTTGGTCTTTGGTCAACCAACATGGGGACATTTTGTCCAATGAAAGGTTATAGTAAAACACTTGGATTTCTCAAAACTATGACTAGTTCTATTCACTTAGAAATAAAGTTAAATCTTAAAGTTTTTATGACATATATCAATTGCTCCTAATTCTTATTTTAAATTATTGAGCTTTGTTTAGATATTGCAATCATATGTACCTTTTGGCCACAGTTTCCCCCTCAATAGCCTTATGATTACCATTACTGTTCTCATGTGGCCTTGTAGCAAAGTAATTCTGTTGTTCATGCCATTTATGAGTCATGTATTTTAGAGAACTTAATGTCTAATTCAACATTGATGTTTCTGACCAACTTTCACATTTTAATAATTTGTTGATGTGTTTACTGAGACAAACAGTGTACCTCTTAAACTCATGAATTTATAGCTCTCATCAGAGATCAGTTGCACTGCTAAAGAATCATAGTGGATTGTGAGCAGTTTGAATGGCCAGAAGAGTGATTCTTAGATGTTACCACACATGAAAGACTGAAGTATGGCCTCCCCTTAGATCAGCAGACAGTTTGACTCAAGATCTAGAGTGAGCTTGAAAACCAACTTAAAAACAAAAACACAAGTATGCACACATAATCAAGACCCCTAAGAAACCCTTTACACAGTCAGTTTGAGAAACATTGACTCAACTTAAAAATCTTTATAATGCCCAGATTTGGATAAAAGTCTTTATAATGATCAGTCTTTATTACGTTCAGTGTTTATCTGAAAATAGCTCATGAAGTTATTGATTTGAACGCATGGTGGCGGTGTAGGCTAAGAGAATGAGAAAGAAGTCTTTAGAGTCCTTGGACTCCCTGGTTTGCCTAGAAACTGAAGCAAAATACAGAACCGTTCGCTGCTGAAGCTAAGACAAAAGCATTCTGGAGAAGAGGAGTCACCGGGAACTTGTAAGATCAAATCAAAAAATTCCACAGCAAAGACTTTCCGGAAGGCCAAAGTTACCTCCGTGATTAAGAGCTGAAAGGGATTTTTCCCTCCTGTACCAGACCTAACACTAGAGATGCCACAAACAAAGGAGCGGGGCAAGGCAAGGCAAGTGATGATTTTAATTACATTGATGCTTTTGTGGGAGGTGGGTTCAGAATCAATTCAGTATGCCATGCTGGAGGAGACAGAAAGCGGCATCTTTGTGGCCAATCTGACTAAGGACTTGGGACTAAGGGTGGGAGAATTGGCTGCTCGTGGCGCTAGAGTGGTTTTCAAGGGGAACAGACAGTATTTGCAGCTTGACCCACAGACCGACGATTTGGTGCTAAATGAAAAGCTAGACCGGGAAGAGCTGTGCGGCTCCACGGAGCCTTGCATGCTGCCTTTCCAGGTGTTACTAAAAAATCCTTTGCAGTTTTATCAGGCTGCATTGAGAGTTATAGATATAAATGACCACGCCCCAGAGTTTCCTGCCAGAGAGGTGCTCCTTAAAATATCAGAAATAACTGCACCGGGAAAGATATTCCCTTTGAAAATGGCGCAGGACTTAGACACTGGCAGCCACAGCATTCAGAGTTACACTGTCAGCGACAACCCTCACTTCCACGTACTCACTCGCAGCCGCAGCGATGGCAAGAAGTTCCCTGAGCTAGTGCTGGACAAGGCACTGGACCGTGAGGAGCAGGCTCAGCTCAGACTAACACTTACTGCAGTGGATGGCGGGTCTCCGCCCAGATCAGGGACCACTGAGATTCAAATACTTGTCTTAGATATTAATGACAACACTCCGGAATTTGCTCAGGAGCTCTATGAGGTCCAAGTCCCAGAGAACAACCCCATAGGCACACTGCTTATTACCCTCTCAGCAAGAGATTTCGATACAGGATCCTTTGGAGAGGTTTCTTACGCACTGTTGCAAGATGATGATGTTAACGAGCCTTTTGTAATAAACACAAAGACAGGGGAGATTCGACTGAGAAGCACGTTGGATTTTGAAGCATTTCAGTCCTACCATGTGGGTGTTGAGGCCATAGATGGTGGTGGGCTAACAGGAAAGTGCTCTTTAGTCGTGCAAGTATTGGATGTGAATGACAATGCTCCCGAAGTGATCCTATCCTCACTCAACAGCCCCATCCCTGAAAATTTGCCAAGCATCATAGTGGCAGTATTCAGCGTTTCAGATGCAGACTCAGAAAATAACCAGGAGGTTACGTGTTCCATAGATGACAATCTTCCATTTCTCCTAAGACCATCCATGGAGAATTTCTATACTTTGGAAACAGATGGGGCACTGGACAGAGAGAGCAGAGCTGAGTACAACATCACCATCACAGTCACCGACATGGGCACACCCAGGCTCACAACACAGCACACTATAACAGTGCAGGTCTCAGATATCAACGACAACGCCCCCGCCTTCACACAAACCTCCTACACCCTGTTTGTCCAGGAGAACAACAGCCCCGCCCTGCACATAGGCACCATCAGCGCCACAGACTCAGACTCAGGCTCCAATGCCCACATCACCTACTCTCTGGTGCCCACCCACGACCCGCAGCTGGCTCTCTCCTCGCTCATCTCCATCAACGCAGACAATGGGCAGCTGTTCGCGCTCAGGGCGCTGGACTATGAGGCCCTGCAGACCTTCGAGTTCCAGGTGGGCGCCACAGACCAAGGCTCTCCTGCGCTCAGCAGCCAGGCGCTGGTGCGAGTGCTGGTGCTGGACGCCAATGACAATGCGCCCTTCGTGCTCTACCCGCTGCAGAACGCCTCTGCACCCTGCACAGAGCTGCTGCCCAGGGCGGCAGAGCCAGGATACCTGGTCACCAAGGTGGTGGCAGTGGACCGCGACTCTGGACAGAATGCCTGGCTGTCCTTCCAGCTGCTCAAGGCCACGGAGCCCGGGCTGTTCAGCGTGTGGGCTCACAATGGCGAGGTGCGCACCTCCAGGCTGCTGAGTGAGCGCGATGCTCCCAAGCACAGGCTGCTGCTGCTGGTCAAGGACAATGGAGATCCTCCAAGGTCTGCCAGTGTCACTCTGCATGTGCTGCTGGTGGATGGCTTCTCTCAGCCCTACCTGCCTCTGCCAGAGGTGGCGCAGGATGTAACACAGGACGAGGACGCGCTCACTCTGTACCTGGTCATTGCCTTGGCTTCTGTGTCTTCCCTCTTCCTCTTGTCTGTGCTGCTGTTTGTGGGGATGAGGCTGTGCAGGAGGGCCAGGGCGGCCTCTCTGGGTGGCTGCTCTGTTCCTGAGGGACACTTTCCTGGTCACCTGGTGGATGTCAGCGGGGCAGGGACCCTGTCCCAGAGCTACCAGTATGAGGTGTGTCTGAGGGGAGACTCTGGGACTGGTGAGTTCAAATTTCTAAAGGCAATTAACCCCCACTTCCCTTCTTTGGAATCTGAGAGGAAAACAGAGGAAACTCCTACTCTTTGGAATAGCTTTCTATTCATCTAAATACCGTAGTGTAGTAGTAAATTCTGTCTAAGCTTAGAAATACCTTTTAACCTGAATCTGCATGCTATTTATGTATGTTGTGTGAGGCATTTGGTATTACTTTTTATAATATTTCCTGGAACTGAAATTCAGTGGCTCATGCCTGTTAGGGAAACTCAACCTCAGAGCTAAACTGTCAACCTTTTTATTTACTTATTTTTTCTATTTTTGAGACATGCTCTCACTTTGTAGCCTGTGGTCGTCGGAATCTTGCTATGTAGAACTGGCTGGCCTGAAACTCAGAGACCCACTTGCCTCTGTCGCCTTAGTGCTATGATTAGAGACCTTTGTCATCATGCCTGGTCTTGCCTGTCCTGTTGCTAATATTCTTGATATTATACCCTTTTTTCAAGACAGGGTTTCTCTGTGTAGCCCTGACTGTCCTGGAACTCTCTCTATAGACCAGGTTGGCCTCAAATTCAGAGATCTTCCTGTCTCTGCCTCCCAAGTGCTGGGATTTAAGGCATGCGCCACCACTGCCCAGCCAAGATTATACTTTTAAAAAGTCAGTTTCTGGAGATTCCACTAGTTTCTCTATTATGCTTTTTATGTTTTTAAGTTAGTGGCACTAACCTGTGTTTAACAATTTAAGGGAAAAATACTCTTCAGTAAAATTTGAAATCAAATGATCTTTTAAATATATGACCATGTAAAGCCTTTGAGATTGCATTTGAAACAAGTGATTAAATTAATTTCCCTATTAGTGTGTAGGAATACTTTAAATGTGAATATTTGATATTTCTGAATTTTGCAAATTTAGTCTCATTTGGGGGTAGCTAGTTATTTATGTGCACCTCTAAATATAAAAGTAAGGAAATCTAAGTGCTAAGACACATACCTTATTTATGCATAATTATGTTTCAGTATATCTTAATAGTTAATGTATCCTTGAATATAGATTTTTCTAAACTATCAATAGTTTGTGAGCCTTGTGTAAGAGCAGTATGATCTTTTAGCATCAAGGTATTTACAAATGCTGAATAAATATTTGCTGAACTGTCCAGCAGTCCTTTTTTTGAAAAAAAAAATACATTGTCTACAAAGAAATGCTAATATTCTCTCACAACAATGTGCCTTTGCCAATGAGTGAAGTTTTTATTTTAATTACAATTACATGAAATTTAAAACAGTAGTGCTTACTGACACTATCTTCTTTCCTTCAATACAGAAAATATCTTTCTGAACACTCTACGTTCTATTGTTAAGCATAAAATTCAGGAGGGCACATTTTATTTTGTTTTGTCTAACAGTTTGAGAATTCAAAGTTATTTTGTCAAATCCAAGTTATATTTTCTAAATTTCACCTTTCTCAAGTATCCATATTTTCTCCTCTAACATTCTATAAACATCATTTATTAACTACAAAGCCATTTATATTCTTAGCCTTGTTTTGTAGGTTATAGTTTATGAAAAACGTTCTTTTCAAATTTCTGTCAAAGGAAGGCAAATTATAGTAAGGTGGTTGGTGAATATTTTACTTTTAACATTAATCATAATAAACTATAATGGGCAAATGAAGCATTTACTCTTTAGGATTCTGGAATGCTTGCTCTGTCCTTCAAATAGTATCCTTTTTCTTGGGAGAGGGATTTGCTTCTTTCACTCCGACCACACAGCTCTGGTTGGAACTTGAGTGTTTTTCAATTACTCAGCTTCCACAGGCCAAAGGTCCTCTACCCAAGGCAGACAGATCAAAATCCTTCCCCATAAAGGATCATTTTTACTTTGTTGACTTCAATATCCTCTTCGTGTTTGTAGAAGAGGCAGTTGAACTCTGAGCCAGAATTGACTACTTACAAAACAAGTGATCATTGCCATTTGATTTTATTGGTCATTACATATAGAACATTTATGAAGGAAAGCTCCTAAGACTGTACACCACACAGAGAGAAACAATCAAACAAAACACACATTTTAGTTTCCCTTCTTGAGTTATAGACACATTGCCATTTGGAAATTAGAAACTGGATATTTTAAATGATGTTTTTATTCTAAATCAGAAAAATTAATAACTTTTATAATAGAATGAAAACTCCTCCAAGAGCAAGCTATTTTGTGTTTCCTCCATGGTGCTATGGTCAGAAACTAAATGAATACCTGTACAGACAAACAATTGTTAAATGAATGACAATCCAGAGCTTTCTGTACTGAGTTTGTACCTTTTTTGAGGAAGATACATATTTCTGTCACACAGATTAGCTGTCTCAAGGATGCCAAATGAGGCTTAGGGGCAAAGGAGCGAGAAAGGAGAGAATAGAACACTTTGACCTAAACCCTGAGCATTTTAGTCCTTACAGAGCACTTAGAAACAAAAATTATCTGAAGTTGTAAAGCCGAACGCTTGGTGGCGCTGCAGGCTAAGAAAACGAAAACCTGCAGAATTCACGCCTGTAAAAGCGGAGCCATTTCTTGCAGCTGAGAAAGGAAGCTTTTTAAATTTCTGCCGATAGACCCTTTCAGAGAGGCAGATACACCGTGTCTAGCAATGCTAAAAAGAAAAGAAGCTCAAAATTATTGAGCCAAGATCCCTCAGCTGCTCACAAAGCAGTTCTTGTGTGATTAACTGCTGTGTCTTTTGGACCTGAGGGACGATGGAAACACCACTCCACAGGGCACTACAGAAAAGGCAAGTGACCGCCATTGTCTTTCTGTTACTATTGTGGGAGGCAGGCAGTGCGACCATTAAGTATTCGGTTCTAGAGGAAACAGACAGGGGCTCTTTGGTGGGCAACCTTGCAAAAGATCTGGGATTGGTCTTAAGGGATCTGGTCATCAGGGGCGCCCAGATTCTTAACAAAGGTAACAAACAGCTCTTGCAGCTGGAACAGAAGAGTGGAAATTTGGTCCTGAAAGAAAAATTGGATCGGGAGGAGTTGTGCGGGAGCACGGACCCGTGCACCCTCCATTTCCAGGTGTTACTAAAAAGCCCAGTGCAATTTATTCAGGGGGAAATACAGCTCCAAGATGTAAATGACCATGCCCCAGAATTCATGGAAGATGAAATTCTCCTTAAAATCCCTGAAAGCAGCCATCCAGGGGCCAAGTTTCCATTGACAATAGCTCAAGATTTGGACGTCGGTAGCAACACAGTTCAGAACTATACAATCAGCATGAACTCCGATTTCCACCTTCTCACCCGCAATCACAGCGATGGCAGGAAATACCCAGAGCTGGTGCTGGACAGAGTGCTGGACCGGGAGGAGCAGGCAGAGGTGAGATTAACCCTCACAGCTCTGGACGGTGGGTCACCTCCCAAGACTGGGACTACCCAGGTTCTCATCGTGGTGCTGGACATTAATGACAATGCCCCTGAATTTGCCCAGGGGCTCTATGAGGTGCAGGTTCAAGAGAACAGCCCCGTGGGGTCACTTGTCATCACTGTCTCAGCAAGAGATTTAGATGCTGGGACACACGGGGAGCTCTCCTACTCACTTTTTCAATCCTCAAATGAAGTCCTTCGGGCTTTTGAAATAAATACAGATACCGGAGAAATTAGAATAAGAAGACTATTGGACTTTGAAGAAATTCAATCTTACCGCATGGAAATCCAGGCCTCTGATAGCGGAGGTCTTTCAGGAAAATGCACAGTAGTAATAGACGTGACAGATGTAAATGACAACGCCCCTGAACTCACCATGTCATTACTTATCAGTGATATTCCAGAAAACTCTCCTGAAACTGTAGTCGCGATCTTTGGAATTTCAGATCCAGACTCTGGAGACAATGGGAAAATGGTTTGTTCCATACAAGACCATCTTCCCTTTCTCTTGAAGCCTACTGAAGAAAATTTCTACACTTTGGTAACAGAAGGCGCACTGGACAGAGAGAGCAGAGCTGGGTACAACATCACCATCACAGTCACCGACCTGGGCACACCCAGGCTCACAACCCAGCACACCATAACAGTGCAGGTGTCCGATGTCAATGACAATGCTCCAGCCTTCACACAAACCTCCTACACCCTGTTTGTCCAGGAGAACAACAGCCCTGCCCTGCACATAGGCACCATCAGTGCCACAGACTCAGACTCAGGCTCCAATGCCCACATCACCTACTCTCTGTTACCCACCCACGACCCGCAGCTGGCCCTAGACTCGCTCATCTCCATCAACGCCGACAATGGGCAGCTGTTCGCGCTCAGGGCGCTGGACTATGAGGCCCTGCAGACCTTCGAGTTCCACGTGGGCTCCACAGACCAAGGCTCTCCTGAGCTCAGCAGCCAGGCGCTGGTGCGTGTGCTGGTGCTGGACGCCAACGACAATGCACCCTTCGTGCTCTACCCGCTGCAGAACGTCTCTGCACCCTGCACAGAGCTGCTGCCCAGGGCGGCAGAGCCAGGATACCTGGTCACCAAGGTGGTGGCAGTGGACCGAGACTCTGGACAGAATGCCTGGCTGTCCTTCCAGCTGCTCAAGTCCACGGAGCCTGGGCTGTTCAGCGTGTGGGCTCACAATGGCGAGGTGCGCACCTCCAGGCTGCTGAGTGAGCGAGATGCTCCCAAGCACAGGCTGCTGCTGCTGGTCAAGGACAATGGAGATCCTCCAAGGTCTGCCAGTGTCACTCTGCATGTGCTGCTGGTGGATGGCTTCTCTCAGCCCTACCTGCCTCTGCCAGAGGTGGCGCGCGACCCCCGCGAAAGACAATGAAGATTTGCTCACACTGTACCTGGTCATTGCCTTGGCTTCTGTGTCTTCCATCTTCCTCTTGTCTGTGCTGCTGTTTGTGGGGGTGAGGCTGTGCAGGAGGGCCAGGGCGGCCTCTCTGGGTGGCTGCTCTGTGCCTGAGGGACACTTTCCTGGTCACCTGGTGGACGTCAGTGGCACAGGGACCCTGTCCCAGAGCTACCAGTATGAGGTGTGTCTGACAGGAGGTATTGGGACAAATGAGTTCAAATTTCTTAAACCAGTACTTCCCAACTTCTTGAATGAAGAGGTTTATAGGAACAGCGAGGAAAATTCCAATTTTAGAGATCATTTGGGGTTTAACTAGAAATCGTACTTTGACCTTGTGTAATTAATTACTAAGTCTTCATCGATGCATATATAATTTTCCAAGTTTTCGCTCATTGTAAAGAGCGAATTAGCACGTTACTAATAGTCACATTTATAGCTGTTTCTAATTGTCGAGTACTGCTTGCATTTTTGGTTAGTCATCTTACTACACTCAAGGGCACAAAGTAGCTACAAAAATGTTCTTTCTGGGTGGTATTATTTTCATCACAATTTTTAAAATGTCACAGATGTTTTCAGGTCCCTGGTAGTTGAGACTGTGTATTTATTTCTTATAATCAAAGGAGTCATGTTTCAAAGTTATGGTTATCATTAGGGTGAATTTAACGCTATTGTAAATGATGGCTTTCAGCTTCAAAAATAATTTTCAATTATGTGAACATTTTTGTTATTTTCTAAATCCTATGAGTCTGTTGCCTGGTCTCAAGAGCCCTGTTTTCTTTCTGCAAATGAACCATTGGTTAATCAGGCTTATGTTTCTAAACTGAGTATTTTCTTTCAAAATAGATAAAATTTAATTGAACTATCTTTTGGTATTCTGAAAAACTCGGTCCATTATATTAAAAAGTGATAGACTTATTGGTATACTTGTGACCAATTTTCCATGAATGGTTGGTGTATAGATATTTATTCTCATCCTTTTAACATGATATATACTCTACATAATTAATGCATACACAGTAAGTACAAAGAAGATGCATTAGTATGCTTTCACCAGAAAACTTGCATTAAGTCAACATTATTCTAAAATATATCTACTGGAGCTTGAGGTGTGGGTCAATGGAAGAACATGTGCTTAGCGTGCTGGTGCCCTAGATCCAATGCCCAGCATCAAGAAGAAAAAAGTAATTAAATTCTTCATGTGAATGTAAATGAGACCTAAACTAACAAATGAGAACAGTTCTCTAAAAGTGAATTACAATAAACTTATAACATCTGATTAAAACTATCGGGGGCTGGAAAGATGACTCCATCAGTTCCCAGCACACGTCTGGGGGCTCCCAATAGACATGAATCCCAGCTACAGGGAGACCCAGTGCCCCCTTCCGGTGCCCATGCATACCCACACACAAAGAACTAATATCAATTAAGTAATTGATATTATAATTTAAACATCTGGTGAAATTCGGTAGCTTAGCCATTTGGTCTTTGGCTTTCCTTTGATAATAACTGACACTTAATAACTACATAACTGACACTTTTTATTGCCCTGGATTTTATATATATATATATCCAATCTTGTTTATATCTCAGAAATTTTAGAAGCATTAGAATGGTTGGCCCTAAAAACCTGGAAATGACATCATCTGAGGTAAAGGTGCCTATCTTAAAATATTTACTTTTCCCCACTAGTCTTGATTAAAGCACATCCTGGGTCCTTGGATGACTACTGTGAGAAACCATATGGAATTGTGTAGGACATGTAATAGGAGAAACTACTATAACAAGCCTTTGAAATTTGAATGAGTTATGTGATACTGATTTGATACTGAAATAGAATATAAATATACTCCCCTTTTATTGAAATCTAAATCCCTCAAGCTCCCTTCCCAACTTGCAAGCAGTTCCACCCAAGACTATTTGCTATCTCCTTGCAAATTTTTACACTTATATGTCTTGGGGAAGGGCACTGGGAACCTTGCAGTTTCCTGAGCAAGTCTTCAAACTTTTGTGACCTTCCTGAATCTCATAAGTCAAATATTTCAAATTGGAGGAAACAGCTACATAAGAGTGCCAGTCAATAGATAAACAAGATGTGTTTATATATATTATATATATGTATGTATGTGTGTGTATATATATATATATCAGTATTATTTATCTGCAAAGAAGAATGAAATGACATTGCTTATAGAAAAGTAGAATTGGAGATCATCACTATAGGTAAAATAAGCCAAAGTAAAATAGACAAGTACCCCATGCTTTCTCACCTATGCAGAATCTGGATGTGTTGTTTTTTAAGACATGCAAGTATAAGGGGGAGATTATTCATTACTTTTCCCATTGTCATGACAAGATAACCACCAAAAGCAACCTAAGGAAGTAAGGGTTCGTTTTGTCCAAGAGTACAGTCCACCGTGGGGCAGTCAGACATGACATCACAGTCAGAGAGCATAGAGAGACATGAATGCTTCTTCTCAGCTTTCTCATTTTCATTCAGTCTGAGACCACAGCCCAGGGAATAGTGCCACTCTCATGTAGGCTGGACCTTCCCACCTCAATTACCTCAATCTAGAAACTCCACCACAGACAGTCCCAGAAATTTTTCTCAGGATGCTCATCCAGTCAAGTTTAGGATCAAGATTAACCATCACAGGGAGTATTTGGGAAGAGAAAGAAAACAAAGAAAAGACAAGGAGAAAGAAGAGCAAATAATGCTGGACTGGATACAGATGAAAACACTGTAATAAAACCTATTATGTCATAGAGTTCACATATGCTGAACACATAAAAATAACCAATAATGAATATCAAATGTGATATTTAAAGAACTTAAGGGCAGCAAAAAGTGAGATGTGAATGTCTTAGAAACCAAGAGTTATTGAGGTTAAAGAGGCAAAGTAAATGACTTGATAATTAAAAATATAAATGCATAAAGTAACTACCCACAATGAAAACTACAGAGAATATGACCACTGAAAATTTGAAAAGTCAAAGATAGTTTGTGTTCTAAGTATAATTTGTAGATTGGACATGTATCTTTAAATTGGTCTCTTTTGCAAATGTATGAACAAAAGCATAGACATTTTTAAAATTCAGCCCTACAAAGATGGAGAGAATACAAGAGAATAAAGACAATAGAGGAAAAAATATGTAGGTTTATATAATATGTATAAATATATATATAATATATATATTTATATATACATCTAATCCTATTTATACTGCAGAAATTTTAGAAGCATTAGAATGATTGGCCCTAAAAGCCTGGAAATGACATCATTTGAGATGAAGCCTGTTTTAACATATTTACTTTTCCCCACTAGCCTTGATTAAAGCACATCCTGAGTCATTGGATGACTACTGTGAGAACTCATATGGAATTGTGTAGGGCATGTAATAGAAGAACCTACAATAACAAGCCTTTGAAATTTGAATGAGTTATGTGATACTGATTTGATACTGAAATATAATCTAAATATAGCTCCCTTCTACTGCAGCCTGTTGAGACCAGCCCCAGGCTGCAGACAGGGCTCAAAGAGAAACCTGCAGCAAAGAAAAACTTGGGACTTTTATCTGAGGGCTTTTTTAGGAAAAGAATGAGCTCACATGCATTCTGATGGCGTCTCTATTTTTCTCATGTTGGCTCCCAATCTCTTAGTTATATATATATATATATATATATATATATATATATATATATATATATATATATATATATATATCTCCAACAGAATCTTTTATGTTGAATATAGGAGTTACATTTTAAGTGCACATTCAATTTCTTAAGTAAATGATAAAAGACAGAGTCCTCCCAACAACACACATGCAATAAATCTCAACTTCCTAATTGGTGGGCTGCAGCTGCAAAGAAAGAACAAGTCATTTATTGCCTTAATTCTCTTTTTTTTTTAAAGATTTGTTTATTTACTATGTATACAGTGTTCTGTCTGCATGTATCCCTGCAGGCCAGAAGAGGGCACCAGATCTCATTACAGATGGTTGTGAGCCACCATGTGGTTGCTGGGAATTGAACTCAGGACCTCTGGAAGAGCAGTCAGTGCTCTTAACCGCTGAGCCATCTCTCCAGCTCCCCCTTAATTCTCTTAATATGAGCTCATTCGGCACTCTCCAAGGCACAGTGACACTAAAAGCATTTTAAATCTTAAAATATATTTTTCTGTCCTGTGTGTACCTTTAGACCATAAAAAAGGAAACTGAGTTGGCTGAACTTTGAGTCTTCAAGTTACATGTCTGTATCATAAAACTAAGATTAGGAATTTGTGCAGAGAGTTAAAGACTGGCCTATGTTATCGGCCAGACTTAGCAAGAAAGACTGGCATAGCAATTAGGTTCCTTTGTACCTAGAACCTTGGTTCAACACATCAGATGGCTGAATATATGTCCTTGTGACTGGATTGCTTTTCCTGGAAGTGTTCATCTTAAAACCCATTAGCGAGCTCCGGGAATCCAATTGATGAGAGTGAGGAGAGATACTGCAGGCGAGGGACATCGAGATCATGATGGGAGGACGTGCAGAGATGACCGGCCACACTAGTGGAAGCCCATGAACTGTGGACTGGTGGCTGTGGAGCCCTCATGGGACTGGACTAGGCCTCTGGATATGGAAGATGATTGTCTGGCTCAAACTGTTTGGGGCGCACCCAGGCAGGGGATTGGGATCTGTCCCTGGTCTATGAGAAGGCTTCTGGAACCCAGTACCTGTGGTGTGACACCTTGCACAGTCTTGGTGCAGTGGGAAGGGGCTTGGACCTACCTAGGCTCAGTGTGCTGGGCTCTGCTGACTCCCCATGGGAGACCTCGATTTGGGGGATGTGAGTAAGCGGGGTGGCTTGGGAAAGAGGGCTGGGAGTGGAAGGAGGGAGGAGGGGGGATCTGTGGATAGAATGTGGAGTGAGTAGAAAATTTCTTAATAAAGAAAAATGAAAGAAAAAACCCATTAGCAAGGCACCTGGTCTAATCCAAAGTTACTTTGAAGCTTTAAATCAGCTAATGGTATACAGCTGTCTTGATATCTAGGGAGATTCAACTACTTTCCTATGTCAGCCTGAGCTGTGATATGAAACAGGCCCTAAGTGTCTCACAGTTCTCATGGAACAACAGGCCTAGTTATGAACCCTATTTTTATTCATCAAAATTATACAGCTAAAGAGGAATCATCTTTTAGACAGTCTACACATATAAATGCCTATTAGATTGATGTACTCATGAGATAAACACACTGCAATACAGGTAGTGGGGAACTCCCCACACCATATGTATCATATCACATGCTCAAGGTACAGCAGAAGCAAAAGATATTTCAGAGTCTGTAGTCTCATGGCCTTGCCTAAAATGAGGTTGATCCATCAGAGATATTCCTCTTGGTGAACTGATACCTGAACTTCAGTTGCCACCTGCTGCACCTCTGATATGGCTACCAGCATCCTTCAGTGAAAATCTCCACTCAAGTCCTACCCAACCCTTTACCTGTTTCCCTACATATTTTTTCCTTTTGGGTAGAAAACAGAGAAAACTCAGGGCATGGTGGCTCAAGCCTCTCATTCAAGAAGGTCAGAGGTGGATGCAGGAGAAACCTTGGCTACATGCAAAGCTAGCTTGACCTCTATCACAAAACTCTGTCTCCAAAAAAAGGAAACAAGTTAAAAACAATAATGAGATAGAAAATATAGACCATTGATGAATGAAAACTACATATGAAGAAAAGAAAGGAGGGATGGACAGAAAAGAAAGAGAAAAGGAAAATAAATAGGAAAAGAGACACACACACACGCATTGGAGTGCTTCTGGTTCACCTTAGTATGATTTAAGTAAGCACCTGTCAACCTGCTGAAAGCGACCACTCTGCTCTTCAGTATTTAAAGTTGAATTAAGACAAATGCTTGAGCTGGGGATGTGGTCCAGTGGTAGCTAGCATGGAGGAAGCCCTAGGTTCAATCCCTAGCACTGGAAAAAAAACTAAGGATAAATAAAAAATTAGAAAAATAAAAGAAATATAAAAGGACTCTTGGAAAAACTAGACCTTTTCAAAGAGAAGAATTTGGAAGGGAAACACTGGAAATAAACGTACTATTATCATCAGAGGGAAAAATTCATTGCATCTAATCAATAAGAATGAAAGAGTTCTTGGAGAATATGGACATGATAAATGAAAATCTCAGTAGAAGGGCTCAACATTTCACTATTAGGATAAGAATTTCTACTGTATCAAGCTGATAATAGAAAAAAATAAAATAAAATAAATGAAAAAATTAGGGGCTAGAGGTGTAGCTCACTGGTAGCATGCAGGAGAGATGGGGAGAGAGAGAGACAGAGAATGATAATTTCAGTATTTGCAAAGCCATGCCAAGAACTGTATAAATTACTATACACCCAAAATACAATGCACCCAAAGTATTTCATTTGGCTTTAAAAATCATGTTGCCAGAGAAAATTTAATGAAATGAGAAAATGATTACAACATAAAGTTAGATGATAAACTTATGTAAATTTTACATGCATATGTGTATAAGAACAGTAGAATTGGTAATACTACTAAACAAATGTGTATGTGCCTATGTACACATGAAAGCTATAGGTTAGAATTGGGTGTCTTCCATAATCATGCTCTACCTTAGTTATGGAGGCAGAATCATTCAGGGAACCTGGAAATCGAAGCTGGGGGCCCAGTCAGCCCCGGAATTCTTCTATTTTCACTTCTCAGCAACAAGCACTTCACTCTCCCAGCCAAAAACAATTTTTAAAAACCCTCCCTATTTTTGACAATAAACCTGAAAATCCCAGGATCTACCAACTCAATAAATATTGTTCTACGATGACAAATGAGTGCAGCTGTGACAGAACCCCCTTGTAATCCTAGAATTGGGCAGGTAGAGACGAGAACCATCAAGAACTAAAGGTCACCAGCTGCGCAGAGAATTCGAGGCCAGCTTGGGCTACGTGAGATTCTATTGGGGGAGGACCAAAATAAAAAGCTGTTCTCTGAAGTAAAAATAAAATAAAATAAAGCTGTTTAACTACAAAAAAAGAGGGGCTTAACAATAAAGTTTAAAAGCTCCCTCAAAAAGCCAGGTGTGGCCGGGCGGTGGTGGCGCACGCCTTTAATCCCAGCACTCGGGAGGCAGAGCCAGGCGGATCTCTGTGAGTTCGAGGCCAGCCTGGAGTACCAAGTGAGTTCCAGGAAAGGTGCAAAGCTACACGGAGAAACCCTGTCTCGAAAAACCAAAAAAAAAAAAAAAAAAAAAAAAGCCAGGTGTGGTGGCACACACCTTTAGTCCCAGCACTTAGGAGACAGAGGATGGTGGGTCTCTGGAACTCAAGGTCAGCCTGGTCTACAGAGAGAGTTCTAGGCCAGCCAAGGCTACAAAGACCTTCTTCTAAGAAAAAAAGTAAACAAAAAATATACCTCGGTAAATATTAAAAAATACTTTTAATTGGCAATAAGGTAAATAAAACATGGAAACAAGAGAGCCAACCCAGAGGACAACTGCATTAAAAGAACTCTGAAAAGAAGAGGGGAGAAAGGAGTCAATGAAAGAGGGGAATCAATAAAATTACTGAAACTTTGAAGAAGATGAAGGAAACGGTTTCCTGGGTTAAACGGCCCATCAATTATCTCGTACAATGAATGGAACGTAAACTCAAACCAAAGAACGCATGACTGTTAATTTCTAAATGGTTGGGATAGTGAAAATTCTACCACAATAAGTAAAATATATATGACATCTATTGATAATAAGAAAATGATGAGGTTCAGATTTCATAGTGACTGCATTGGTTCAAGCAGCTCATTGACAAAACTTAACTCTGAAGGAAAATTATTTTCAACCTAAAAAGTCATAGTTGCAGTTCCAATCAAGTTTGGGGGTAAAATAAAGATATTTTAATACATTTAAGATCACAATAAGGGTAGCCAGGCATGGTGGCACATGTCTTTAATCCCAGCACCCAGGAGGCAGAAACAGAAGGTTGTCTGTGAGTTCAAGGCCAGCCTGGGCTAAACAGTGAGATCTTGTCTCAAAACAAACAACAACAACAACAACAACAAAAAGATATCAACAAAGAGGCTGGGGATATGGCTGAGTCAGTAAAATGCCCGCTGCACAAGCATGGAAACTTGAGTGAAAAGCCCCAGACCCTACCAAAGCACCAATTGGCAAACATCTCAGTGGTAGACCCTGTCTCAAAAAAAAATTAGGGGAAGTGGCTGAGGAGATTGGCTTAGCAGTTAAGAGTACTTACTGCTCTTGCAGAGGACTCAGGTTTAGCTTAAGCACCCACATGGTGACTCAGAAACACTTGTGACTACAGTTCCAGGGGATCTGTCTTACTCTTATGACCACCATCACAGGCTCCTGCATATACATACACTCAGGCACATGTATATACACATAAAATAAATCTTTTAAAAGGAAGATGGACACAAGAAAACAACCACAGAATCAACTAATCAAGGTTCATAGAGGCTCACAGAGACTGAGTCAAAAATCATGGACCCTGTATGGGTCTGACCTAGGTGTTCTGCATATACATTATGGTTGTGTAGCTTGATGTTCTTGTGGGACTATTAACAGTGGAAGTGGGGGCTGTCTCTAACTCTTTTGCCTCCTTTTAAGACCCTTTTCCTCCTATTGGATTGCCTCATCAAGCCTTAATATGAGGGGATGTGCCTAGTCTTCTTCTAACTTGATATGCTGTGTTTGGTTGATAACCCTAGGAGGCCTGCCCTTTTCTGAAGAGAAAGGAGGAGTATATCTGGGGAAGAAGGGAGGATGGGAGGATGGACTGGGAGGAGAGGAGGGAGGAGAAACTTCGATTAGTATGATATACAAGAATTATATTAAATTAAATTATATTAAATTAAAAAGAAAAACCGGGCAGTGGTGGCGTATGCCTTTAATCCCAGCACTCGGGAGGCAGAGGCAGGTTAATCTCTGTGAGTTTGAGGCCAGCCTGGTCTACGAAGTGAGTTCCAGGACAGACGGAACTGTTAAACAGAGAAACCCTGTCTCAGGAAAGACAAGAAAAAAAAAACACAACCTTCTCCCTGTCCCTCAAAAGAAGAGGTAAGGTGGAGAACAACCAACCAATGAAGATTCTGACATCAACTTCTCTCTCTCTCTCTCTCTCTCTCTCTCACACACACACACACACACACACACACACACACACACACACACACACACGTGCACATGAATACAAACACCACATGCACATAAAAATAATTTTTCAAGGATCATAACAAAATTTATCTTTCATACATCCTTTTCTGGAAGCTACTGGTTGATGCCTATAAAACGGAAAAAGGAACCCAAAGAAGAATAAAAGAGACAGAAAAAAACAGAAAAGAGAACATACAAAATCGGAGGAAAATGAAATAATGTCCGTGTGCTGATTCCAGGATGACAGCCGTGTCTCAAGTGTAGCAAACAATAGTGATCCGGTTGAATCTTGGTGACTCAAGGGACTGGTGTCTTGCAGAATACTTATCAGTGAGTCCATCATATCATCTTTTCAGTCACAGGAACCTATTAAAAATGTGATTTCTTAAAGCCCATGAGTAAATAGGAAAACAGAAAGACACCAAAAAATCCTAATGGGAAATTAAACTAGAATAAAAGATGAAGAATCTCTTGATGACAACAGTGAGAAGTTCCATAACAGATGTGGAAAGCAAATCATCCACTTTAAAGGGGAACTGGTATCTTGGAAGACACGGGAGTCACCACGTGCAGAATTGTACTAGGAGGCAATTGGAATCATGAGAAGACATGGATAAATACTATTGGTAAAGAAAATGAAAAACCAAGGCAATTAATAATGTCAACAAAATAAGTGTGGAAAGCATAGTTATCACGTAGCAATGTTCCTGACACACTGAAAGTAAAAAGAGGCATGAGAGAGTTCAGATTTAATCCAACTTACCTAGGAGTCAGTTGATAATGTGTGAGCTTAACATATATTTTAAAATATCAGTGGCAGAGGAGGTGATTAAAAATGCCTAAAAATGACTGCATCTTGGGAGAGAAACAGAGAAGAGGTGAGAAGGCAGGGATCGCTGTATTTTAAGTCTTTTAGTGTTTGATTTTTAAAAATAAAGGTTACGTTTAATTCTGGGGTAACATGAATTTTAAAATGTCCGTACCCTGGAGTTCTTCCAAGTCTCATCACCAGTAGAAGGCAGATAGGATGTGAGTCATTGCTGATGATAATAGGAAAAGGTAAATAATGCTAACAAATGTGAAAACTAGAAAAAAATGACTTTTTTTACCTTTTTAGAGTTTTATTAGGAGAGAGAGAGAGAGAGAGAGAGAGAGAGAGAGAGAGAGAGAGAGAGAGACCAAAAAATGACTTTTAATAAAAGGAAAGGTGCCTATAGAATTCTGAACAGACATAACCCAGAACAGAATCGACAAGATAAAGATCTACCACCAATGAAGGCACTGAACTCAGGCAGTTTAAGAGGCAAATTGCAATTAAACATGCAGAAGAAAACAATATGTCTATGTCTGTTCTGGTCTGCAAAAATAGATGGAAAGCTTCCTCACTCTGTGAGGCCAGGATGACAATCTACTACCCAAACCATGTAAGTTAAACATGAAGAGAGACTTAAAAATGGGATGACATATCAAATCTACCTGTGCATCAAACTAATTCATCATGGTTAAGTTTAATTTATGTTAAGGACATAAGGGTTTAAAAGCTAAGTAACACATGGACAATTTAAAAAATATTTTGTGTAAGAAAAAGAAAACACCCTTGATTTTAAAGTCTCAGCTGGGCGGTGGCAACACACACCTTTAATCCCAGCACTTGGGAGGCAGAGGCAGAAGAATGTCTGAGTCCGAGGCCAGTCTGGTCTACAAACAGAGTTCCAGGACAGTCAGAGCTGTTACTCAGAGAAACCCTGTATTGAAACAAACAAACAAAAATCTCAGTGTTTTTTCTTTGAGAGCAACTGTCATAAACATGGAATATCAAAGCACTTCATCAAATGCGAATCTGACCTACTGGCTACAGCCAATGTTAGGGCATTTGCTGGTATTGGAGATCTTGGCAATTAATATCAATATATAGTACTTAGGGCAGATGGAGTGTGAAAATTGTGGAGAAAAAAGTATTATAGAAAGTATAGAAGAGGAGTGAAGACCTTGGAAGTGGAAAAAATATCCAATTCACAAGAAACTGGAAAAAAAAACCTAGTTCTGTGTTAGTATTCATTATTGCTAAGTGGTTTACAAATAACACATTTGTTGACTTCTTGGTGGAGGTTTGTTTCTCTTTTATAATCTTTACCGTCAACTTTTAAAACAGGAGATTTTTACATTTTCTTAAATTTTGGTGGAGAATCAGAGTTTAGTGTAAATCCTGGGGCAGAATGCCTTTAACCGGCTATCTTACTGCTTATTCTTGAGGAAGACAATAGCACGTGTACAACGCAAGGTGGCGCTGCAGGCTAAAAAGAGGAAAGGGAAGAGACGGGAATGGGGGAACCGCACAAAGAATAGTCTAGGTTTCCGACAAAGCCATAGGGAATGATATAAGGGCAGCAAGCGCTGGGAGAAGGTGCCTCTCTCCTTTCACAAGAATTGCTAGCATCCAGATCATTCCTAAGGATTCCAAGCTGCTTGTATTCCAGGGAGCTGCTTGAGGCTAAGCAGAAGGATTTTTGTTTTTATTTTGAACGTCTGAGAAAGAATGGAGGCCAGATTGGAGCGAGCTATGCAGAAAAGGCAAGTACTGTTTCTTTGTGTATTTCTGGGAGCGTCTTGGGCTGGCGCCGAACAGCTTCAGTATTTTGTGGCGGAGGAAACGGAGAGAGGCACGCCCCTGACCAATCTAGCTAAGGATTTGGGGTTGGGGCTGGGGGAACTGTCAGCTCGAGGGGCTAGAATTGTTTCAGACCGGAACACGGGGTTTTTACTGCTCAGTCCGCTTACGGGAGACTTAATTCTAAATGAAAAGCTGGACCGGGAGGAACTGTGCGGCCCCACGGAGCCCTGTGTGCTGACTTTCCAGTTGCTGTTGGAAAACCCAGTTCAGATTCATCGAGCTGCACTTCATGTCAAAGATATAAATGATAATTCCCCAGTATTTCTAGACAAGGAAATTCCCTTGAAAATATTAGAAAGCACAACTCCAGGGGCAACATTTCTCTTGGAGAGGGCGCAGGATTCCGATGTGGGGACGAACAGCCTGAGTAACTACACCATCAGTCCCAACGCATATTTCCACATTCACGTGCATGATGGAGGGGAGGGCACTGTCTTTCCCGAATTGGTACTGGATCAAACGTTGGACCGAGAAGAAACAGCAGAGTTCACTTTAACGCTCACAGCCTTAGATGGTGGATCTCCGCCCAGATCCGGGACAGCCCTGGTTCGAATCCTGGTGTTAGACATAAATGACAACTCGCCCGAGTTCGTGCAGTCCCTCTACAGGGTACAATTACCTGAAAACACCCCGGTTGGCTCCTTGGTTATTGCTGTGTCCGCCAGGGATTTAGACACGGGAAGTTACGGGCAGATAGCATACGCATTTTTCTATGCCACTGAAAGAATCCTCCAAACGTTTCAAATCAATTCTACAACCGGCCATCTTTATCTTAAAGCTGAGCTCGACTACGAAGCAATTCAAACTTACTCGATAACTATACAGGCCAAAGATAGCGGGGGACTTTCTGGAAAGTGCACTGTGGTTGTGGAGGTACTGGATGTAAATGATAACCCACCTGAGCTTCTCATGTCTTCACTTACTAGCCCAATTGCTGAAAACTCACCAGAGACGGTCGTTGCTGTTTTTAGAATTAGAGACAGAGATTCGGGGAACAATGGGAAAACCATGTGCTCCATTCCACATGATCTCCCTTTTGTCCTGAAGCCATCCGTGGAAAATTTCTATACTTTAGTAACAGAGATGCCTTTAGATAGAGAATCGCACTCTGAGTACAACATCACCATCACAGTCACCGACCTGGGCTCACCCAGGCTCACAACCCAGCACACCATAACAGTGCAGGTGTCTGACATCAACGACAATGCGCCCGCCTTCACACAAACCTCCTACACCCTGTTTGTCCAGGAGAACAACAGCCCCGCCCTGCACATAGGCACCATCAGCGCCACAGACTCAGACTCAGGCTCCAATGCCCACATCACCTACTCTCTGCTGCCCACCCACGAACCACAGCTGGCCCTCGCCTCTCTATTCTCCATCAATGCTGACAGCGGGCAGCTGTTCGCGCTCAGGGCGCTGGACTACGAGGCCCTGCAGACCTTCGAGTTCCACGTGGGCGCCACAGACCAAGGCTCTCCTGCGCTCAGCAGCCAGGCGCTGGTGCGTGTGCTGGTGCTGGACGCCAACGACAATGCGCCCTTCGTACTCTACCCGCTGCAGAACGCCTCTGCACTCTGCACAGAGCTGCTGCCCAGGGCGGCAGAGCCAGGATACCTGGTCACCAAGGTGGTGGCAGTGGACCGCGACTCTGGACAGAATGCCTGGCTGTCCTTCCAGCTGCTCAAGTCCACAGAGCCCGGGCTGTTCAGCGTGTGGGCTCACAATGGCGAGGTGCGCACCTCCAGGCTGCTGAGTGAGCGAGATGCTCCCAAGCACAGGCTGCTGCTGCTGGTCAAGGACAATGGAGATCCTCCAAGGTCTGCCAGTGTCACTCTGCATGTGCTGCTGGTGGATGGCTTCTCTCAGCCCTACCTGCCTCTGCCAGAGGTGGCGCGCGAACCTGCCCAGGATGAGGATGCGCTCACTCTATACCTGGTCATTGCCTTGGCTTCTGTGTCTTCCATCTTCCTCTTGTCTGTGCTGCTGTTTGTGGGGGTGAGGCTGTGCAGGAGGGCCAGGGCGGCCTCTCTGGGTAGCTGCTCTGTGCCTGAGGGACATTTTCCTGGCCACCTTGTGGATGTCAGCGGCGCTGGAACCCTGTCCCATGGCTACCAGTATGAGGTATGCCTGACTGGAGAGTCAGGGATAACCAGCGAATTTAAGTTCCTAAAACCAATTGTTCCCAACTTTCTAACCGAAAGCATGGGAAGAGAAGTAGAATAAAAACTAAAGATTTCTACCTCCGGATGCAGCCCTAATTTAAAGCATGCCCTTGTTGAGTGTAGGAGAATGATTTTATGCTAACATCTCGAGGTTAATTAAATTAGTTCAGAAAATACTTCCTTTGGTTATTCCCAAGAACTTTCTCTAAAGCATGAAATGCATGAATTGTATGCTATCTCAAATTTAATTTGATCCCTCTTTGTTTTTAAGCTTTTATTGAAATGCTATCTATTAAATGACAAATCTTGCTAAGTATGGTTTCAATTATTTTTCCATCATCTAATTTCTTCACTGATACTTATGTCCTGAGTTGATTGGAATCACATATAGAAATCCCTACCTTACATTTGGGAAGATTATACCACACAGACTTTTTTAAAGTTTCTTTAGTAATTACTGTGCATAGTACATAATTTCATCACTTTTTGGAGACATGGTCTCCCTGTGTCCAGGATGGCCTTGAACTCTTGATCCTCCTGCCCAAAGTGCTGGACTTACAGGCATCAGCCTATTTCACTACTTTATTTCAGAAGAAACCAGTGAGTAGCCATATTTCAATAACAAGCAAGTAGACATTCACAGAGACTTGGTTAAGTTCCACAATTATTAACTAGCAAAGCAGAGTACCTCCTAATATTTTCTGTTTTGTTTTTCTTATTTGACATGTGAGAGAGTCCTCATTCTGTCCATCTCCAGGCAGGTGACTTTGCAACAACATTATGCTGTTTTCTATCATTAGGTATTATCTGTCATACACACATTGCCTGTTTCTCCTGTGTTCAGAAATAGCAATGCTCCCCTTGGCCTGTAGTCCTATTTCCTTATAAACTGACAATCCCTCTTTTGGGGTTTATTACCCAACTATTATTAAAGCTGTGACTTAACTAAACCTCAGGTTCTAAAAATGTTGGGTTCTGGGCATGGTAGAACATGTCTTTAATTCCAGCACTTAGGAGGCACATACAGGGGGATCTCTATGAGTTTGAGACCAGCCTATTATACAATGAAAGTTCCATGACAGCCAAGGCTGCATAGGGAGACCCCTGTCTCAGAAGATGGAAGAGAAGAGGAGGAGAGGGGGAGGAGGAGGAGGAAGGTGTGGAGGAAGAGGTTTTGAACAACATCTGTTTCTCATCTGTAAGATAGGCAGTCCTCAGCAATCCTAGGACCTAGATTCTAATACCTCATCTGGAGATGGGGAAAGTAAGGTGGAGAGGGTAAATAAATTTCCCAAAGGATCACAACTGTTTCTGTGGTTCACCACAATAAAATATATAATTCCCCAGATCTTCTGTTGCTAGAAAAATGCATGCATATATATGTATATATTTCTTGCATCGATTTTTCCTCCCGGGCTGTTATTTAAATATGTACCCTTTGTTCAAAGCTCAATGAGCATTACTGAAAGCGTCTCCACCAATGTCATTTCTCCTGTGTGGCTTTCAGGCAGTTGTCTGCCCCAGAAGGCAAAGCAGTAGGAGAGGTAATGCAGCCTTACCTTGCCCACTGCCAGACACAGGCAGCTTTAGGCTTTTTACATCCATTCTCATCCCACAAAATGTTAAGATACAGTGAGAACACATGGCGGCGCTGTAGGATAAGAAAGTAAAACTAGAAGGCAGCGGTGGCTCCATTAATAGAATTTAAAAAAAAAAAAGGAAAGGGAAAGAAGAAACCTTCTGAAGCCTGGAAGCCCAGAGAAGCTCTGGCACTTCAGAGAGGAGGTCTGTGCCCTCGGGAAAGGACTGGAATAATTCTCAGGGATCTAGTGAAGAACTACAGTACCAGATACCAGGGAGAATTTACAGTTCTGCTGACACATCCTCCAGGACACTGCACCACCACAAACAATGGAGGCCAGCAGGAAGCTCCCCTGCAGACAAAGGCAAGTCCCTTTTTTCTTTTTCCTATTAGGACTGTCTCTGGCAAGTGCCGGGGAGCTGAGGCGCTATTCTGTGGTGGAGGAAAGGGAGGGTAGGTCCTTTGTAACCAATTTAGTAAATGACCTAGGTCTCGGGCAGCTGGAGCTCTCCAGACGAGGGGTTAAGGTCGCTTCGAAAGGGAACAAACTACATTTACAGCTGGATCAGGAGACAGGGGATTTGCTATTAACTGAGAAAGTGGACCGGGAGGAACTGTGTGGGCACACAGAGCCATGCCTGCTGCGCTTCCAAGTGCTGCTAGACAATCCCTTAGATATTTTTCAAGCTGAGCTGGAAGTTACAGACATAAACGACCATTCTCCAGCATTCCTGGACAAAGAAATCATGCTAAAGATATCAGAAAGCAGTCTTCCTGGGACTACATTTCCTCTGAAGAATGCTCAGGACATGGATGTGGGTCAAAATGGCATTGACAACTACCTTGTCAGTTCCAATTCCTATTTCCACGTGCTTACTCGAAAACGCAGCGATGGCAAGAAATATCCTGAGCTGGTTCTAGACAGAGCATTGGACAGAGAGGAGGAAGCTGAGCTCAGGCTAATCCTCACAGCACAGGATGGCGGCTCTCCACCTAGGTCTGGCACCACTGAGGTCCACATTGAAGTCCTGGACATCAATGACAATGCCCCCCAATTTGAGCAGCTTTTTTATAGGGTACAGATCCCCGAGGATAGTCCAATAGGCTTTCTGATCACCACTGTCTCGGCTACAGATAAGGACATAGGAGTCAATGGAGAGATCTCCTATTCACTTTTCCAGGCTTCAGATGATATTAGCAAAACCTTTTCAATCCATCCCTTGACAGGGGAAGTGCGATTGAAAGAACAACTTGATTTTGAAAAGACTCAGTCCTATGAAGTCAATATTGAGGCCAGAGATGCTGGAACCTTTTCTGGAAAATGCACGATTCTGACCCAAGTCATAGATGTGAATGACCACGCTCCCGAGATTATCCTGTCTGCATTTACCAACCCAATCCTGGAGAATTTGCCAGAAACTATGGTGGCAGTTTTTAGCGTTTCTGATCTAGATTCAGGAGAAAACGAAAAAATAAGCTGTTCCATTCAGGATGATCTACCCTTCTTCCTAAAGCCTACTGGGGAAAACTTTTACACGCTATTGACACAAAAACCACTGGATAGAGAGACTATAGCTGAGTACAACATCACCATCACAGTCACCGACCTGGGCACACCCAGGCTCACAACACAGCACACTATAACAGTGCAGGTGTCTGATGTCAACGACAACGCCCCCGCCTTCACACAAACCTCCTACACACTCTTTGTCCAGGAGAACAACAGCCCCGCCCTGCACATAGGCACCATCAGCGCCACAGACTCAGACTCAGGCTCCAATGCCCACATCACCTACTCTCTGCTGCTGGCCCTCGACTCGCTCATCTCCATCAATGCCGACAACGGGCAGCTGTTCGCGCTCAGGGCGCTGGACTACGAGGCTCTGCAGACCTTCGAGTTCCACGTGGGCGCCACAGACCAAGGCTCTCCTGCGCTCAGCAGCCAGGCGCTGGTACGTGTGCTGGTGCTGGACGCCAACGACAATGCGCCCTTCGTGCTCTACCCGCTGCAGAACGCCTCTGCACCCTGCACAGAGCTGCTGCCCAGGGCGGCAGAGCCAGGATACCTGGTCACCAAGGTGGTGGCAGTGGACCGCGACTCTGGACAGAATGCCTGGCTGTCCTTCCAGCTGCTCAAGGCCACAGAGCCCGGGCTGTTCAGCCTGTGGGCTCACAATGGCGAGGTGCGCACCTCCAGGCTGCTGAGTGAGCGAGATGCTCCCAAGCACAAGCTGCTGCTGCTGGTCAAGGACAATGGAGATCCTCCAAGGTCTGCCAGTGTCACTCTGCATGTGCTGCTGGTGGATGGCTTCTCTCAGCCCTACCTGCCTCTGCCAGAGGTGGCGCGCGAACCTGCCCAGGATGAGGATGCGCTCACTCTATACCTGGTCATTGCCTTGGCTTCTGTGTCTTCCATCTTCCTCTTGTCTGTGCTGCTGTTTGTGGGGGTGAGGCTGTGCAGGAGGGCCAGGGCAGCCTCTCTGGGTGGCTTCTCTGTTCCTGAGGGACACTTTCCTGGCCACCTTGTGGATGTCAGTGGGGCGGGGACCCTGTCCCAGAGCTACCAGTATGAGGTGTGTCTGAGGGGAGACTCTGGGACTGGCGAGTTCAAATTCCTGAAACCAATTTTACCTAATTTCCAAGACCATCCTCTTGAATCAGAAATGGGAGGAAATTCCAACTGTAGGAACGACTTGGGTTTCGGCATTCAGTTAAAATAACTGTTTTGTTTTTAACATGGGTAGTGTTTTTTGTTGTTGGAAACTCAAACTATTGTTCTTGGCTGTGCCCATTTTGAAAATTTGAAGCATGCTGAAAACTTGTTTTCAGGATATTCTGGCCATGGTTTTAGTGAGAGTATCTCGTCTTTTCTCCAGAGTGGAAGATGCAGTGTTCTAATCTTGTCTCTCTAATGTGTCTCTAGTTGTACAAATCCTTGTTCTACGATAGCTTACGAATATACAAGAGAAGAGATGGAAAGTCAGTTCAACCCAATCAGATGCGGTTTAGTGTGTGTTCTGTTCTTAGTTGTGAGCCATTGAGAGCATACTACATGGCATTGCTCAAATGCCACAAAATCTAATCAGAAAGGGGGAAAGAGGAGGCGCTGTCTTGTGCTTTATTCAGCCTCCAATGGACTAACTTCTTTGTTGGTGTTTTCTCTTAAAAATGTTACATAGCTGCATGGTTCTTCTTTTGCCCATTATTGTTTTTAATATCACGATTTTAAACTGCTTTCCACTGTGCTTTGTTGGTGTGGAGGGTGCAGAAAGCCGCCTTATTTACCTGCTAAGCTGAAATAGCATGGCAGTAAAATTGACTTTTCTCTTCTGAGAAATGTTGGCCAGTGAAAGAAACTGTACCTGACAATATTCATTCTTTCTCCCTGCCCCCATCTTCACTGTTGGATTTCAAATTCCATTCTGGCTATTTGTGTGTTTAGTCAAAAGAATACATTTTCACAGTTTTCTTTGGCAAATAGATCTGGGCATGTGGCTGGGGTAAAGTGAGATGTAAAAAGAAGCAGCTTCTGAAGCCTTTCAGTTGAGGATAAACCCAGGGCCCCAGGCATGCTAGGTAAGGACCATATCACTGATACACGACTGCAAACCTCCAAGAACACTTTCAAAGGGAGATATCTCACCTGAAAGGGGATTCCCACCTTTTCAACCCTTTAATGTGGTTCTCAACTTGTAGATCTCAACACCTCTGGGGTCGTATAGTATATCAGATATCCTGCCTATCAGATATATACATTAATATTCATAACAGTAGCAAGATTACAGTTATGAAGTAGCAACAAAATATTATGGTTGGAGGATCACCACATGAGAAACTCTATTAAATTGTCACAGCATTATTAAGAAGGTTGAGAATCACTGCTTTAAAACTATGTTCTCCCTGGGATGTGTATGGTCTGATGAGTGCACATGTAGGTTCTGTGATAGGAATGGTGGGCTGAAATAGTATGGAATGAACTTAATAGAGATGGGGTCCTGGATGACTCAGGGGTTGTCATATTATTCCCTCTGTTGCCAATTTCTAATTATACATAGATGTGTCTGTATGTGGGCATGTACATATGGGTTCAGGTACCCTCAGAGACATTAGATCTCTTTGATCTGGAGTCACAAAGGGCCCTGAGCTGCCTATCCTGGTTTCTGAGAACCAGATTCAGGTCCTCTACAAAAGCAACAAGTACTCTTAACCACAGAGCAGTCTCTCCAGTCCCTACATTTATTATGTTTTAAATCTTTTCATAAACCCCACTATGTGAGTTAGCAATTATTCGTGTGTGTGTGTGTGTGTGTGTGTGTGTGTGTGTGTGTGTGTGTGTGTTTAGGAATACCACCTGTTATCAAATGAAGATATATAAAGATTGCCATAACAAGAGTTTAGACCTCATTGGTTTGAGGAATCCAGTTAACAACTTCTGGAGCAATTAGCAAAATTGATGAATTAATAAGGGTATCAGTGTCTGTGCAGTACTGGAATTCAAACCCTGAGTCGCATGCATGCTAAATGTGCTTTATCACTGAACTTCCTGCCCTGCTCATCGTGAATTTTCACTGCAACTCAATTCGAATTATGGAAACAGAAAATCTAAACAAAAGAATACAAAGATTACCCAGGCTTTCAATATAGAATGTAAGCTCTATCTTTAAATTTAAATAGGACCTAATAGAATAAATTTAAATTTATTGTTAAACTGTCACAACTCAATTATTGAACGATGAATGATTTAATTAAAAATAAGCAAAAAAACAGAATATTTTCTGAAGAAGATATGGTTAATGTGCATCCGAAAAGCTGTACAACATCGCTCATCAAATCAACATCACAGCAAGATGCTTGGACCTCCCAGGATGTCAAGGAAAAAAGCATCAGATCAGTGTCGGGAGGATGTCATAATTTTGAAACCCTGACACACAGCTCATGAAATGTAAAATGCTGCAGCCATTTTCGAAAGCAGCCTGTCAGTTTTTCAAATGGGTAACATAGAGATATCATGTGGTAAGCAATTCAGCTTACCATAAAATATGTACATGAAGCCGGGCGGTGGTGGCGCACGCCTTTAATCCCAGCACTCGGGAGGCAGAGGCAGGCGGATCTCTGTGAGTTCGAGGCCAGCCTGGTCTACGGCACAAGATCCAGGAAAGGCGCAAAGCTACACAGAGAAACCCTGTCTCGAAAAACCAAAAAAAAAAAAAATATGTACATGAGCTGGGAGGTGGTGGTGCTTGCTTTTAGAGAGCCAGAGACAGGTGGACCTGAGTTCAAGGCCAGTCTAGTCTACAGGGTGAGTTCCAGGACAGCCAGGGCTACATAGAGAAACCCTATCTCAGAAAACCAAATGTGTGTGTGTGTGTGTGTGTGTGTGTGTGTGTGTGTGTGTGTACGCATACATATGGGAGTCTTCATGGTAACATTGTTCAGAAAAGCAAAAGGGTAGAAACATTCCAAATGCCGAAATAAACGTGAGCCTGCTACAGTCAGAAAAAGTAATAAAAATACTGACACATGCCAGAGTTTGGATGAACCTTGAAAGCACCCGCCAAGGGAGGGAAGCTGACCTCAGAAATCCACATATTCTATCATTCTATTCGTATGGAAGTCTACAATAGAGGACTCCATAGAAATCAAAAAAGGAGACTAATTATTCCTTTGGTCTCTGCCTAGGAAAAAAGAGGAAATAATAAGATGGTAGTTAAGGGATGTGAGGTTCTTCTTTGGTGTAAGATATATGCTCCAAAACTGACGTTGATGATGGATGCACCACTTTGTGTATATGTTAAAGGGCTCCAAGCTTTACTTTAAATGGACGTATTTAAGTGTATGTTATATCCCAAAGCTGTATATTACAAGACACAGGCATTATTCATGCCAAATATAAAAATCAATCCAGGTCCACATATGTCTATTTATGAAATAATTTTCTGGTAATTGAACGTGGGGAAAACCTACCATTCTTTCCTTGGATGTTGGAGAGAAGACAGAGTCCATTCCTTCTTTAATAAGCGTGTCTACATTCTCTAGAATTCACTGGTTGAAATTTTTGCATTGCCTGCTAATTTCTATCTCTGTGGTGTGCATAACGAAAACTATGTGCCTGTGAAACATTCCCCATGCTATTTTTGAGACTTTGCCCCTCAATGCAAATGTTGATTATACTATCTTACTTAGTCATTGACACATTAGCAGCATTAAATACTCAATACCATGAATGAAAATTTATTTTTGTATTTAGTTTTATGCAATACCTCAGTGTTTTATTTATACGCACAAAAGCAACTTGAAAAAAGTTAGTGATTCACATTATATAGTTTACTCCACATGTCTTGGAGAATTTTGTCTCCTGTTAAATCTGAACATGTAAGGCTCCATGAGGCCGCGCGGTGGCGCTGCAGGTTAAGAAGACAGAGCACAGGAATTGCTTCTGCGATCTCTTTCTCCTGACAAGTTTCTCACCACCTAGAAGCAAAAGACGCGCTTTCCTCAGCCAAGCAAGAGCGAGTGTAAAACCTTAAATATTCTATTGGGAGGCTTGATTCTGACGTTCTGGACTGTGAGACGGTGCTCTCAGGATCCTGGGCATAGACGAAGCTACTGTGAAGCAAACAGGAAAGAGGAAAGAGCTATGGAGACTGCGTGGATGCACAATATGAGACAAAGGCAAGTCCTGATTTTCTTTGTTTTGCTGAGTGTGTCTGAGGCAGGCACGGAGCTGGGTCCCTATTTCATACAGGAAGAAATGGAGAGGGGTTCCTTTGTGGCAAATCTTGGGAAAGATCTGGGTGTGGAGCTGGCAGAGATTTCCACCCGCCGGGCTCGGATCATTTCCCAGGAAAATAAAGAGCATTTGCAGCTCAATGTTCAGTCTGGAGATTTGCTCATAAACGAGAAACTAGACAGAGAGGAGCTATGTGGCTCCATTGAACCTTGTGTTCTACACTTCCAAGTGTTAATGGAAAATCCTTTAGAGGTATTTCAGGCTGAATTGAGGGTGAAGGACATAAACGACCATTCTCCAGTGTTCAGTGAAAAGGAAATGATACTGAGAATACCAGAAAACAGTCCTCTGGGAAACACATTCCCTTTAAATAATGCTCTGGATTCAGACGTAGAAATTAACAACATTCAGAGCTATGAAGTCAACTCCAACTCTCATTTCCTGGTTGTAACCCGCAACCGCAGCGATGGCAGGAAGTACCCAGAGTTGGTGCTGGAGAAAGAACTGGATCGGGAGGAGGAGCCCGAGCTGAGGTTAACCCTGACAGCCTTGGATGGCGGCTCTCCTCCCCGGTCTGGGACGGCGCGGGTTCTCATTGAAGTAGTAGACATCAATGATAACGCACCCGAGTTTCAGCAGCCAACTTACCAAGTGCAAATTCCAGAGAACCGCCCCACAGGGTCCCTGGTAGTCACAGTCTCAGCCAGTGACTTAGACAGTGGAGATAATGGAAAAGTACTGTACGCACTCTCTCAGCCTTCAGAAGATATCAGCAAGACATTAGAAGTAAATCCTCTAACAGGGGAAATTCGGCTACGAAAAGAGGTAGATTTTGAAACAATTCCCTCTTATGAAGTGGATATTAAGGCCACGGATGGGGGAGGTCTCTCAGGAAAATGCACTCTGCTCCTGCAGGTGGTGGACGTGAATGACAACCCCCCAGAAGTGATGCTGTCTGCACTTAACAGCCCAGTTCCAGAAAACTCTCCTGATGAAGTAGTTGCTGTTTTCAGTGTTAGAGATCCTGACTCAGGGAAAAATGGAAAGGTGATTTCCTCCATCCAGGAGGACCTTCCCTTTCTTCTAAAACCTTCAGGAAAGAACTTTTACACTTTAATAACCAAGAGAGCGCTAGACAGGGAAGAAAGAGAGCAATACATCATCATCATCACAGTCACCGACATGGGCACACCCAGGCTCACAACACAGCACACTATAACAGTGCAGGTGTCTGATGTCAACGACAACGCCCCCGCCTTCACACAAACCTCCTACACCCTGTTTGTCCAAGAGAACAACAGCCCCGCCCTGCACATAGGCACCATCAGCGCCACAGACTCAGACTCAGGCTCCAATGCCCACATCACCTACTCTCTGCTGCCCACCCACGACCCGCAGCTGGCCCTCGACTCGCTCATCTCCATCAACGCTGACAATGGGCAGCTGTTCGCGCTCAGGGCGCTGGACTACGAGGCCCTGCAGGCCTTCGAGTTCCACGTGGACGCCACAGACCAAGGCTCTCCTGCGCTCAGCAGCCAGGCGCTGGTGCGTGTGCTGGTGCTGGACGCCAACGACAATGCGCCCTTCGTGCTCTACCCGCTGCAGAACGCCTCTGCACCCTGCACAGAGCTGCTGCCCAGGGCGGCAGAGCCAGGATACCTGGTCACCAAGGTGGTGGCAGTGGACCGCGACTCTGGACAGAATGCCTGGCTGTCCTTCCAGCTGCTCAAGGCCACAGAGCCCGGGCTGTTCAGCCTGTGGGCTCACAATGGCGAGGTGCGCACCTCCAGGCTGCTGAGTGAGCGCGATGCTCCCAAGCACAGGCTGCTGCTGCTGGTCAAGGACAATGGAGATCCTCCAAGGTCTGCCAGTGTCACTCTGCATGTGCTGCTAGTGGATGGCTTCTCTCAGCCCTACCTGCCTCTGCCAGAGGTGGCGCACGACCCCGCCCAGGATGAGGACTTGCTCACACTGTACCTGGTCATTGCCTTGGCTTCTGTGTCTTCCATCTTCCTCTTGTCTGTGCTGCTGTTTGTGGGGGTGAGGCTGTGCAGGAGGGCCAGGGCGGCCTCTCTGGGTGGCTGCTCTGTTCCTGAGGGACACTTTCCTGGCCACCTTGTGGATGTCAGTGGGGCGGGGACCCTGTCCCAGAGCTACCAGTATGAGGTATGTCTGATGGGCGATTCTTCTGGGACCAGCGATTTTAAATTCGTAAAGCCAGTTCTCCCTAGCTCCCTGCCCCAGTGCTCTGGAAAAGAATTAGTGGAAAATTCTACCCTCCGGAATAGTTTTGGATTTAATCATTATTAGAAATCTCCTTAAGAGATATTTACTTCCTAATATTCTTGTTGATTAGCTAAGTTCTGTATACCTGTTACTAACAACAATTTTAATTTTCACTTTACTCATCAGTGTTCAGGTTTATGCTTAAATGTCATAGGGCTGGTTTTACTCTTATTTATCGCATAGAATTTCTTCATAGGATCCCAGTAAGTGAAAAGGCTTTATCTACACAGTTAAAGTGATTGTTAAAACTTTTCTACCACTTTGCCCTTGTTGACTTCATTAGCTCTGCACATTTCATGTAAGCGTTCTGTTTCTAGACTTCTTGAACTATTAAAATATTGCACTGCCTGTTATGTATGCATATACTACTCGGTATGTCTGCATTCCCTTTCTCTTCTGGCAGTCTTGTTGATTAGTCCTTGGTTTTCATTATATATAATAGTTATCTAATGCCATCCTAGTATTTTATAGTTCTATTTCTCTTTGTTCATATATCTTCATTTAAAATCTATTTCTGTCATAAGTAATAGAAGCATCTAGTCAATTTGAGAACAAACATATTGTAAGATATTGTTTGTGTAGATGTGCCTAAATTTGTGGCCATGAAGGCAAATTTTGGCATTCTAAGGCATCAAATAGAAGCATTTAATAATTTGCTTTAATTCAGCATGGAAACCTTAGATAGACATTGAGTTTTCAGTGGCTTACAATCCAGTTGCATTCTGCTGAATAAACAGCATATGTGTATCACCAAGCAGATGTGGTGACTTTTCTGTGCAGCAGAGCTGGGGTTTGGGGTTCTATCTAATCTTTTTCATGTACATAGCCTAAGGTTCAATCTATATCATTTGCTTTTAGTGGGAAAGTTAGAGCATTCTGAGCCTTTGATTAAAATCCTTTGTGAGGAAGATGTTTTATTGATATATCTTTGCTTTCAACATCATTAAGATATGTTACTTTGTCATAGTTTTGATCTTTTATTTAATGTACAGTAATCAGATCATATTAGATTTTATTAAGAGGGACATTTAAACAAAGATGGGACTTTTGTTCAACTGGCTATTATAAGAAAATAAAGACAAACAAAAGGAAAGGAACAGAAATTTTTAAGTATAAGTAAATGAAATAACATGATTTTCAAATGGTAGGGACTGATGGCCACAGGCTGTTTCTTGTTCTCCTTATAGTTCATTTGTACATGCTTTGACACAATAAACATAAGTGACTGAATGACTTGCCAAAGATAAGACACAGTTCCTATCCCAAGTAGGTCACATACCGAAGGAGAGAGATAGACTCTTATAAAACTGAAAACAATGTTATTTACACAATAAGCTTGGTGATGTGCATGAGTCACAGTAATAGGCATTCTGGGGCACAGAGGAGAGACAGCATGATTGTTCAGTTATGGATGCCGAGTAGTGCTTCTGTTCAAGGAATGTGATACAGAGTTTGAATAAGGTTTCTGAGGAACGTGCCAAAGAGTTCTTTTGCCCGTTTCTTGTGTTCCTGTGCTCTTGTTTCCAGAACTGTGAAATATGTTATCAAACGACATGCTCACAATTTTTCCTTTGATGGCATGAGCCTATGTCAGGGATGAAAGGACTATCGTGGAGTTAGATCTAGCAGTGAAACAAAGTTACGGCTACAAACCTCCTATTCAACTGTTAGAATCTTAAATTTCCCATGAACCTGTGAAGAAAAAGTATGAATGGACCTCTAGCTCAGTATTATTTTCACAAAACAAACAAAAAGAAAAAGTGAAAAACTAAGAAAAGCCACTGTAGGAAATAAGGACACTTAAACCTGGGAAACAGCGTTTTCAATCTGTTCGTGGCCACATGGTGGCGCTGCAGGCTAAAGAGAGACACAAGGAAAATTAACTGAGACTGCACCAGGAGTCACTAACCAATAAAAGAAAATCCTGACCGCTGGGAGAAAAGCCGAGGCTCCTCAAGACTGAGAAAGGAAAGAATAACCTCGATCCTTCCAGTTAAGTGGAACATCTGAGGTTTATGACTGCTGGGAGCCGTGGCTTGGGCCTGTAGTGAGGAAACAATGGCAGCCAGAAGGTCATGCTTCCCCAGACAAAGGCAAGTGCTATTTCTCTTTCTGTTCGGGGGACTGTGTTTGGCAGGTTCTGAGTTTGGACGTTATTCAGTAGCCGAGGAAACAGAAAGGGGATCATTTGTGGCAAATCTGGCAAAGGACCTGGGGCTAGGGGTGGAAGCGCTGGCTGCAAAGAGAACCAGGGTGATTTCTGATGATAACAAACAGCATTTGCTCCTGGATTTCCACACCGGAGACTTGCTCACAAATGAGAAACTGGACCGGGAGAAGCTGTGTGGCTCCACAGAACCCTGCATACTGTATTTCCAAATTTTAATGGATAACCCCTTTCAGATTTACCGGGCTGAGCTGAGAATCATGGATATAAATGATCACTCACCTGCATTCCAGGACAAAGAGATGGTTTTAAAAATACCAGAAAGCACAGCTGTAGGAGCAGCATTTCGCTTAGAAAGAGCCCTAGACTCAGATGGAGGGCGCAATGGCATCCAAAACTACACCATCAGCCCCACCCCTTTTTTTCATATTACAGTTCTTGACAACGACGAAGGGGTGATATATCCAGAGCTGGTGCTAGACAAACCTCTAGATTGGGAGGAGGAGCGGGAGTTCAGTTTAACACTCACAGCATTTGATGGCGGGTCTCCGCCCAGGTCTGGAACAGCCACTATACATATTCTGGTCATGGACATCAATGATAATGCCCCACAGTTTTCCCAGAAACTGTATCAAGCCCAGGCACCAGAAAATAGCCCAGTAGGACTTCCTGTTGTTACTGTCTCTGCAGAAGATGTAGACTCAGGAGTCTATGCAGAGGTAACCTATTCTTTTTTTGATGCTTCCGAAGATATTCGAGCAACCTTTCAAATCAACCCTTTCTCTGGGGTAATCGTGCTCAAAGCCTTGCTTGATTATGAGTTGGTAAAGTCCTACAAGTTAAATATACAGGCAGTTGATGGCGGGGGCCTTTCTGCTAGATGTATGGTTATAGTTCATGTTTTAGACATCAATGACAACCCCCCTGAACTGATCATATCATCGCTTGTCAATGAAGTTGTTGAGAACTCTCCCGAAACTGTGCTGGCAGTTTTTAGGATTAATGACAGAGACTCTGGAGAAAATGGAAAGACGGTTTGCTACATTCAAGAAAATCTGCCTTTCTTTCTAAGACCCTCTGTAGACAGTTTTTACATCCTAATGACAGAAGGAGCTCTGGACAGAGAGAGCAGAGCTGAGTACAACATCACCATCACAGTCACTGACATGGGCACACCCAGGCTCACCACACAGCACACCATAACAGTGCAGGTCTCAGATGTCAACGACAACGCCCCCGCCTTCACACAAACCTCCTACACATTTTTTGTCCGGGAGAACAACAGCCCCGCCCTGCACATAGGCACCATCAGCACCACAGACTCAGACTCAGGCTCCAATGCCCACATCACCTACTCCCTGCTGCCCACTCAAGACCCACAGCTGGCCCTAGACTCGCTCATCTCCATCAATGCAGACAATGGGCAGCTGTTCGCGCTCAGGGCGCTGGACTACGAGGCCCTGCAGACCTTTGAGTTCCACGTGGGCGCCACAGACCAAGGCTCTCCTGCGCTCAGCAGCCAGGCGCTGGTACGTGTGCTGGTGCTGGACGCCAACGACAATGCGCCCTTCGTGCTCTACCCGCTGCAGAACGCCTCTGCACCCTGCACAGAGCTGCTGCCCAGGGCGGCAGAGCCAGGCTACCTGGTCACCAAGGTGGTGGCAGTGGACCGCGACTCTGGACAGAATGCCTGGCTGTCCTTCCAGCTGCTCAAGGCCACAGAGCCCGGGCTGTTCACCGTGTGGGCTCACAATGGCGAGGTGCACACCTCCAGGCTGCTGAGTGAGCGAGATGCTCCCAAGCACAGGCTGCTGCTGCTGGTCAAGGACAATGGAGATCCTCCAAGGTCTGCCAGTGTCACTCTGCATGTGCTGCTGGTGGATGGCTTCTCTCAGCCCTACCTGCCTCTGCCAGAGGTGGCGCGCGACCCCGCCCAGGATGAGGACGCGCTCACACTGTACCTGGTCATTGCCTTGGCTTCTGTGTCTTCCATCTTCCTCTTGTTTGTGCTGCTGTTTGTGGGGGTGAGGCTGTGCAGGAGGGCCAGGGCGGCCTCTCTGGGTGGCTGCTCTGTTCCTGAGGGACACTTTCCTGGCCACCTTGTGGATGTCAGTGGGACGGGGACCCTGTCCCAAAGCTACCAGTATGAGGTGTGTCTGATGGGAGACCCTTCTGATACCAGTGATTTCAAGTTCTTGAAACCAATTTACCCTGATGTTCATGCTCATAGTTTCCAGAGCAATGGTGACGAAAAGCCCACATTTTGAAGCCTCCAATTCTGAGTAATGTTTCATTCCATTTAATGTATGATACAGCCATGTGAATATTAGTTTAGTCATGCAGTAGTTGCTACAACACAACTTCATTTTCAACTTCCAAGTAGGTCACATTTAAATTTTTACAATGTTTTTACATTAGTGATTTTTTTAAGTAGAGCATGTACCACTTTAAATCTGAGGTTTTAATTCTTTCTTAGTGCACAATAATTTGTTGTCTTTTCTTATTACAGAAAATTGAGATTAGGGTTTCTTTTGTTGTTGTTGTTGTTGTTTTCTTTTCTTTTCTTTTGTGGCTAATAATTAACCGCAAGTCTTTTGCATGCTAAGCAAGCACTCTACCATTGAGTTCTGTCTCTAGCCAGTCACTCTTTTTAAAGTATAGTATTTTAACTTTATTTGACTTTGTTCTTTGACAATTTCGCACATCTATGTCATGCATTTTGTTTCTTATGACCTCTGGCTTCACCTCCCTGCATCCCCTGTTACTTCCCTTACTCCCTTACAAGACCCTTCCCATGTTTATGATTTTGAGTATTCTGATAATTCTTGTGTTCGAATACTAATTCCTGGGTTTCAGCATGACTTCTGCAAACGTGTCATTCATTTTGGTCTCATTCATTCCTAACCTCTGCTGTTCCCCTGGATCCCTTCCCTTTTCCTGCAAGTCCCCCATTCTGCTTTCTTATCCCAGCGATTTCATTACCCTTTCTTTCTCACCCCCTGCCCCCCGCAAGAGCAAGAGCTCTTTCTGATGTTCATTCTTGCTGACATATAAAACGGATTGTGTCGTATAATGCAAACACAATGTAATAGTCTGCATGACAATCAGCATAAATTTGAACACATTTAAATTTTTGTGTGACAACACTGATGGACTGTTGGAAGGATGCTTTTCATTTTATATTGAAACTTAATTGTCAAATTTAGAAACTGAGACAAATTAAAGGTTGTAGAGAAAATAATTTTTATCTCCAGTTCCTTTCAACACAGTTGTTCTTCAAATTTGATCTACTTCCAAGTGATGTGTTTCGACTGCTTTATCTTGATAGTCAACTGTTATGTGTTAACCTCTCATTGCAAAAGGATTTACAGTTCTTATTTCCCACTTTAGGCACACACACAAAAGCTGTACATTTCCCTTCTAGTTTCCTGGTAGATGTGTCAGAAAATATTGTCATTTTTATTTTTTGTGGGTTTCTAGGGATCAAACCCAAGGCCTCCTAGATGAGTGCCATCCCTGAAATGAAACTAATATTAATGTCCACCTACCTATGTACTATCTTAGTATAGTACAGTATGACGACATTTCTTTTTTGGAAGATATCTCACCCAGAGTGATAGCTGCTGTTTTAGATCTGGCTAAAGTTCTATTTTGTGCTAGGATTTTTCTGCCCCTCTCTTTCCACACTAACTGAGCAAGCAAAGCAGTGGGTTACCATGAGCTGTACCTTCCATTCTTTCTACTGATTTTTCACATCATAGTCCTCTTGAATATTAATATTTTGCCTTCAAATATTCAAATATCAGATACAAATTAATTGTGTTTGTTTCCTAGAGATCTTTTATTCATACCTCTTCTTCGTTTAGACTGTTTACCCTATGGCTGTCATGCTTTTAATACTTTCCCCACACTGCCCACCTTTTATAGAATCCAATATCATTTCTGCATTTACTTTCTTACTTGGTCAGAACCCAATTTCATTAAAATAGATGCAGAGGTAGTTTTTAATAAACAACTTTTGATACTTTACATAAGTAAAGCAATCTTTTTGTTTGATAGTTTGACTGGGTATAAAAGTATAATTTGAAATTTTCTCTTTCATACTTAAAAAGGTGCTTTTCTTTTTCTTAATTGTGTAGACTCACCTTTCACAATGACAATTCTATTCTAAACTGTATCCCATTTTCTGCAATATTTTCCCATTCATTCTGGAAGCACTGGAAAACTTAACCCCAATAGTCTGAAGATACCATAGCAGGGACTATTTCTTTGTTAACCTTTTCACAAGGATATACCCTGTCAATGTTCAGACTATCAATTCAGAGAAAATTTTCATTTTATTTTGCCATAATTTCTCTTCAGTATTTTCTAAAAAATTTGATTAACTATTTGACCAACTGGACTGATTCTATTAAGATCCTAAGCATGTTTCCTTTTGTAGTTCCTATTTGCCTCTGGTTCTACTTTCTTACACTGCTCATTTAAGTATTCAATCTTTATATATAAGCTTTCCTTTTTGGTAGAAAGTTTGTAAATGTAATATGTTTTCTTATCTGTAATTTTCCATCTTAGTATATATTACAAAGATATACTTGTCCAGCATTGTTAGTGTTATATAGCCATTTTAAAAATTAAGAGTGATTCAGGGAAGTTGAAGAAATTTACCAAAAGTATATAGTTTGTATGGGACATTTAAGTCCCCTATCTATTCTATTTTCTTTGCTTAACTTTTGAAGCAGGGTTTCGACTGTATAGTACAGGGTAGCCTCAAATATGCAATCTTTCTGACTCTGCCTCTTAAGTATTGGGACTACAGGTATTATATAGGCAGACCCACACACATCGGTAAGTGTAATAATTTATTTGCACTTCCACACTTTCCAGGTTAGAATTCTGGACTATTTACTGTCTGAGAGTGTGTCCACCATAGACCTTGTGTTCTACAGTCTGAGGGCATTGCTTGAGAAGAGACTTGAAATCTTATTATTCAGAACACTAAAGTTCTATTTTCCTTTAGTTTAATTTTATACTTTTTGTTCAGCACTACTTACATGTCAGACTAGACAAGGTTTGCTAATCTCTCCACATCAAGTATCCGTTCTCTACCTTGAGTGACTTTTCTGTCTCTGTAGTCACCGAGAACAGAGAATTTACCACTGTAAATACAAATAATAAATTGTCCATCTCATGATTAACTTTAATCTTCCAGTTTCTCTAAATCTAAAATGTTCTGAGAGACAAACATGTTAATTGCCCCATCTCCAGTGATGGATTTTTAGCCATTTCCTGGAACTTCATAGTAAGTTTCTTCCATCTGCTTTCTATCATCAAACATCTGTGTACACTTTAATTTTGTGAGTTCTCAGTATTGTTACCTTCCTATCAGCTTCCTGGGTATTTTAAAGGCAGAAGGATAACTACATATTACCAGCACATCCAACTTTCAGTTTCTATCTTTTGTGCTGGTTTCTTTTCTTTTTCAACCATATATAGAACATAAATTTTTAAAAATTCGATTCAAACTGCATTTTCAGCTCCAACTGTTTCATGCACTCCTGGGTACTTTGGAAGCTTTCAGTAGTGAACATAATTGATGAGCTTCTAGCATCTGTTCCCAACAGTCTCCTCCTTCAGTAGCAATCATGATCTTCAGTTAGGGATACCCACCCCCCGCAAGCTTCAGAGATGACACTAGTCGGGGTTAAACAAGCAAAGGGCAGATCTTCAGGCTCTGTGACTAAAAGATAACCCTATGATGCTATATTTGAGTAACTGTATGTTACTTTGCTAGCCAGAACATGGTATTAATTGGTTTCATCAGAGGTTAAATTTTTGCTCTCTTTAGGAAAGCAAACGTCTCTTTTTTTCTCCCCAAACTGATGTGTATTGTTGGCAGAATATTTTGGGAACCTGAGGGAGGTCAGCGTTAGGAGTAAGAGTGTACTTCACATGAAATAGCATGCTTGTATTTGTACACCACTTTCTGAATTTTTGTCACTTGCAAGAAACTGGAACACAACTATGAATTAATATAATATGTTCCTTAATGTATACCATCTCCTGGCCAATCCAGTTTCATAATCCTAAGAGAACCTCTGAAACTTTCCATGGACACTTTTTCTTTCCCTTTCTGCCTAAGCAAGGTCTAGTGGGAAGGGATGTGTTAAACTTAACAATGTTATATTCCTGAGATACTTAACACGTGCTTTAAAACAAATACTCACATCATCATGAACTATAGAGAACACTGATGAAAAAATATGCTAGTAACCACATAAACAACAAATATTTGTCTCTGAGGGACGTTCAATGTAAGTGGAACTTAAGTAGCATTCATCAAACTGTGAAAATCTGAGAAGACACATGGTGGCGCTGCAGGACAATGTTACAGGAAAAAAAAAATCACATTCAATGCTGCGGACACACAGCCCAAGAGAGCACGGAAAACTAGGAAGAAATAGCAAGTCGTGAAGGTGCTACCTAGAAACCTTTTATCCTTTGGATTCTGGGGATTCTGTGAACAAATCAAGGGACATATTTTACCGAACTGCATGGTGAGGCAGAAGTGATTCTTTCAGAAGCCTGCCGGAAAGGAGCTATGGAGAACCGAGGGGGAAACTATCCGCAGACAAGGCAAGTCCTGCTTCTCTTTGTTTTGCTGGGAATGTCTCAAACGCACGCTGAGCCTGGGAGACTTTCGGTGGTGGAGGAGACGCTGAGTGGGGCCTTGGTAGGCAATTTGGTAAAGGATCTGGGGCTCGAGTTGGTTGAGCTATCTTCACGGGGGGCTCAAGTGGTCTCCAAGGATAACAAACTGCCTTTGCTTTTGAACATAAATACAGGAGATTTGCTCCTAAGCGAACCGTTAGACAGGGAGGAGCTGTGTGGCTCTGCCGAGCCCTGCGTGATGCACTTCCAGGTGTTAATGAAAAACCCCTTACAGATTTTGCAAGTTGAGCTTCAGGTCAGGGATATAAATGACAACTCCCCCATATTCTTGGAAAAGGAAATGGTTCTAGAAATCCCAGAGAATAGCCCTGTTGGTTCTGTGTTCTTACTAGAAAGTGCGACGGATTTAGATGTAGGACCCAATGCTGTGAAAAACTACATCATAAGCCAGAGCTCTTATTTCCACATTACAATGAGAGTTAATCCTGATGGCAGGAAATACCCAGAGTTAGTTTTGGACAAGGCACTGGACTACGAGGAGCAGCCACAGCTCAGTCTCATCCTCACTGCTTTGGATGGTGGGACTCCACCCAGGTCTGGGACTGCCTTGGTTCGGGTGGAAGTCATAGATATTAATGACAACTCCCCTGAGTTTGAGCACATGTTCTATGAAGTGAAGATTCCGGAGAATAGCATCCTTGGCTCACTGGTTATCACTGCATCGGCTAGGGATTTAGACTCAGGAATTAATGGTGAACTCTCTTATGCCTTTATCCATGCATCAGAGGAAATTAGAAAAACATTTTCAATTAACAAAAACTCTGGAGAAATACGTTTAATAGGATATTTGGACTTTGAAACAACTGAATCCTACTCAATAATCATTAAAGCTACAGATCGGGGAGGACTTTTTGGGAAATCTACAGTAAGAATTCAGGTGATGGATGTGAATGACAATTCTCCTGAAATTGCTGTGTCATCATTTATCAGTCCAATCCCAGAAAACACCCCAGAGACTTTAGTTATGATTTTTAGTATCCAAGACAAGGACTCAGGAGAGAACAGCAGGATGATCTGTTCTATTCCAGAGGACCTCCCGTTTGTGCTAAAATCTTCAATTGAAAATTACTACCACTTAGAAACTGAGGGAGCACTGGACAGAGAGAGCAGAGGTGAGTACAACATCACCATCACAGTCACCGACATGGGCACACCCAGGCTCACAACTCAGCACACCATAACAGTGCAGGTGTCCGATGTCAATGACAACTCCCCCGCCTTCACACAAACCTCCTACACCCTGTTTGTCCAGGAGAACAACAGCCCCGCCCTGCACATAGGCACCATCAGCGCCACAGACTCAGACTCAGGCTCCAATGCCCATATCACCTACTCTCTGCTGCCCACCCACGACCCGCAGCTGGCTCTCTCCTCGCTCATCTCCATCAACGCCGACAATGGGCAGCTGTTCGCACTCAGGGCGCTGGACTATGAGGCCCTGCAGACCTTTGAGTTCCAGGTGGGCGCCACAGACCAAGGCTCTCCTGCGCTCAGCAGCCAGGCACTGGTGCGTGTGCTGGTGCTGGACGCCAACGACAATGCGCCCTTCGTGCTCTACCCGCTGCAGAATGCCTCTGCACTCTGCACAGAGCTGCTGCCCAGGGCGGCAGAGCCAGGCTACCTGGTCACCAAGGTGGTGGCAGTGGACCGCGACTCTGGACAGAACGCCTGGCTGTCCTTCCAGCTGCTCAAGGCCACAGAGCCCGGGCTGTTCAGCGTGTGGGCTCACAATGGCGAGGTGCGCACCTCCAGGCTGCTGAGTGAGCGAGATGCTCCCAAGCACAGGCTGCTGCTGTTGGTCAAGGACAATGGAGATCCTCCAAGGTCTGCCAGTGTCACTCTGCATGTGCTGCTAGTGGATGGCTTCTCTCAGCCCTACCTGCCTCTGCCAGAGGTGGCGCGCGACCCCGCGAAAGACAATGAAGATTTGCTCACACTGTACCTGGTCATTGCCTTGGCTTCTGTGTCTTCCATCTTCCTCTTGTCTGTGCTGCTGTTTGTGGGGGTGAGGCTGTGCAGGAGGGCCAGGGCGGCCTCTCTGGGTGGCTTCTCTGTGCCTGAGGGACACTTTCCTGGTCACCTGGTGGATGTCAGCGGCACTGGGACCCTGTCCCAGAGCTACCAGTATGAGGTGTGTCTGATGGGAGGTACTGGCACAAATGATTTCAAATTCCTGAAGCCAGTTTCCCCCAATCTACCACCCCAGTTCCCTGGGAGAGAATTGGTGGAAAGCCCTACCCTCCACAATAGTTTTGGGTTACTTAGTGACCATAACTGATGCTATATTTTATATGTGTTTCATTTCATGGCTACCCCAAGGCAGTGTGCATTTCTCCCAGTTTTCATGATCTTCAAATCTGCTAGTATTTACATTTCCTTTTTTCCCTCCCACTTTTCAATTTATGTCAGCACTTGTAATAAGATGGTAATTTATTCTGTGGCCGGTTCTCTAGGATGTCCTACCTTGTAAAGACTTTGCCTCCTTAAACAACAAAAAATCACCCCCATCTGTCTTCTCCAGTTGCACCTTCCCCTTCACTGTGCTTACGATGAAATAAACAGACCACTGCGGGAGTAGTTGAAATGTCCAAGCATATCTTTCATTGACGCTCTTTCTGTAGTTTTTCTTGTGGCTTATTATTGTCGATGCTATTTTCAAGTAAGTTTATTTTAAAAACCTCCCTAGTTGAGATATTATGTTTAAATGTTTGTTACTGTTGACTGTATTGATATGTTGGGAAATCCATACTGTGATACAGCCATTAGGCCCATTGAAAAGGAGCCCGTAGTGGGTCTGGGAATGGCTCAGTGATAGGTCCGCAGATAGATAACAACATGGAATAAACAAATGGGGACAGCGATTAGCTTCTTAATAACTTTATGTTATGTGCCCTGGAAGGTGGCGGGGGAGGCACATGAATACTGTGGCCATAGGAGAAAGCAAACTTATGAGATAATATATGATTTTGTTTATGTTCTCTTTGAAAAAAATGAATATGCACTGAGTACTAATTCACACATAAAATTATACCATGTGTGTTTATGCAACATTCAAACCAAACAGGAAGAAATATTTTGTGCTCAGTACTTAGTCTACTATGAGCTTGAAATTTCCTATTTTATTCCATTGCCTAAACTTCCTGGTATGGTCACAAGCCACCAAATTGGTCCTGGACTCTACTGAAGAGCAGCATCCAAAAGTTAGGTGACCACTTTTAGTTTGGATGTATGAAAGTGCCATATATGTGTAACACCGAGAAGTTTCAAGAGATCATAATTCAGGTTCTAATTTTTTAAAAAAAATTAACTTCAACTGCCACAGAGGGGAGTTTTATCTTGTGTTGAGAAGGACCAGCCTATAATGGGTCTTGTCCTTAATGGTCTGACAACACGACAGAGAAAAATAAAATGTTTGGAGATGAAGTTTCCTAAAAAGTCTAAAGTCTGCATGCATAGACAAAGGAAAATGCAAATGAGAAAATGAGTCGTCGTGGAGACAGAAAGAGGGTAAGCCATGACAGTAAGAAGGGGGAGGGACTAGGTGATGATCCTTCCAGTCCCACAGGCTGGAGTCAGTGCCGGAAACTTCCTCTTGAAGATATTTAACACTGATATTAGTTAATTAATTTTAATTAAAATCCCTCCAATATCCAAGACAACCTAGTGTTCATACTTTTTTTTTTTTTGGTTTTTTTGAGACAGGACTTCTCTGTGTAGCTTTGCATCTTTCCTGGAACTCACTCTGTAGACCAAGCTGGCCTTGAACTCACAGAGATCTGCCTGCCTCTGCCTCCTGAGTGCTGGAATTAAAGGCATGTGCCACCACCACCCAGCGTGTTCATACATTTTGAAAGCTAGAATTTCATTATTGGCCCATTGAACTATGGAATCTTTGCAGCCAGGCAAAATGTAGATACAGGCTGGTTAAATTCAAGTTCCTACTTTGAGAAGTAGAAGTTGAAGCAGGCTCTCTCTTCTTTAAATGAAACCTCCTTTCTATAGAGAACAAAATTCACAGAATTACAGTAAATCAAAACCAAGTATTAAGATTACCTCCTCTCATTATGTTACTGAGTGGGGACTAGATTAGTGGAGGACCAATTAAAACATTATAGCATATCAGACAAGATAGACAGACTACAGAAGCAAACAACAACAAAAAAACCTGTAAATGACCACTTCACATGCACCAGAGCAGCTATAATGAAAAGGACAGACAAGAAAATAATGAGTGTTGACAGGATGTAGAAAAAGTGGAATACTGTTGCTATAGAAATAAAAAAAAATGGTACAGTGCTTTGGAAAGTAGCTTGTCTGTTCTTCAAAATATTAAATATATATATATAAATCTTCTGTTACTCAGAATTTCAATTCTTATATACCGATCTAAAAGAAATGGCATACATCTACACAAAACCATTTATGAACAAATGTCCATATTAGTGTTGTACCTAACACTAAAAAAATTAAACAACCCAAATATTCATCAACTGATAAATAGATAAACCAAATATGGTATTTCCATGTAATGAAATTATTCTTAATTTTTTTTTGAGACAGGGTTTCTCTGTGTTGTTTTGGTGCCTGTCCTGGATCTTGCTTTGTAGACCAGGCCAGCCTCGAACTCACAGAGATCCGCCTGGCTCTGCCTCCTGAGTGCTGGGATTAAAGGCATGCACCACTACCGCCCAGCAATTCTTAATGAGCAATAAAATGAGTGTAATACAATATGCAGTTTTAGTTATGGTTATTACTGCTGTAATGAAACACTATGACAAAAAAAGCAGCATAGGGAAGAAAGGGTTTATCAGGCTTATGCTTCCTCATCAATGTTTATCACTGAAGGGAGTCAGGGCAGGATCTCAAACAGGGTAGGAACCTGGAGGCAGGAGCTGACATAGAGGCCGTGGGGTAGTGCTGCTTACTGGCTTGCTCTCCAAGGCTTGTTCAGCCTGCTTTCATACAGAACCCAGGATCATCACCTCAGAAGTGGCCCTACCCACAATGGGCTGGGCTCTCCCATTTCAATCACTAATTAAGAAAATTCTCTACAGGCTTGCCTACAGCCTGACCTTACAGAGGCATTTTCTCAATTAAAGCTCCCTCCTCTCTGGTGACTCCAGCCTGTGTCAAGTTGACATAAACTCACCAGCACATACACCATGGGAAATCTCAAAAATATGGTGCTAAGTTTGATGTTCTTTGGCAACCTACTGGTTAGGGTTTGGTGCTCTCACAAAAATATTATGCTGAATAAAAAAATGTCATTTTAAAAATCACATATTCTATAATTCTGTTTATACAAAATAATCAAAACATATGGAGACAGAAAATGTCTTGGTGGTTGTATAAAGTTGGGAAAATGTGTAGGAGTGGGGACTAGTTGGGTACAATTTATATGGGGGACAATGAAAACATTTTAAGTTAGAAATAATGGTAATAGTTGCACAATTCTGAAAATATAGGAGTAACCATTAAACTCTGTACTTCAAATGGCAGGATATTATGGTTTCTCTATTTCAACAAAGATGTCCAAAGTAATGGACAATGTCTCCAAAAGCCTATGATTCCAAGTAAGCTGGGTCTTCTCTTATCGATGATGATGGAAGTGTGAAGAGAAATTCAAACCGCCAAGGTAGAAGAATCCTACAGACACAACAGAAGGTCCGGGTACTTGTCTTGCTTCCAGCTTTTCCAGATATATGAGCATCAAGATTTCTCTGTTTCTGGAAGAAATTGTGTGTTTCCACACTCTAGTGGAGGGTAACCAAGCCGTCAGGAGCTCCCACGCTCACATACAAGTAACCAACCAATCTTCCAAAATGCTTTGCTAAAAGCAAGGTTTTTCTCTAAGTCTTCAAATATATTTGTTATAGCTAAATTTAAACACAGTACATTCAAATCAAGGTGTATTGGAGAATTTTGTAATAAACAACTACTGTAAATTATAAGTAATTAAGGAAATGCTCTTATTGTATGAACCAGGGGAGTCAAGGTCATGACAGGGGAACCAGCTGACCTGAGCTTGTGGAAGCTCACTGATTCTGGACCAACAGTTAGGGAGCCTGCATGGGACCAACCTAAGCCCTCTGCATGTGTGTGACAGTTGCATAGCTTGCTGTTTGTGGGTTTCCCAGCAGTGGGATCAGGACCTGTCCCTGACACTTGAGCTGGCTTTTGGGAACATATTCCCCATGCTGGGTTGCCTCACCCAGCCTCGATGCAGGGAGAGGAGTTTGATCCTGCCTCAACTTGGTGTGCCATGCTTTGTTGACACCCATGGGAGGCCAGCCCCTTTCTGAAAGGAGCCAGAGAAGTTGATGGGAGGTAGATGGGAGGTTTGGGGGGATGGGAGGAGAGGAGGGAGGGGAAACTGTGGTCCATATATAAAACAAATAAAAATAAATAAATTTAATTAATGAAAAGGGGGAAAGACACAATAATAAAAGGAAGAAAGAAAGAGAAAGCTCTCATAGCCAATGGAGGAAAGTTGATTAGAAATACATGTTAAAAAAAAAAGATACAACCTCCCCGAATGGATTTTCTTGAAACCTCTCAACAATAAAAGTCAGCTAGAAGTTTAATTTGTGATTGCCTACAAATACTGGAAGTAAATGTCTTGTGTTATTAGGACATTTTAACTAATAAATGGACTGTTATCATCTCCTTTCTAACCCGTAATCGGCTTCCATTCCTGGTCCAGTGCACTGTTTGATCTAAACACACGGCTGTTCAGACCACAGCTCTTCATCTATAGTCCGGTTTCCACCAGTCAGCTCTTACGCTGCACTTCTCCACCAAGGACTGCCCTTCCTGTGATGTGGTTACTAGGCATCTCCCTCTGGGAATACCAACTTCTATGCCTTTAAATCTTCTCATGCTGCTACTCCTATCATACCTTTGACCTTGTTATAGCCTCCTCTACTTGACACAGCTACAATGTATCAACCAGCTCCTGTTCCTGCTCTAAATTTCCTTTTTATCCAACCAACCCCTGCTTTCTTGCTCACACTCACACTCATGTCCTTATCCCCAACTGCCTTGTTCAATTTCCTTCACTAAAACAACTTGACAAAATTCTACTTAATATGGATGCACTTATTTTCTTCTCTGATTATACCTGGGTTGCAGCACCCTAAGACAAAACTGATGAAGTTATTAACACCACTGCCATTATGAATTTTTCATATAAAAACTATATTGAGGGGTTTGGAGAGACTGTTCAGTAGTTAAGTAGCTGCTCATGCTAAGAATCTGAGTTCATTTCCAGAACCCACATCCAACAGATTACAATCTCCTCTAACTCCAGTTGCAAGGGATACTATACTCTCTTCTGGCCTCCTCAGGTAACTGAACTCATGTACACACATACACAGATACATACACACATATACACATATATACAATTAAAAATAAATAGTTTAAAGTGTATTCAGATTTAAGACCAAAAAATCCTTCATAATTTTCCTAATCACCTTTCCTTTCCAGTATTTACAATTACTTTTTTTGAGACAGAGTTTCTCTGTGTGGCTTTGGAGCCTTTCCTGGAACTCACTCTGTAGCCCAGGCTGGTCTGGAACTCACAGAGATCTGCCTGCCTCTGCCTCTCAAATGCTGGGTTTAAAGGCATGTGCTACCACCACCTAGCGTCTACAACTACTTAAAGCTTGATTATCTTGCTTTAATTCTCTCACTCAATTACTCAGCAGACAAACTTGCCTCATGAACCTTAATAATAAAATAGAACCCATCAGATGTTAATTATTTTAGTTTCCTGTACCAAGTCTATACCTTGGCAGCATAAGTCATACTTTTCTCATTCTGGGATGCCTCATACCAAGTCCAATCCCTTTCTGTGTTCTGGATCCAGTATTTAACTGATCTCTGGGGCCTCTGCATTGATTACCCTTTCTGTATTTTAATTTTCTCTCTTTCTAGTAAACCATTAAATACCACCACTAAAAATATGTTCAAGTTTCTCCATTCTTTTAAAAGCTGGGTCTATAGTTCTCATCAGCTATTAGAACCTCTTTTTCATTTATATATTTCTTGACTTCATTTCCTACCTTCATTTGCTTCCACATCCCTCAAACTTCTTAACCAAGGACAGTTTCATTTTCCTTGCAACCATCCTTCTGAAAATGGCATTTTAAGGTCATAAAAGATGTCTGTATACATTAAATAATATATATTAAATATAATGTAAATTAAATAATGCTGTATTACCAAATCAAAGAAATGCAACTACACAATGCTTTGCAAAAGGTCTATCTCTTTCGTGTGACAGTGTCAATGCAAATGGCTATGCAAATAGAGCAGCTTTGCCCCAGTGGTCCTTGTAGAATCAGATTTCACTCCAAATGACTGCTCCCACATTCCCTATGGCAAACTAGTAGTCTGTATGGCTGTAACTTCTCACTATCATACCTATATTTCAGATGGCTGAGGGAAAAGTTGACCATTTAGAGTGCTTCTTTCCCAGACAAGAAAGTAATAAACAAAAACTCTGCTCTCAATCCATCTGTGAAATTGTCAAGGCCAAACCAAACTACAAAGGAGGCTCAGACAGGCATGTCAGCTCAGCTGCCATGTGTCTTGGTTACTTTTCTATTGTTGTGATAAAACATACGACCAAGGCAATTTTTTTAAAGGTGCTTAACTTGGGGCTTATGTTTTCAGAGTGTTAGAGTCCATGATGGCAAAGCAAATGTCTAGTGGCAGGAACAGCTGAGAGCTCACGTCTTGATCTGAAAATTGGATGCAGGCAAAGAGAAAACTGTAGGAATGGCATGAGTCTTTTGAAACATCAAAGCCTGCCCCAAGTGACACTTCTTCTGCAACAATCCATGCCCCTTAATCCTTCCCAAATAGTTCCACCAACTAGGGACCAAATATTCAAACATAAGATTCCATGGCAGACATTCTCGATCAAACCACGACACCATGTGTTTGGACACACATAGAAGAGTGGTACATATTCTAGCAGACATTTTTCAGGGTCATCCACAAATACTGTCTTAAATACAATAGACAAGTGTAATACTTGCTTTTGTCTTGACTTTAGAGTATTTTCTGCTCTTTCTCTTTCTCATTTCCTTGAATTTCTGTTTGCCTTTCAAAGAATGATTTTGAACTCCAAGTCTTCTTTGTTTAAAGAAAGATACTTATTTTCCTTTTTTCTGTAAGTGGACATTGGTTCTAGGGTCCTGTGTATGACAAAATTCACAAATGATAATTGTTTTCCAATAAGAGTAGCACTTGTCCATGACCTAAACAACCCCATTCATATACTTTAAATTATCCCTGGATTACTTACATTACCCAATACCTGGTAACAAGGGAAAATCTTACATACAAATGAAATTTTGAGGGTATGTTGTAATTTATTTAATTTTATTTTTATACTTTTTTTTTGGTTTTTCGAGACAGGGTTTCTCTGTGTAGCTTTGTGCCTTTCCTGGGACCTACTTGGTAGCCCAGGCTGGCCTCGAGCTCACAGAGATTCGCCTGGCTCTGCCTCCCGAGTGCTGGGATTAAAGGCGTGCGCCACCACCACCCGGCATTTATTTTTATACTTTTATTGCTTTGGAGTTAGGGATTGAATCAGGACCCTAATGAGCACACCATACACTCACACCACTACTGAGCTACCTCTCTATATTTTAATTATTTTCTCTTAACATTTAGCTAGTTCTTTCTGGTTTCTTTAAAATGCCAACTCATTAGTTACTATGATAATGACACCAGGAGGTAAAGCTAGCAGCATCAGCATCCTGCTTTTAATAGGAAGGAAAACAAAGGTACATAATTTGCCCAGGTCTATAGGTAGTGAATGACAGTACCAGGATTCTAATGTTGACATCTTGGTTCCAAAACCTATGTTCCTAAATTTTATCTATCTCTTAGGTCAGAGTTACTTGTATTTTCTGTATATTTCCATTATTTTTTGCCTATGCATTGTTGTATCTTAATTACTACCTTATTAATTTTTCTAGCCTGCAAGTTCCATAAAAAGATCATCTTATTTGCATCATATCTTCACATATGTGTATGTATATGTGTGTGTATGCATATGTGTATGTATGGGTTTTCAGATAATGTCTCCCTAGATAGCTTTCACTTGCATGGAGCTCACCATATAGACTAGGCTGACCTCAAACTCTTACAGATCCCCCTGCCTCTGCCTCTCAAATGCTGGCATTAAAGGCATGCAGCTCCACACCCTACTATTTTATTAAATGTAAAAATCAAGGAGTCTAATACTCCCATGGCTTAAACTAACTTAACTACTAACAAAAAGTAGTATGTTCTGTAATTTTTCCAGATTCGTGTGTGTGTGTGTGTGTGTGTGTGTGTGTGTGTGTGTGTGTGTAAATGTAATAGTGTTACCAATTATATTATGGGCTCACACCAACAAATATCTACCAGAGAGGAGGTAAATAATTATAACTACTAAAGAATTGTCTTGAAATAAATATTACTTATTTATTTTGGAGCACTTTAGTGGATCTTTTGAGTTGGACATTCAGAGCACCAATGATTTCATGGGGGATATGGACTTTGTTCATTTCTAATCCAAACAAGCCAACAACAAGAGACATTTTGTAGAAAACTGGAAGAGTCCAAACAGATTGAATTACAAGATATAACCAAAAATTATTTCTAAAAAAGTTGATTATGATAATGATATTGTAATTATGCTTTAATTAAAAAATTAATGAGCATTTAAAGATAAATAGAGTCTATGTGAAATTTGCTTTTGAATAATCTAGATAGACGTATTCACAAATTTTTAGGAGAAAAATATTAAATGAAAAAATTCACAGAGACACATGGTGGCGCTATAGGATAAGATGAAACAGTGCATAGCCAGCTTTGTGGGCTCCGCTAACCAGAGAACAGCCAATACACTGAGAAGGGAGGTATCATAGGGGCTTTACCGACAGAGCTGCCAAGGAATTTTCAATAGAAAGAATCGGACCTTCATCTCTCAAAATTGGGACCAAATTTAAATTTTGCCACAAAGGAGGTCATCTGAAGGAACTATGGGAACCAGAAGGACACTCATTCTGCAGAAAAGGCAAGTTTTGGTTTTCTTTGTTTTGCTGGGATTGTCTCAGGCGAGTACTGAATCTTTGCACTATTCTGTAGCGGAGGAAACGGAAATTGGCTCTTTTGTGGCTAATCTGGCAAGGGATCTGGGGCTGGGGGTTGCAGAGCTGTCCTCCAGGGAGGCCCGGGTAGTGTCAGATGATAATAAAAAGCATTTACACCTTAATTTGATGACGGGAGATCTGCTCCTGAGTGAGAGACTGGACCGGGAAGAGCTGTGTGGCTCCACCCAGCCCTGTGTGCTGCCTTTTCAGGTGGTTCTGGAAAACCCTTTACAGTTTTATCGAGCTGAGCTGCATGTCAGAGATATAAATGATCACTCCCCTATGTTCCTGGACAAGGAAATAACTATTAAAATACCAGAAAGCGCAACTATTGGAGCCACATTCTTAATTGAGAATGCACAAGATCTGGACATAGGAAACAACGGTCTCCAGGACTACAGCATTAGCCCCAATTCTCACTTCTATGTCAAAATTCATGACAGTGGCAATGGAAAGATATATCCGGAGCTGGTTCTAGACAGAGCTCTAGATCGTGAGGAAGAATCTGAGCTTAGATTGACACTTGCGGCACTGGATGGTGGGTCTCCTCCCAGGTCTGGGACAACATCCATTCTCATAAAGGTCTTGGACATCAATGATAATGCTCCTGAGTTTGCTCAGAGTTTCTATGAGGTGCAGGTCCCAGAGGATATGCCCATTGGTTCCAGTATTATTGCTATCTCTGCTAAGGATTTAGATACAGGAAATTATGGGAAAATATCATATTCATTTTTGCATGCATCAGAAGGTATTAGAAAAACGTTTGACATCAACCCAACATCTGGGGAAGTCAACTTGAGATCACTACTGGATTTTGAAGTAATACAATCCTATTCTGTAACTATCCAAGCAACAGATGGCGGTGGTCTTTCAGCAAAATGTACTCTTCTAGTTAAAGTATTGGATATAAATGACAATGCACCAGAAGTGACCATATCATCAATTACAAAGACAATTCCAGAGAATGCTTCAGAGACCCTGGTCGCTCTTTTCAGTGTCCGAGATCAAGACGCTGGCGACAACGGAAAGATCCTTTGCTCTATTCAGGACGACCTTCCGTTTATCCTAAAACCCACCTTCAAGAACTTTTTCACTCTACTTTCTGAAAAAGCACTGGACAGAGAGAGCAGAGCTGAGTACAACATCACCATCACAGTCACTGACATGGGCACACCCAGGCTCACAGCACAGCACATCATAACAGTGCAGGTCTCAGATGTCAACGACAACGCCCCCGCCTTCACACAAACCTCCTACACCCTGTTTGTCCAAGAGAACAACAGCCCCGCCCTGCACATAGGCACCATCAGCGCCACAGACTCAGACTCAGGCTCCAATGCCCACATCACCTACTCTCTGCTGCCCACCCACGACCCGCAGCTGGCCCTGGCCTCGCTCTTCTCTGTCAACGCCGACAATGGGCAGCTGTTCGCGCTCAGGGCGCTGGACTACGAGGCCCAGCAGGCCTTCGAGTTCCACGTGGACGCCACAGACCAAGGCTCTCCTGCGCTCAGCAGCCAGGCGCTGGTGCGAGTGCTGGTGCTGGACGCCAACGACAATGCGCCCTTCGTGCTCTACCCGCTGCAGAACGCCTCTGCACCCTGCACAGAGCTGCTGCCCAGGGCGGCAGAGCCAGGATACCTGGTCACCAAGGTGGTGGCAGTGGACCGCGACTCTGGACAGAATGCCTGGCTGTCCTTCCAGCTGCTCAAGGCCACAGAGCCCGGGCTGTTCAGCGTGTGGGCTCACAATGGCGAGGTGCGCACCTCCAGGCTGCTGAGTGAGCGAGATGCTCCCAAGCACAGGCTGCTGCTGCTGGTCAAGGACAATGGAGATCCTCCAAGGTCTGCCAGTGTCACTCTGCATGTGCTGCTGGTGGATGGCTTCTCTCAGCCCTACCTGCCTCTGCCAGAGGTGGCGCGCGACCCCGCCCAGGATGAGGACGCGCTCACACTGTACCTGGTCATTGCCTTGGCTTCTGTGTCTTCCATCTTCCTCTTGTCTGTGCTGCTGTTTGTGGGGGTGAGGCTGTGCAGGAGGGTCAGGGCGGCCTCTCTGGGTGGCTGCTCTGTGCCTGAGGGACATTTTCCTGGTCACCTGGTGGATATCAGTGGGGCGGGGACCCTGTCCCAGAGCTACCAGTATGAGGTGTGTCTGACAGGAGGTACTGGGACAAATGAGTTCAAATTCCTGAAGCCGGTCATGCCCAGTCTTCAAGTCCACGACGCTGGTTCTAATATGCAGGAAAAGGAGAACTTTCGCAATAGTCTTGGATTTAATATTCAATAAAAATCTCCTATAAACTCTTAATATTTTCCTTTTACTGACAAATTGCAGATGCTTTTTTTTCTTGATATGCAATGGATTTTAGGTTTTACTGGTGTTGCATGCATTTTCATTTTACATGTTTTTCTCACAGTTGCTATGGGGCTCTAGTGATGTAAAGAAACAATCTGCACCGCTTGTTTCGCTTATTTTGAAGTTTTATGTTAACGGTTCTGCTGTTTGTTATGCAAGACACAGAAATGGAAATACTAACTAAAGTATTTAGAGTAAATGTGTTGAGCTGGTGATTACTGTACCTGGTGGAGTCCACAAGCAGGCAGCTCTGGGTGGATGATCTCCAACAAAAGAAAGGGAGGGAAGAAGGGGAGAAGGGAACTAAAAGGGGCAAATGTCACCATATATGGGAGTTGTTCCAACACACTATTAAAACCGAGCATGCAGAGATTTTAAATGTCGCTGCATCTGGGTAGAAATTATATTGCAGCCGGGCAGTGGTGGCGCACGCCTTTAATCCCAGCACTCGGGAGGCAGAGCCAGGAGGATCTCTGTGAGTTCGAGGCCAGCCTGGGCTACCAAGTGAGTTCCAGGAAAAGGCGCAAAGCTACACAGAGAAACCCTGTCTCGAAAAACCAAAAAAAAAAAAAAAAGAAAAGAAATTATATTGCATCATTTGTAGTAGTCTCTGTTAGATTATTTCAACATGAAAGATTTTTAAAATGCTGCCCCTCCATGTCCAGTCCCAGAGGCCTTTGTGTCCTTATGTTTTCAAGAACTGATTTCTGTTCATGTGACCTGCATTAAATACTGATTGCTTAAGTAATTTTTCCTTATCTATTTTCTAATGATGATTTCTAATTCTCAAAATATTCTAGGTCTTGATACTGCTGTTTTCTTGTTTTTAAATAGACAGTGTTTGCTTGGTTAAAATTTGTGGTACTCTATATCTGCTTAAAGCAGGTAATAAGATCATAATCTTGTTCTAATTAAAATAGTCTTTTACCAGAAAAGAACAGGATAAAAACTTCCTAGGAATTAAAATAAATATCTTTAAATGACTTATTTTTTATTTTATGTGAATTGGTGTTTTGCCTGCATGTATGTCTCTGTGAGAGTGTCGGATCCCCCCAGAACTGGAGTTACAGGTTGTGAGCTGCCAAGTGGGTTCTGGGAATTGAATCTGGGGCCTCTGGAAGAGCAGCCAGTGATCTTAACTGCTGAGCCATCTCTCCAGCCCCTGAAATAAAGATTTTAAACTGTTTAAAAGATTTAGATTTACTTTTCCTAACCATTAATAAAAGTAAATATAAGCCACGCGTGGATGCACAAATCTGTAATCTCAGCACTCAGGCAACTGAGGACAGAGAATAATCAACTCAAGATTGGTTTGGACTGCATAGTAAGAGTTTTCCTTAAAAAGAAATTAAAAAAGGAAACAGAACTGATGTGCTGGCATATTCCTATAACCGAGGCATGGAGTGTGAAGCCAGGCTGATCTCTGTCAGACACGTCCCCCAAAATTAAAAAGAAACAGAGTGGAGAATTAGGATCTGAATCCTCACACTTGAGACAATGAGGCAGGAGGCTGTCATAAGTTGGCAGGACTTATGACATGATATGGACACAATATGGAAGGACAACTGTGGTTATGCAATGCATTCAAGACCAACCTCTGCTACAGATGAAGGCCCTGTTTCAAAAGGAACCCCTATGATCTTAAAAATAGAATAAAAGATGTAAATATAATGTCTAGTTGTGTGGACATAGCAGGTAGGTACAAAATCTTGGCTTGACTCTCAGCTCCCAGCAGAAAAGAGTAAATACAGGAATATATGCACCCTGAGCACTTTAGGTGCCCAATGTTCAATTTTCAGCATGCACAAAAAAGTAACTTTAAAATATTATTAATACTTGTGGTCTCTCTCAGATAGCCATGAAGAATAGATCTGTATTTATGATTGATAAATGCCTAATTATATTTCAAATTATAAGCTCTCAATTCGATAGACAGACAGGTCAGTGGAGGAGTATAGACAGATGTTGATAGCTACAATGCAGTGTGGCTATATGGCTAGCATTATGTTGGCCTCTGTATTCACAGGAAGCAATGCTATTAAGACACTAGTATATATATATTGGGCAGTGGTGGTGCACACCTTTAATCCCAGCACTTGGGAGGCAGGTAGATCTCTGTAAGTTGGAGGCCAACCTGGTCTACAGATATGAGTTCCATGGCAGCCAGGACTACACAGAGAAACCTTGTCTCAAAAAAACAACCAAACAAACAAACAAAAACACAATATATTATCCACTCAAATTTAATGTTGAAATGTAGAGAAAAGGTAATTACAAAGTGTGTATTATCCTGAGGCCATTTAGAATCTTGGGAAATTCAGACCTTGATGTCAATGATTTGTATAATGGAAATCAAACTTTTAACAAACCGGGTGATTTACACAAGTCCTTCCCATTAGCATGAACCTTAAGAGCAACTTTTTGTGAACTAAGAGTAAACTGGAAATGCATCAGCCCTTGTGTGGCATTTTAGCTTTGAACTTGACTTTTTAGCCTTAAGTTTAATTAGTTATCACTGACAGGCAGTAATCTTAGGTCCTCATCAAATCAAATGCAGGTTTATATCAAATAAATTATGCCCTAAGCATGGATTACTGACCCTATTGCTTTGCATTTTTAATACTCTTTACTTGACAACTGCATACCCTAGGAAACATGAAAGCATGAATGAGAGCCAGCAGGAACAAAACAATGCTAGAATAACTTGAAAGAATGTAAAATTATTATCATTATCAGACAATCCAGAATGTAAAATTATTATCATTATCAAGCAATCCACAATATACTAAACACGTTCACTGAAATAGAAGTTAAACTTGAAAATGTACAGGTAACAAAAAAACTTGTAGGATATGACAGATGGGTAGCTAGAGAGATTGGCTCGGGCATTAAGAGTGGGAATTCTATTTCCACTACCCATGCCTGGCTGCTCAACTGTAAGTCTAGCTCTGGGGAAACTGACTCCCTCTTCTGACCTCTGCCAGCACCTGCATTCATGAATGCACATATCCACATGCAGACACATCAACACGAATACAACATATTCAATAAGGACAAAATTAAGCTTCCATAATGAAAAACACATAAATCAAAAGTCTAATTTCAATACAGAATAAAAGACAATAAAAACACAGCAAAATATTTAGTTGCATAAAATATGTTCAAATACAATTCATACATTATGTAACTCAAAAGTTAACACAATGCAAACACAAGAGGAGATGATTAAAAACATAGGACAGAGTAAAAGTTTTAGCAGACATACAAAGGGAGAGATGAGATTTTTGTTTGTTTTTTTTGTTTTGTTTTAGTTTTTTGAGACAGGGTTTCTCTGTGAAGACCTGGCATCCTGGAACTTGCTCTATAGACCAGGCTGGCCTTGAACTCAGAGATCTGACTGCCTCAGCTTCCTGAGTCCTGGGACTAAAGATGTGCACCACCACTGCCTGGCAAGACTGATGAGTAAATTTCAACCAGAACAGTATTTGAAGAAATAAAGACTGGGGGACTTCTAGAATTAATGAAACATCAGCAAACAAATCTAAGAGATAGCTGTAAATCTAAAAGAATACATTACAGAGATGTGCATGTCTATAAACATCATAGTAAAATTTCAGAAAACTAAAGAAAAAGAGAAATTTTAATTAAAAAAAACAGAAGAAAGAGAAATTTAACTTCAACACAGATGATTATACTGTCCTCTCTGATCCGTGTTTCTCAGTAGAAGCAACGGAAATGAGACATCTCCAGTGTGTTGACAAAAGTTCGCACTTGGTCTTTTTATAGAGTCGTCAAAGGAGAAAATCAAACAAACTTGATATCATTTTAGTTTTAATTAATAAAGACCACAGGGAAGAAGTAGTATAAATACATTTTTCTCTTTATCGACCCATACCTTGCCACAGATGTGGTCTAGGAGTTTGACCTGTCTCTGTTTCTAGCCTCTAGCCACATTCTTTCTCTCCTCCTCTCCTGATAAAGTCTCACAGTGTGGTCCAGACTGGGTTCAAACTGGTGATTCCCATGCCTCAGCTTCCGGAGTGCAGGAATTATGAGTGTGTATCATCATGCGCTATTCCACATTCATTTCTAGTCTAGAATGTCAACATATGACCACGAGAACCTTCTGGAAGTGGTAGTCCCTCATGGCTGTGTTTTCTCTCCTCTCTTCCTCCCCCCCCCCCCCACAAAAAATACAGGACTCTCCACAAATGAGCACAAGTACAAATAAAAGTCCTTTGTACATGCAAAGGAAGTGTTGTGCCACTGCACTACATCCCCACCCCCCAAATCAGAAATTCAATTATTTTTTCTTGGAGCGTTTCAAACACCTTTTATGTCAGCAAATCCCAAATTTGTCACTGAAGCTCACTTCTTTGCTCAGTTTCAATTATATGATGGAAGATCATGTGTCTAACTACAGGGATGTTCTGTGGTCACCTTAAACTTTTTAACACCCTAGATGTGTTTAAGTTAAAATTTTCCCTTCCCCTAAACTGAAAAAGTATTTTCCCTCCAGCTCATGCATATCCCTCTTCCTTATTTTCTTCCTGTGTTCCACTATCAGTTAACAGCACTAATATCATTTAATTCTTAAATCTTGTAAGTGAAGTAATTTTTCCTTATTATAACACTCCCCGTGTGACTGATCTATCACTTTATCCCATACTATCTCGTAGTTTGGGTGCAAATGCATTACTACATTTTCAGTTGAGGCCAGTATCATCTCCTACCTCTATTATTGCAACCAGCTCTTATCTGTGTCTAGTTTTTTACATTATTCCTTCCTAGTTTATTCTCAACTCTGAAGCATATTTCTCTTTAAAAAACAAAACCTTGATTATATAACTTTTCTGTTCAGAACACTTTAACAGTCTTGCATTTCCATTGACATGCCTTGCAAACTCTTTGCTTAGAGAAAAGAAAAGAAAAAGAAAAAACAAAGAGAGGAAAAAAAGAAAAAATAAACTCTTTGCTTTTCCAATTTCAGCTTTCACCAAATTCCCCTTGCTCTGTGCCATTGTCATGGTCTTATGTCAGTTCTTTTGAATCACACCACTCATTTAGATTTGCAGCACCATGTTTTTTTACTTTTCTGGAGACTGGGGCTTCACTTGTACTTTCTTACCACTGAGCTACGTCTCCAGCCCTCCCAAACATTATTTTTGTTCAGATTATTTCCACTCATTTTTCATGTATCAGTTTAGAATATGCTTTCTCCAGGAAAGCCTTTTTTCTCCACCTCCAAATTTTGGTTAGTTCCTCTTTGATCTTATATTAGCATGAGCCTTCTTCCTGGAGGCAGCCACTATTTTTCATGTTAAGTGTTCTTTTTTTTTCTCGATTTTTCATAGCAGAAGTAGCTTCTGTGTGATTGTCTTTCATTCCCTAATACTTACCACCATTAAGAGCATGCTTAATAAAAATTCACTGAGCAAATCAGAGAATAGAAAAATAAAATACTTAGAATCATGCCTTTGGAAGCCCTGGATGACAAAATAGTGAAATTCAGTTTCACAGTTTTATATTGCCAGAATCTGGACAGATCATACTCTATTCTCTAGTGAGTATTTACTTTCTACTGCAGCCAGATAAGTCTCCGAAGGAGAATTCCTATGGAAATGGTACCATTTACCTAACCCAAAATATCCAACTTCCCCTGAAACAACTATTTGCACATACCAGACTCAACTTCGAGTGCCTGAACATACCCATCCAGCCTTTTCTGAGAGCATTTAATAATGGCTAGAAGAGATCTCTAGGTTTACAGTTTCAATTTTCCTAAGAATCTCTTCCTCATCTTTGAAAATCAATGACATGGGAGTCCTTTGAATTGTCTTTAGTTTTACAGTTGTCTTCAAGGAGAGACCATGAACTGTTTGAAACAAGGATTCTATTTTAAACCGTTTCATCAGTGCAGCACCATCGGATAGTAACTCATTACGTTAACCACAAAAGCTACGACTCAGACATGGAAAGGGGCCTAAAGAAGAAAATTTTATTTCGGTTAATTAACAAATGCATCCGATAAATTAGTATTTTGTCTCAAACTCGCTCGGCTTTGTCTGAAACCTGACAACCTGTACAGTCACTTGGTGGCGCTGCAGGATAAGATGGGAGACTGTTTCCTAGCTGCGGCTCAGTATCCTCTTAACCAGCGGAAGTGAAAGCACCGGATAAAACGGCAAACAGGCTGTCTGAAAGGGCAGGGCAGGGACAAGACCCTTCAGAAAGGAGTGCAAGCCTATAAATTCCTGAAGGTCCAGGTGAGCGGAGCTGCTCTCTGGGCTGCCAGGGACTGAGTTGAAACAGAACAGCAGAAAGTGTCTTGTCTAAGGAATGATGGAGCCAGGAGTGAGGGCTGCTCAGCATCTAAGGCAAGTGCTGCTTTTTTTTGTTTTCCTGGAAGGGTCCTCGGCTCTTTCCGAGACCTGGAGCTATTCTGTGGCAGAAGAAATGGAGACTGGCTCCTCTATAGGCAATATAATTGAAGATATGGGTGTGGGTGACCTGGCCGCACGGGGGGCCAGAGTTATATTTGATGACTATCAGCCTTATTTGTGGTTAGAACTCGAGACTGGCAACTTGCTCTTGAATGAAAAACTGGACAGGGAGGCACTCTGTGGTACCAGTGAACCCTGTATACTGCATTTCCAGGTGTTATTGGAAAATCCTTTGCAATTCTTTCAGGCTGAGCTTTTGGTTGAAGACATAAATGACCATTCTCCCACGTTCCTAGAGAAAGTCATATTTCTAAATATCTCAGAAGGTGCTACTCCAGGAACCTCATTCCAAATGGATAATGCTCAGGACTTAGATGTAGGAATGAATGGTGTCCAAAACTATACAATAAGCCCCAACCCTTATTTCTACCTTAAGTTAAAAGACGGTGGTAAAGGAAGAAAATACCCAGAGCTGGTGCTGGATGGATCTCTGGACAGAGAAAAGGAGCCTTCAGTTAGCTTAATACTAACAGCTGTGGATGGTGGGTCCCTGCCCAGGTCATCGACTGCACTGATTCAAGTTGCGGTTGTGGATGTCAATGACAACGCCCCTGAGTTTGAAAGAATGCTATATGAGGTTCAAGTACCAGAGAACAGCCCTGTGGACGCACTAGTAATCAAGGTGTCTGCTACAGATTTGGACACAGGGATAAATGGAGAAATATCGTATTCATTTTCTCGTGTCTCTAGAGATGTACGGGAAACATTCAAAATCCATCCAATTTCTGGTGAAGTCCATTTGAAAGCACTCCTAGATTTTGAGGTGATTCAGTCTTATACAATAAATGTTCAAGCCGTTGACAGTGGGAGTCTCTCTGGAAAATCAGCCATTATTGTTCAAGTTATAGATGTAAATGACAACCCTCCGGAAATAGTCTTTACATCTCTTATGAGCCCCATCCCAGAAAACTGCTTGTCAGAGATGGTCGTCGCTGTTTTCAGTGTACGAGACCAAGACTCAGGAGACAATGGCAGAATGATGTGCTCAATTCAAGACAACCTCCCTTTTCTCTTGAAGCCTACTTTCAAAAATTTCTACACTCTAGTAACAGAAAATCCACTGGACAGAGAGAGCAGAGCTGAGTACAACATCACCATCACAGTCACTGACATGGGCACACCCAGGCTCACAACACAGCAAACCATAACAGTGCAGGTGTCTGACGTCAACGACAATGCCCCCGCCTTCACACAAACCTCCTACACCCTGTTTGTCCAGGAGAACAACAGCCCTGCCATGCACATAGGCACCATCAGCGCCACAGACTCAGACTCAGGCTCCAATGCCCACATCACATACTCTCTGCTGCCCACCCACGACCCGCAGCTGGCCCTGGCCTCGCTCATCTCCATCAACGCAGAAAACGGGCAGCTGTTCGCGCTCAGGGCGCTGGACTACGAGGCCCTGCAGACCTTCGAGTTCCACGTGGGCGCCACAGACCAAGGCTCTCCTGCGCTCAGCAGCCAGGCGCTGGTGCGAGTGCTGGTGCTGGACGCCAACGACAATGCACCCTTCGTGCTCTACCCGCTGCAGAACGCCTCTGCACCCTGCACAGAGCTGCTGCCCAGGGCGGCAGAGCCTGGATACCTGGTCACCAAGGTGGTGGCAGTGGACCGCGACTCTGGACAGAATGCCTGGCTGTCCTTCCAGCTGCTCAAGGCCACAGAGCCCGGGCTGTTCAGCGTGTGGGCTCACAATGGCGAGGTGCGCACCTCCAGGCTGCTGACTGAGCGAGATGCTCCCAAGCACAGGCTGCTGCTGCTGGTCAAGGACAATGGAGATCCTCCAAGGTCTGCCAGTGTCACTCTGCATGTGCTGCTGGTGGATGGCTTCTCTCAGCCCTACCTGCCTCTGCCAGAGGTGGCGCGTGAACCTGCACACGACAATGACGACTTGCTCACTCTATACCTGGTCATTGCCTTGGCTTCTGTGTCTTCCCTCTTCCTCTTGTCTGTGCTGCTGTTCGTGGGGGTGAGATTGTGCAGGAGGGCCAGGGCGGCCTCTTTGGGTGGCTGTTCTGTGCCTGAGGGACACTTTCCTGGTCACCTGGTGGATGTCAGTGGGGCGGGGACCCTGTCCCAGAGCTACCAGTATGAGGTATGTCTAACTGGAGTGTCGGATACCAAAGAATTTCGGTTCCTAAAGTCTGTGTCTCCCAACCATGAGGTTGTGAATTGCGTGGAAGAGAATTCCACCTCTTTGAGTGGTTTTGGATACAATTAACAATTTGTTGACTTTTTAGATGGTTCTGGATGAATGTTCATTCTTCCTAAACATTCTTGTTTTCCACTGTTTTATCTTCATAAGGAATTTCTAATGTTTTGCCTTTATTTTCCTAATTCAGGAGATGGTAGGTTCCATGCATCTCATTACAGGTTAGTCTCTTTTTAAAAAAATCACTTCTTGATGAAGACATAGAACTTTACTCATTCCTCAAAATTCACCGTGTTTCTTCAACTTGTCAGATTCTCAACATAAATCATTATTGATTTGAAAATACTCACCTTCATTTTATTTGATTGTTGTACAGAAACATTTCCAAAAGATTTGAAATGTGATAGAGATGTCATGAATTGTCAGTGTACCTTCTGCTTTCCTATCTAGAATAGAGTATCTGAAATGCATGATTTTGCTGTACAGCAGTATTAATTGGAAAGACAATTCTCTGAAGTGTCAAGGCTTTTATTATCTTCTTATGAACATCCAGCATGTAATACATATGAATATTGTTAAATTATTTTTAGATTATCTCAAAATTTATAAAATGCCAGATCCCTCCTGTGACATCTGGCTAGCCCACCTCACATTTCCTGAAAATCTCTCTCTTCAGCATAGGTATAGGATCAAAGCTTGATTTGTTTCATACAACTTGGGTCCCTCTATGATTTCAGACAATTGGACGAAGTGATGGGAACTGCTATTCTAAGCTGAGCCAGTCTGATCCTGTGTACTTTTAAAATCACCTTAGAATCCAAATGTATTCTAGTCTTTCTCTTAGGAATATTACAACGAAGTGACGTCATCTCAAACCTCTGAGAGAGGAGAGGAAAGAGGTCCTGCGGAGGATGTTCTTGTTAGTAATCCCCAAGTCACCTTTCACTGTTGGGTGAGGCTGGGGACAGAGAATTAAGATGTGCTCATGTAATAGATTTTTCTAGTCCAGCTCAGTAGAGGGAGGTTGGTTGGTTGGTTGGTTGGTTGGTTGGTTGGTTGGTTGGTTGTTTTTTTTAAAAAGCGTACTTAGATATTCCTGCCTAGATTGGTGAATTATTCCTGTTAATTTTGTATTTTCATTGAGCTACTATAACACAAATCAAAAAGTTTGTAAACTATTACAGTAACATGGAAAGAACTGTGAATCTTTAGTCTAAATGGGTAATTTCGAAGATAGGAGTAGTGGTACTCTCAGGACACTGAGGCAAGATCCTGAGGACAGGGTCAGGCCTCAAGACCCTCTTTTGTTAGGACAAGCCACAGTGTTTTTCCTTTAATGAAAAGATGGTTTAGACCCTCGGTTATTTCAAGTGACTACCAAAAGAGTTCAGAGAGCGGCTACCTAGGAAAATACTGTCTAGTTTATACAGCTTATCATAAAAGGAGTTAGGATCCCAACAAAGCAAGAGGCATCTACAGTAGGAGTAAAGGGCACACAACTTGGTGTTTTGTTCTATGATGAATTAAGCAAATGTTTACTGAGCATCTTCTCTGTCCCAAGGGTTAGTTTAGATATTGTGGTGCAGCAGAGTGCAGTAAACAGTGCTGAAGTACTTACAGGTTACACAAAGGAAATGACCAAATATGTTCATCTGCTACAGTACCTGTGAGGAAAAACACCAGAGAGAAAATGGAGTAAAAGGAAATGGAGTGAAAGGTGCTTTTGTATGAGTTTTCTCATAGGCAAAAAGTTTTATAAAAAAAAAATGTAAGTTCCTGACCATATGCAGGAAGTGTATCATAAACTGGAACTATTGTGTAGATTTTTTTCCTTTATGAAACTCTACCAATGGGAACCACAATCCTGTTACCTGGGAGACATAAAGTTACCAAGAAGCCCCAGAAGTATTGACCCCCACTTTATGCTGAATTTTAAGTTGCACGGCTATATGTTACTAATTGTACAAGATGACTGATCCATCAGTACTGTCTTCTTTCATTTCTGTTTCCCCTAGAGTGCCCCAACACTGGCTGTAGGGCTTCTAATCGGTAGGCAGCTTGTCGAGGTTGTTTACTCCTGTATTTTTCAGAATCCGACGCATTAATAACAAGAATTCTTTTTGTTTAGTGAGGGACTGCATAATCAAAATAACGTTGTTCGATGATTGAATTTATTTCCAAACTTCTGACAACCAAATAGACTGTAAAAAGAATGGAACCATGCAGCGATCGGCTGAGAAGCAAAATCAACGCATGGTGGCGCTGCAGGCTAAGGCTTAAGAAAGGACGAACGCGGAAAAGGAAAAAAAAAATGCTTCTTCCGATCTCCGGCTGAAAAGACCTTAGGGGGAGCTCAACCCATTAATTTTACAGAGAATGCTGCTAACCTACACATCGAAACAGGCTATAAACTGAAAGACCGACCGCTGTCCGGGTGCCCTTGCATCCTGGTTGCTGAAGCAAATATGAAGATTGGAAGAGACAGCAGACAAAGGCAAGTCCTGTTGATCTTTATCTTACTGGGAGTGGCTGGGGCGGGCTGGGAGCCCCGCCGTTACTTTGTGTTGGAGGAAACACCAAGCAGCACGGTTTTGGCTGATCTGGTCAAGGACCTAGGGCTGGGAGTTGCGGAGCTAGCTGCTCGAGGAGCCCAGGTGGTCTCTGAGGATAACGAATCACACCTGCAGCTTGATCTGCAGACTGGGAAGCTAATATTAAATGAAAAACTGGACCGGGAGGAGCTGTGCGGCCCCACTGAACCCTGTGTCACTCATTTCCAAGTGTTACTGAAAAAACCACTGGAAATATTTCGAGCTGAGCTACGAGTGGGAGACATAAATGATCATTCTCCCGAGTTTCCTGAAAGAGAAATGACCGTGAAAATCCTAGAGACTAGCTCTATTGGTGCTGTGGTTCTTCTCAAAAGCGCTCAGGATTTGGATGTGGGCAACAACAGCATTCAGAACTATAACCTTAGTACCAATTCTCATTTCCATGTTTCCATCCGAAACCGAGGTGATGGGAGGAAATATCCAGAGCTGGTGCTGGACAAAGGACTTGATCGTGAGGAGCAGGCAGAGTTCAGGTTAACTCTGACAGCGCTGGATGGTGGTTCTCCGCCCAGGACTGGCACCTCACAAATCCGGATTATTGTCTTGGATGTCAATGACAACGCCCCTGAGTTTGCGCAGGCTTTCTATCAGGTGCAAATTCTAGAGAACAGCCCGGTGGGTTCCCTAGTTGCTAAGGTCTCAGCCAAGGATTTAGACACTGGAACAAACGGAGACGTATCGTACACTCTTTTTCATAGTTCTCAGGAGATGAGCAAAACTTTTGAGCTAAATGCTCTATCAGGAGAGATTCGACTAATTAAAACACTGGACTTTGAGACAACATCTTCATATGAAATAGACATAGAGGCATCTGACGGCGGGGGGCTTTCTGGAAAATGCTCAGTTTCTATTCAAGTGCTGGATGTCAATGATAATTACCCAGAACTAACTATTTCATCGCTGACCAGCCCCATACCAGAAAATTCACCGGAGACAGAAGTAGCTCTATTTCGGATTCGGGACCGAGACTCTGGGGAAAATGGAAGGACAGTATGTTCTATCCAGGATGGTGTCCCCTTTACACTGGAACCTTCTGTTGAGAACTTCTATAGACTGATGACAGAAGGAGGGCTGGACAGAGAGAGCAGAGCTGAGTACAACATCACCATCACAGTCACCGACATGGGCACACCCAGACTCACAACCCAGCACACCATAACAGTGCAGGTGTCTGATGTCAACGACAACGCCCCCGCCTTCACCCAAACCTCCTACACCCTGTTTGTCCAGGAGAACAACAGCCCCGCCCTGCACATAGGCACCATCAGTGCCACAGACTCAGACTCAGGCTCCAATGCCCACATCACCTACTCTCTGCTGCCCACCCACGACCTGCAGCTGGCCCTCGACTCGCTCATCTCCATCAACGCCGACAATGGGCAGCTGTTCGCGCTCAGGGCGCTGGACTACGAGGCCCTGCAGACCTTCGAGTTCCACGTGGGCGCCACAGACCAAGGCTCTCCTGCGCTCAGCAGCCAGGCGCTGGTGCGAGTGCTGGTGCTGGACGCCAACGACAATGCGCCCTTCGTGCTCTACCCGCTGCAGAACGCCTCTGCACCCTGCACAGAGCTGCTGCCCAGGGCGGCAGAGCCAGGATACCTGGTCACCAAGGTGGTGGCAGTGGACCGCGACTCTGGACAGAACGCCTGGCTGTCCTTCCAGCTGCTGAAGGCCACAGAGCCCGGGCTGTTCAGCGTGTGGGCTCACAATGGCGAGGTGCGCACCTCCAGGCTGCTGAGTGAGCGCGATGCTCCCAAGCACAGGCTGCTGCTGCTGGTCAAGGACAATGGAGATCCTCCAAGGTCTGCCAGTGTCACTCTGCATGTGCTGCTGGTGGATGGCTTCTCTCAGCCCTACCTGCCTCTGCCAGAGGTGGCGCGTGAACCTGCACACGACAATAACGACTTGCTCACTCTGTACCTGGTCATTGCCTTGGCTTCTGTGTCTTCCATCTTCCTCTTGTCTGTGCTGCTGTTTGTGGGGGTGAGGCTGTGCAAGAGGGCCAGGGCGGCCTCTTTGGGTGGCTGTTCTGTGCCTGAGGGACACTTTCCTGGTCACCTGGTGGACATCAGCCGCAACGGGACCCTGTCTCAGAGCTACCAGTATGAGGTGTGTCTGACTGGAGACTCTCAGAGTAATGAGTTCAGATTCCTAAAGCCCGTGTTTTCTAATATTCTAGACCAAAACTCTGGCGGGCAATCAGGAGATAATCCACACTTCCCAAGTATTTTAGGCGTGTGAAGGTTCACGTTTCACCAGCTGTATAATTCTGTCTCTTTTGATTTTGCATTTTCTTTTCAAAGTTTGTAGTAAGTTTATCTGCATTTGTTTTTCCTTTTCTCTACGAGTTTAAGTAGTGTTGTTTATTAGCTTGTTAACTATATAAGTATTTTTCAAGTTGTATTGTTATTGAGCATTTTACATCAGGACACTTCCTGTTCCTGATTGAATTGGCAGTACTCTCTCCCAAAGAATGTGAATTTCTTCTAATGAACACAATTCTAATTTTAAAAGTACGTTTCCTGGCACAGGAGAATAGATTAGTTTATAGAGTGCCTGTGCAGTTTGTTGGAGGCCCTAGGTTGGATCACCCTGTAATCCTAGCATTTAAACGTGGAGGCAGGCTATCAGGAATTCAAGGTCATCTACTACTTAGAGAATTCTAGTTAGGCCTGGGCTATATGATGAACAGGACATAGTAAGTCCCCCAAAATAAAAATGCATTCCTGAATTGTGACACCACAGAAGAATATATGATTTCTTAAAATCACACTTCATTTTAAAATTGGAAATTCTTAGGGTTTTTTTGGCATGGCTAGGACTTCAATAGCCTTATTTGTGTTTTCTTTAGTAGCAGTTCATATTCATTCATACTGAGTTTCTTTCAGATTCCCTGATTATGTTTTCTATTCTCTAACAGGAAGTAACAAGGTAATTTCAAGCTTTTTTGGATGTTCACTGTAAATATGGACTCATGAAAAAATATATTCACATCGCCTGTTCTTTCTGGTCTAAGTTAACATAGAAAAGAATAAAAGCCTCTCCATTATCTTTAGCCAATGGGAGTACTTAGCATGTTGCTCCCAGACTGCCTGTGCTCAAGAACTTTCTGTAAAGCCAATAGACTCCAGGAACAATAATATATTTCTTGCTGTTATTTACTTTTTATAGTGAGAAAATCTTGGTGTAAACCCCAAATTCTTGGCTCAGAATAGCTTCTGGTGGTATAGCATGCTGATATCTGCTTGCTTTGGATGATGACATTGCTCTGATTGATAAGGAATTTGGAGGAAAATGCATTATAGAATTAATATTAGTTAGCCAAACAAATTTTAGTAATGGATACGCTGATGTAGTATTGAATGATTTAGAGAAATTATTCGGAAAAAAAAATGACCTCAAAGATATTCAATCCTGATCCCTAGAACCTATGACTATAACTTTACATTGTAAAGATAAAATACAAATGAAATTGAAGTTGTTTATAAACTAAATGGAAAATAGAAAGTATATCCTAACTCATTTGGATGGGTCTGATAGGAACAGTGAAAGGCTTTAAAAGCAAAGTTGAGTCTACCTTGAGATGAAGAGGAACAGTCTGGCATTGTGGCACATGTGTTTAATGCCAGCATGTGGGAAGCAGAGTTTAAGGCCACCCTTGTCTAGTGAGTTCTAGAACAGCTAGAGCTAGAGAGTGAGACCCTGTCTTGAAAACACACACACACCAAAAAAAAAAAAGAGAAAGCTATGAAGAAGAAATTTCCTAAGAACCAGCAGTGGTGGCACACACCTTTTAATCCCAGCACTTGCAGGGCAGAGACAGGCAGATCTCTGAGTTTGAGACCAGCCTGGTTTACAGAATGAGTTCCAGGACAGCCAGGACTACACAGAGAAACCTTGTCTCCAAAAAGTATATAGTTGGAATTGCAGACACAGAATAGAACATATTCAGATTGCTTTGAACAGACTTGATAGAAATGTGATATTAACAATTCTGTTGGTGAAAATGCAAAAGGAAGTAAGGAATGTGGTGCTTATAGAACATGTTGGCTTATAGAGCTTATAAGTCATTTAAAGCAAACTATGGGGAGAAATATGGACATTAAAGTTACTATTAGAAAGAGCCCAGATAAAGAGAACATTGTTGAAAATTAGAGGAAAATTAATACTTTTATTCTTTTATATGGTTTTTCAAGACAGGGTTTCTCTGTGAAGATTTGGAGCCCATCCTGGAACTCACTCTGTAGACCAGGCTGGCCTCAAACTCACAGAGATCCGCCACCATGCCCAGCCCCTACTTTTATTCTTATATAGTGGCAGAAAACTTGGCTGAATTGTGACCTACATTAGATGAGGAAAATAATTGATGCATTTGGATGTTTGGCTAAGGAAATTTCCAGGAAAAGCATTGAAAGTACACCCTGATTTCTTCTCACTGTTTATAGTAAAATATGAGATGAATGACTGGAGGAGATTTTCATCCTAATTGCCTTGTAACATATGTTAAAATCAGGAGATTCACTGCCAGGGATGCATGTATGCTGTGGAATAATCCTCTTGTACACTGTAAAGATTTATCACTAAAAATGGTTTAGTAAAATGCTGATTGGCCAGTATCCAGGCAGGAAGTATAGGTGGGGTGACCAAACTAAGAATGATGGGAAGAGGAAGGTGTAGTAAAGAGTCAATAGACAGATGCTGAGGGAGCAGGAGATGAATGTGTCATGCTAATAAAAGAACCACCATGTGGCAAAGCATAAATAGAAATATGAATTAATTTAAGTGTAAGAGTTAGCTAGTAACAAGCCTGAGCTATTGGCTGAGCATTTATAATTCATATTCAGCCTCTGGGTAAGTTATTTAGGACTGGGCGGTTGGGACATGTTTACACATGCATTGGAGAGAAAAACTTACATACAACAGAGAAACCTTTCTCTAATGCCTGCAAAATATCAGAGCAGTTAATAATGCAGAAATCTCTTTGCAGGGACAAATACATTTTCTAGTAATAGGTTTTTAATGACTTTTCTCTCATGTACCTAGACAGGTATAATGTAACTCTGATTGCTGTGATCATAATTACCATACTGTCTGACTGACAGAACTTTCAGAAGTTGGTCTCATCTTTTCAATCTCCAGTATGACTGGTAATGGGTTAGAAAATAAAAAGTATTGTTTTCTCCAGACTATTGCCATTAACAGCCAGTCAGGAGTAGTTCCTGTCACTTGGAAGCACTGATGACAAATTTCAAAATAATAATGTTGATTTGAATACAAAATGAGAGAAAGAAGTACATTTAATTTTCTTGATTTTTCTAAATATTATACTTGAGTTAATCCTAACAGTCTTCCCATATGCTGAGACATTTTGAAGTAGGCCCAGAGATTCAAACTTGCTAGGTCAGTTCATTCAAGTTTCCATGCTCTCACAAATTGTTTGGAATTGTCTCTTCCTCTTCTATACAATGAAGGTTAATATGAGGTGTTTGTGGTAGTTTGAATGAAAATTGTCTCCCATCGGCTCAGATGTTTGAACACTTGGTCCCAAGTTGGTGGAGCTCGTTGGGGAGCCGGTGAGGGCCTGATGGAAAGCAACTCACTCAGCTGGGATTCAGGAGTTCATAGCATTACCCCACATCCAGTTTTCTCTATCCACTTGGTGTTTGTAAGTGAAGATGTGATCTGTCAGCTTTTTGCTCTGGATGCCTACTTCCATACCTCCCCAACCATTATGGTCTCTTTCTCTCTCTCTGTAAAAGTAAGCAAAAATAAACTCTTTCTTCCTTCAGTCTCATTTTGTTATGGTACATTATCACAACATCAGAAGAGTAACTAATGACGTTTTTATTATTTTTCTTTTATTTTATGAATTTGATATAATTTAGCATTAAAATAATCCATGGGTATACAGAGGCAGAGGCAGAGGTGTGGTCTTAATAAAGACTAGAAGCTGGGCTTTTATCCACTGAGGAGTTGGTGAGAACATGAAGATTAAGAGCTTGGAGCAGGGACGCCTTTAATCCCAGCACTCAGGAAAGGAGCTGTTTCAGTGGGATGTGACCAGAACAGACTGGAACATTCTGCCTGAAGTCAACCCAGGGCCCAGCTGCTGATCCTGAGAAACCCAACAACTTGGAGGTGTTGGTGAGATTGCCCTACTAAACAACCTGCTCAGGTGAGATCCATTCGGGAGAGGTTTCAGAAGCCTACAGTCTGCAGTCTGAGGAAACAAAATCAGCTGAGAAGTTGAAAAATGAGCAAAATGCGACCTGAGAACACAAAAGAAGGTGCCGCCCAGCCACCGAACCAGATCACCAGAATCATAAGCCCACCCTATACTAACTGGGAAGAGGTAAGCCCCTGTCTCCGGACCAGCAGACCAGGTCTCTAACCCCTAGGCCCCAGCCATCGGAGTCCCAGGGACCAGACAGCTACCTTTCCCTGCTCCCCCACCAAAAAACAAAACAAAGCAAAACAAAAAACAAAACAAGGGCTGGAGAGATGGCTCAGCGGTTAAGAGCACTGACTGTTCTTCCAGAGGTCCTGAGTTCAATTCCCAGCAACCACATGGTGACTCACAGCCATTTGTAATAGATCTGGGGTCCTCTTCTGGCCTGCAGGCATACATGCAGACATTACACTGTATATATAATAAAAAAAAAACCACCCCTATGAACCCAACAACCACTGGAGCCATAAGCCCACCGTGCATCAATTGGGAACAACTGCTCCCTGAGACAGAACTCACTAACACTGATTGAACTAAGCTGCTCCCAGAGAAACAGAGCCCAACAGCATTGATTCGACCAAGAACTCCTAGTGGACCAAGACTAACAATGAGAACAAGAGAGGCATCTTCAGACACAGACACCACCTGCACTGAGTAGAGGAAGAGATGAGTAGATGCCAGCGCAAAAATACAGGCAACAGCATAAAGACCTATATGACAATATCAGAACCTAGCGATTCTACACCTGCAAGACCCGAACATACCAAGGCAGAAGAAGCAGAAGAAATCAATCCTAAAAATGACGTTAAGAAGATGATAGAGGCCCTTAAAGATGAAATGAAAAACTCCCTTAAAGAGGAAATAAAAAATTCCCTTTAAAAAATGGAAGAAAAAATAATCCATGGGTAAATTGTTTTCCTTTGGGAAGGCTGCATTGCAATCTCAACTTTTTATCACAAAATTTATGCAAGTTATGGAATATTTGAAAGACATTATTTATAATATTAATATATCTTTTAATGTATTTAGACTATACAATGATGCTCTCTTTTTATTCTAGATATTGTTAATATGTATTTTCTCCCCTCTTCTTTCTTTTTTCTGGAGCTGAGGACCAAACCCAGGGCCTTGTGCTTGCTAGGCAAGTGCTCTACCAATGAGCTAAACCCCCAACCTCCCCTCTTCTTATTATAAGCATTAATATGAGAGTATCAACTTCATTATTTTTTTAAAACAAGCCAGCTTTCCCTTTGATACATTGCCTATTGCTTTCTATTTTGTTTCATCCAATTCTACTATTATATTATGATTTCTCATATCTCCTTTGGGTTTAGCTTTCTTTTTTGCTAGCTTTCTTCTTTACTCTATGCGTTACTTTTCTAACTTAAATCAAGGCACATAACGTATGAATATGTACATTTTTCTCTGTATGGTACTTCACCATTTTAATACTCTCCAATTTTTTGGATTTGAGACTATATTCTGTGTAACTGCAGCCCTTGAAAACAGATTGAATTATTTTGTTCAAAGAATCCAGTGTTCTAAAGTATAGTGGTAAAATCCCCATGTCCATTTGGAAGAAATGTATATTCTGTAGTTTCTAGGAATGAAGATTTATAAATATTAGCTAAAAGTTGCTTACTAACATTTAAATATTATTTATGCACAATTTCCTATATATTTAATAATTTACTAGGAGAATGTGTTAATTTCTTCAAGTATGCTAGTGTATTTATTTGTCTATCTCCCTTTTCAAGTCTAGAATTTTTCAAAACCTTATTCACTTTAAATCTATTAATTGATTCACACAGGCAGGGGTTTTTGTTGTTGTTTTGTTTTAGTGTGATGAGTTGGCATTCATCATTGTGGAATGTACCTCTTTTAGTTTCTAGTCAACATTTGTCTGATATAGGCATCCCAGAGTTACCTTTTTAGAGTTATGACCATTTCTTTACTAAGTTACACAAAAGTAGGAAGATAATGTGCTGTGGGATGTCTTTCTGTACGCTGTGAGTATGTGTTGCTCTGATTGGTTGATAAGTAAAGCTGCATTGGCCTATGGCAAGGCAGCTTAGAGGCTGGCAGGAAACCCAGGCAGATATACAGAGAGAAGAAAGGAGAGGAGAGAGAGAGAGCGAGATGCCAGCCACTGCTGAAGGAGCAACAAGATGCCAGCAGACTGGTAATGCCACGGCCACGTGGCAGCTCATAGATTAGTAGAAATGAGTTAAGTTATAAAAGCTAGCTAGCAAGAAGCCTGACACAGGCCATACAGTTTATAAATAATATTAAGCCTCTGGGTGATTATTTTATAAGTGGCTGTGGGACCTCAGGGCCAGGCAGGACTGGAGAAACCTTCCAGCTACAATAATGAGCTAGGCTGTCAGGCTTGCTGAACATAGTCCCACCTTGGCTCGGCACCATCTGAAAGGAGGAGGCCTGAGGGAGACTGAAGGGTCAAGCAAGAGACGGGTGAGGCCGGACGGGAGACTTAGGTGCAGAGTGTGTGGTGAATAGGCTGCCACAGTAGAACCAGGACAAGTGGGATTGTGGAGGGAGGGAGGAGGGGAGCAAAGAAGTGGATAGGGCAGGTGGAGGCAGCTGCAGAGCTCTGATGGAGCAGGTCAGGAGGTGGAGCAATGGCTGTTTCTGGATACAAGTAATTGGCAAGCCAGGAAGGGGCCAGAGGGTATCAGCTCTGGGACGGGTCAAGAGCAGATATCCAGGGGAAGGCAGCTGTACTCATCTGTTCTCATCCTAACTCCAAACCCCGAGGGGCCCCCACCACTAGCCCACTAGAAGATATTAATACTAAAGCCCTGCTCTCCTACTTTGCTTCGCTGCTGCTATGGTAAAACACCGACCAAATAGCAACTTGGGAAGGAAATAATTCACTTTAGCTCCTGGGTCACAACCCAACATTGAGGGAAACTAGGGCAGGAACCTGGCTGCAAGAACTGAAACAGAGATCATGGAGGAAAACTGCTCAATGTCAGGCTTCTCTTTTGCTTGCTCAACTACTTTTCTTATACAACACAGACCCTATGGCAACACCTCCCATATCATCTATCAATAAGGAAAATATCGCACAGATGTGTGCACAGGTCAGTTCACTAGGGGCTATTCCTCAATATAGGTTCTGGGTGAGACTCAGGTTTGTGTCAAGATGACAAGCTATCTTCTGATGCTTGGGATCTGCTATCCTCAAGGCTCTTTAAAGCACAATTCCTTTGTTATCCTCTTCTTCCTCATCATCATCTTCATCACCTTTTAACACCCTTCTACATATTCAGTAGTTTCTTTATCTTCCTCCTGAGATACAATCTCTGCCTCCAAACCCTTTCTCTCTTTCCAGTTTGCCTTCTACTCCATTTTCCTCTTCTTATTTAGGCCCTTGACATTGAACATATACATTGTTTCAATGCTCTCCCTCTAACTTTGCTCTGGGGCTAGAGCTGGACTATGGCTGGTGGGGAAGTGGGTTCCTGGGGCTGAGATGAAGAGATCCTAGTCAGTGGATAGTTGCCATGGCCAGAATCCAGCATGACAGTTTCTAGGTAAGGTGGTTCTCTTGAAGATGTGGCAGGAGTATAAGGGGTAAGACAGAAGTTAGTCCAGATCAGAGACCTGAGGGAGTGAAGTCATATGAAGGGTGGACAGAAAAGCAATAGGGCAGCGGCAAGTGGGCCCAGTTTGCAGGTCCTAGGTCCTAGGCTTTCTGACCTAGTGCCAACCACTCAATTTCATAGGTCTTATAATTTTAGTTTTGCATGATATCTCTTTTTCCATAATTTTATGTTCAACCTGCATTTATATGTAATGTAAATATGCTGTAAACAACAGAGTTGGGGTTTTGCTTTTTTATCCAACACTATTGGTTCTGTCATAGAATTGAAAAGGCCATTCCATTTATTTGTAATATACAGTACTTCTATGGTTGTACCTATTATATTTTGTATTCAAACCATCTGTTTTCATTCCTCTGTTTATAATTTCTGTTTTCTTTGGCTTAAGAATTTTTAGTATTTATTTAGATCTTTAGTTTCATTTAGTAGTAAAATTATTATGGATATTTTTCTCAAAAAATGATCAAAATAGTCATTTCTTATCACAATGTACCTTAAGCTGACATTAGACTAAATTCACATAACACACAAAACAGTTTTAAGTATTTGATCTTCATTCATTTTCCTATGGCATGAAAGATCAATGCAAAACAGAGGAGCTATATTTGAGAATTCATATGGTAGAGAAACTCTGTTTATAATAAAATTGGAAAATTCTCAAAAAAAAATTAGATTTAGAATATAGAGAATATTTTAACTGGAAAGAAATGAAATGAAAGTAATGAAAAGAACTAGGCCTTCATCCAGACTCCAAGACAAAATGTTCACTAGAGAACTCATACTGGCAAGAAATAATAGACAATCAATGAACGTAAGAATGCATTTATTGACTTCTCAATTAAGACACATATGGGATAACACATTAGTCATAAACTCAATCAATACGAAGTATACAGAGAACCTTTCAAATGTTCCTTGAACCCTAGGACTCAT